CGTAACTAAAGTGTTTAATGAAACTGAGGTTTTAAAGTTAGCAGGTTGGTTATTTTAAAACAGGAAAAGTTACATAAAATTTACTCGTAAATGCAGTAAAGTAAAGTTTTTCAAACTAACTTATAGAACAAGGTTTAGTTTCTTAACATCGTAATAACGTAATAACTTTCGTGTGGGATTTGAATATGCCAGTAATATAAAATTAAAAAGCTTCCCTTAGATTTGGCAACACTAAATAAGAAATATTTTTTTCGCCGAATTCTCTTGAACTTTTAACAAGATACTCACAGCGAACGGCCCTGTATAAAGACTCGCTGCCGAGGTATCAGAGATTTATATTATATCCATAATTTTGCACAAAAATATTCTTTTTCCGGCTTTGTTAACTGTTCTTGAGAGTTTAAAGTTAATGTAAATTACTAGTATTAAAATTAAAATAAAGCAATTTTTCGTTCACTTTCGTAGCGTAACCGTTAGGAATTCAGAAAAAGTTTAGTTTTATATACACACTTTTCACAAGTGTGCCACAAAGTAAATAACAAATGTAAATTTATAATCTGATGCTTGACAGGAAATAATATTAATAAACATTAAACGCAAATGGCATTTTGTAAGTTTTTGTGTGGTTTTTGAGTCTTGGTAGAACAGACTTTAATAAAATAATATAGCAATTGATTTACATACAGAATAATATGAACGTGACCTTAAAAGTATTTACTAAATTTAAAAGTATATTTCTGACTCAATTTTAAGTTGAAAATTTCATTTTAACATTTGTCCTAAGATTCTAATTTTCCAGATAAATTGTTTCTTTTTTTTTATCGTATTGTTTTATTAATATTTGACGATATTGTTGCAATTTTGGCATCGTCATTTCGCGTAATATGTAGATTCCCTTTAGTAAGTGGCATCCCAAGGACTTCTTCACCGAATTTATAGCAAAGATTATACCCCGCTATGCTAAAACTACACATAAAACTTGTCTTGACTTTTCTTTGTATCTCGCATCGAAATTGTGGCGAAAAAAGATCAAAAATTAACTTATTACGCTTCCGTAATCAAAATTTAAAAAGAAACAGTTAATATAAATGACGGATTGTCTTCATGTATTTTGTTTACCAAGTATTGCTGATTATTTATTAAATTCGTTAGATTCTAAACAATTTTTTTTTTTTAGTTATTCAAAAAAAACTGAAAAATCACGTAAACCAGAGATGTTTCCTTATTTTTTAACAATAATGGAACGAACTACCAAGAAAAATTAACTCATAAGTTTTATCTTTAATTTAATTTGAAAGAGAAATCGGTGAGGATATTTTTTTTTGCAGAAATCTTTGACACCCTGTATCGTTAACAGACTTCTAGAACACAATTAATCTAGTGATCCATGAATTGGAAATTGGGTCCATCAATATGAGCTAAAACATAAATAATTTTATACATTATACCTTATAAATCAATTTCACCAAAGAAACACAAAATCTGAAAATTGTAAGATAAAAATTAGCAAAATCAAAGGGGATAATTTGCTTCCAGACAAACAGAAGTCAAAAAATATTATACAAAATGGGTAAGTATTTTAATAACGACCTGTCGAAAAAGTGTTGGTGAAATAGCCTTTATGCATATGTAAGCATAAAAAAAGTCATTTCTTGTCAAATTATATATATATATATATATATATATATATATATATATATATATATATATATATATATATATATATATATATATATATATATATATATATATATATATATATATATATATATATATATATATATATATATATATATATATATATATATATATTCTCACGTATTGATTCACGGATGGAAAAATGTGATGACACTATATTCCGGGATATCATCCGTTCGCTCGTTGAACTCCGACTGGAATCCTGCATCCGACTGGAATCCTGCATCCGACTGGAATCCTGCATCCGACTGGAATCCTGCAAATCCTGCATCCGACTGGAATCCTGCAGACGTTTCGCCAAAATCTCACTTGACTTCAATGCATTGAAGATGCCAAGTGAGATTTTGGCCGACTGGAATCCTGCAGACGTTTGGCGAAACGTCTGCAGGATTCCAGTCGGATGCAGGATTTGCAGGATTCCAGTCGGAGTTCAACGAGCGAACGGATGATATCCCGGAATATAGTGTCATCATATATATATATATATATATATATATATATATATATATATATATATATATATATATATATATATATATATATATATATATATATATATATATATATATATATATATATATATATATATATATATATATATATATATATATATATATATATATATATATATATATATATATATATATATATCGGAACACGAGCATTGAAGATGCCAAGTGAGATTTTGGCGAAACGTCTGCAGGATTCCAGTCGGATGCAAGATTTGCAGGATTCCAGTCGGATGCAGGATTCCAGTCGGAGTTCAACGAGCGAACGGATGATATCCCGGAATATAGTGTCATCACATTTTTCCATCCGTGAATCAATACGTGAGAATATATATATATATATATATATATGTATATATATATATATATATACTATATATATATATATATATATATATATATATATATATATATATATATATATATATATATATATATATATATATATATATATATATATATATATATATGTATATATATATATATATATATATATATATATATATATATATATATATATATATATATATATATATATATATATATATATATATATATATATATATATATATATATATATATATATATATATATATATATATATATATATATATATATATATATATATATAGCAAGTTTAACAACGATATCTATTTTGAGATTTCTACAGCTGTACCAAATTTATGTCCAAAACTTTGTGCCCTTCTGATTGATTCTCAAAAAAAAAATTATTGAACGAACTCATAAGCGATTAACCCGCAAATGGATTCCATTGTTATGATTAACAATACAAATAATTCTATGGGAAGAATTCTCACTTTCTTATATGTAGGCAGCTACCTCGTATAATCTGCTTGCGGATGTAAAAGGAGGTTAACAGTTTTAAGCATAATATGTAAGGACGACGGACGTTCTTTGAGAATGAAAGTAATAAAATTTCGTTTTCGTGACTGTACTGAGAAGTACCCATTTTGTGCGATGAAGTCATTGAACGATATTCGCGTAAAAGGCTTTACCAGTGGCACACCTATCAGGGCCTTCGAACGCTCAAGTATTGATATTAACCAATTAACCATCAGCTCACCCAAACCCCGTCCCGTTAATTTTTGGGTTCACTGCCACTGTTTTACTCATTGATTTTTGCATCGCACCGAGTTTATCGGCGGCAGATCCTTCTACAAAAATGGTATTTATAAATCAAGCATGAAACAAGCTAAGCCGTTGCTTTAGTATCGTTTCGCAAATACTAGCAAATTGATTTTCTGTTTAAAATGTCAGCTGGTTGTTTACTGATGTAATAAGATGTTGAACGTGCCTTTAAAACATTTTTCCTTTTTCTCAGGGTTAAATTATTTAACTGGCTTACAAATTTGTTGTTGTAATTCATTAACGGCCATAAACGCTTCTATTAAATTGGTTCTTATGTAATTTTACGAAAAAGTCCCAATTTATGGCCCATATAGTTAATTATTAATAGTGACTTTACGACATAATATTGAAATTTGGACCTTTCATTTCCTTTAAAATATTTATATTTTCATTATAAATTTAAACTGTAAGAAGGCTTGGTAGTTTTGGTTAGTTCAAATCATACTACTATTAGATAACATAGTAAGTTTCGGCGTATGCCTCTACATTTCACCTACTAGCCTGCACTTTGGGCCATTTTCTTTCAAAAAAGCGTTTTCCACTCACTTAAGTTGTTTTCGAGATATAAGTATATTTGAAAAAATGGCGCCGTAAAAATGCCGCATCCAAACTTATTGACGATCTGTCAGCGGCCATGTTGGGTTTTGAATGTCGCAAGGTCATTGGTTAAAAAAAAAACTATATTTTTATTTTATTTATTTACATTATTTAAATCTCGCGCATGCGCATATTGAATGAACGTTCTCAAAATGCTTTTCATAGTTGCTTTATAAGTTCCTGTATTATCGGCATATTTCTAGCAGCTATATGGTACAAAATATACCGAAAATCATAGATGAATTTGATTTTGTGAACGATTTAAATTCATGAAACGTCCTGGAAACATGTGTTTTATTAAACTGGTAATTAAAGTCGTAAGTACCGGTATATTGCAAAAAATATTTTTACAATTTATTGCAACAAAAAGCTTTTTGTGGTGGCTACTCAGTTCGGCTTTTGAAGAAATTAAAATAGATAAATTATTTTTTATACATTTGAGTTATGTTCTTTCTTCCAGAACTAACCAAATTATTTTCGCCAACACTTTCGGTTTTTTCTAGGTTATGCTTTGGTAGTCTAATATCCTTTATCAAATTTAAAATAAAAGTGAAACGATGCTTCACTATGAGCACAGTCTAATGGACGCCACATTGTAACGTATTCTAACAATAAAAAATATAACTGCTAAAGTCATATTTGGTTCGTTTTTTCCTTGTTACTTATTATTATTTATTGATTGCGACTTAAATGAATTGACATTAATTAATGGATTATTTATGCAAAAAAATATGTTCCAGTGTCTTGTTGTCTTGCCTATTGCACCTGATTTCAGCTTTCTGCGTTCTTTACTAATTTCATGCACTCAAGAAAATATCCACTACATCATCAGCAGAATAAATCAAAACGTATCTGGCATAACCTCAGCAAGTTTGATTTTTTATCGACTTTCGCCTTTTCGATGTTTTTGCTGAATTTTAATAGGCGAGGTCACACGTAGCTGCGGATACAATTTTATTTTTTGTACTTTAAATTATTCTTTTAAGGATCGTTGGTTTACAAAAGCTAGCACTATATCAATGCTCTAGGTATTTTTTTTTCTTTTAGCTGCTGCTAACTTATATGGTGTCTATGGTGCTCGCGGCGGATCAACATCGACTGAAAAGGAATGGCAGAACAGGACTTGAAAATATCGCACACCACGTTCGACCCAACTATAACATAGAGAGAAGACTATTAACTGGATTGCAACATTACTCTCCGCCACAGTATTTCCCAGATCTTCCCCGTTCTTATCGTAAAGGTAGACCAAGATCACTCTCCACTCCTCCTTATGCTGTTCAAATGGAACCTTTAATCCATTATTCACAACGTGATCCGTACTACGATACTAACATTTTATCCTCTAATACAGATTACGGCGAAAACGAAAAAGAAGATCCCATCGATCGTGGAGGAAAAGGTGGCACTATCTATATTCCAAACAAACCGTTTATTAAGGTCGTCGAAAAACCCATATACATTAAAGAACCCGAGCCAATCATCGAAATAATCATTAAAGAATCGAACGTCACCCTTCCCCCTCCTCCCACAGAACCTCCACTTCCAATTCCCAAGAAGAAAAAGGAAGAAGTTCAGGTGTTTTACGTGAAATATAAAAAGAATCCCGGCGGCTACGGCAAAGACGCCGTAATTTATGACAAACCCATACCGGCAATTTCACCGGTAATACCGGAGGAGGAGGAGGAACCCGAACCTGAGGAAGAATGGAAAGAATCGAAACCGGGTTACGATCATTACAACGAAATTCCCCAACCTAGGCCTCCCAGCACTACGCTACGAACAATTATTAAACCCGATTCTGAAACTTACCACAGCCCAGGAGGTGACATTAAAGTCACTTTTGGAAAGGAAGGCTTCGATTATAGTAAACGGTCAAGCAAACCTGACGACTACCCCGGTCAGCGACCAGAAAATCACTCGGGTCAGCAACCGAGAGCTCTACAACTGACTTCGTTTTCGGATGTTTACTTTAGAAGGCCAGAACCGACATATCAAAACGCTAATCAATTTGCATCTGAACCCAGACAAGCACAACCGTATAGACCATTTAATAATCCCCCACCACCTTTATCCGGCGGTCACTATTCTGCGCCGCCACCGCCATTTTTCCCGCAACCTAAGCATCCGTTTCAATCCCCAACAAACGTAAAAACCTTTAACTCGCCGCCATACAAATCATCGTTCCCAACATTCTCACACACCATATCACATCCCCCGCCACCACAATTTCAGTCCCATCGACAAAACTTCTCCCAGCATTCGAAACAGCACATTCATTTCGGTGAGGTTCCCGTCCCAGCTCAACGAAAACCCGTCCCATATACACCTTTCGAAAATATAAGGCCGTCTCAACCATCGCCTGTTTTACCTAGCAGCCATCATTTCGGTAATTATCAGTCAGATATCAAACTTGCACGACCAACCACCAACTACCCCTCGGCACAACAGCTGCCTCAAATTAAGCAAAATATACAGCTTAACACGGAGAGCAGGTATCCACCGCAACAACAAAGTCCTGCTGTGCAATCTCAACATAACGAGCACAGATTTAAAAGTGTCAGTGATCACCGGCCTGATGTAACGCACTTCAAAAATCAGCAGAGCGACACAGAATTCCATAAGCAAATAAGTCCGGATCAAATTAGACAACTACAACAACAACACGGACAAAATCATTATCAGTTAGAGCAAAGCCGTATCAGCAATCAGGGGGCTAACATTGAAACTATAAGGAACGCTTTACCGCCTGGAGGAGAATTAATTCATTCCATTCCTAAGTACGAGCAGCACTTGCTGGTTAATCCGTCACCTGGGACGCCGCAAGCGTTACCCCTAGTAAGCCAGAGGCAGCAGTCGGCCAACTCGTTTATTCGAAACAAACCACAAGACGATAGCAATCAGTCTAATACGAGATCGAACGCTATTAGGCAAAATGGTTTTAATCAACCGGGTATTAGTGGAACCGACAACATATCACCAGTAAGACAACCAGTGTCTTACAACAGTACACCCAGAATTTATATTTCGACAACCGAATCTACTACCACCACTAAAGAACCGGAAAAGACCTCCACGAAAGATCCAAAAATCCTGGAAGCTCAGCTTCCAGATGAAGTTCCGGAAGAATTAAGACAACAACTATTGTCTTCAGGTATTCTGAATAACGCTGATATTTCCATTCTCGATTACGATAAAGTGGGAGACATTCCTTTGTCTGCCCTACCCCCTGAGCAATTAGCAAATTTCTACAGTGCCGGTGGTGCTCAACAATTAGCGTCTGCAGGAAGTGAGTCCGTTTACCGATTGAGCCAACCCGATTCGGAGAAAAACGTCAAGAACGGGGAACTTGAAGCTGAAGCTTCTGAAACCAACGAAGTGAGAACAAAACCCGATGGAAAACAACCTGATTCCGAAACTTCCCGAACAGATACTTATATACCAGAAGCATTTCTTAGTGATAATACAAAAGAGGTGGACCCCCTACTGAATGATAGTTCGTACAACAGGTGAGTCTGTGATAAATTTACTTTTAATGATTGCTACTTACTGTAATAAAACAGACGACAAGTTGGGATGACATTGAGTATATTAAATAAACATACTTTCCGTCATGAAAAAATAGCACGTCATGGAAGAATCAAATCAAAGAACGCAAAGTACGAGTTTGATTCACTCCAGCAGTTTTAATAATAAAAATCCAGATAATTGCGTTAGGAGTATCACGAAAAGTAAACATAAGTTTTCCCAATATAGTTTCCGAACTTTCTTGATAAAATTCCGAGTAAGTATAAGGACGCTTTGAGACGTCAAAATGTGGTCAGTAGTAGCACGGCCTTCATAAAAGAAGCATTACTTCTTTTGCTCCCGCGAAGATGACAAATTGTTGAAGTATCCTATTGTAAATGACCATGTGAAGTTCGGAACAATTTAATTGTTTTTCATTACTAGTTAACTCCTGAAAATGTAATAACAGTCACTTTTGTATTCTCAAATCGGCTCCGTTTGATCAACTACCCAAGATGTATCAACTTCACAGGCTTCAACAGGCAGCAATTGTTAACCAAAAACGCCCGACGTTTTCTAACCAATTGCTGCTTCGAAAAGTCGCCCGTCTGAAACTGGCCTAAGGACTTTCTCAAAATTCGAAAAAATGCATATTTGCATAATGAAATTTGGTCAATTCGTAAACTCTATGGAGTTATATTTCTAAACATTCTGAATTTTTTTCAATTGTCTGCTTCGATATTTGTTTATTTTGATAATTTTTTTCAATTTTAAAGTGGTAGAATGAATACCTGGCGTAACCAAAGTCTTACATGCCGCAGAAAATCCCGGTTTCCCAAAATGTGTAATGTTTCACAGACCGTGAAGCACCCCGTATACTTCCTTAGAAAAATTTCAATTATTTCTCTTCGGAATAAACGATGGTAACATAAAGTAATTGTTTGAAATTCAATGATTACTATTACTATTCTTATTTCCTTCCTTTTTTAAAGAATTCCTATTTTCATATAATTAAAAATGTCACTGGTTTAGCTTCTGCAAAATACTACTTTTCGTTGATAATTTCAAAATTTCAGTATTAAAAAATTAGAACATGGAAGATAATAGACAATTTTTGTTTCACTACTTGAATATTGTTTGAAGTGGTCAAAAAATATTTAAGCAATCCCAACGATATATAAGTTTATTTACCTATTTGTGTTAGTTGCATCACCACAGTGAGTGGGAAAGTTTTACCCGTTAAATATATTATCAAAACATTTCAGTCAAAAAAAAGTCAGTATAAAGACGAAGGTAAAAGTTATTACTCAGCTTATTACAATATGTCATTGTGATGATTTTCAAATAATAGTTAATGCTAGTCTTCCTAAAGCAGAAAATGAGCCGTTTGCACAATACTCTCTTATAAGAAAAGTCATTGTAATCACAATCACTATATGCTTGAAAACAGATGCTCGAGGTGAATGTTTTATTAATGTTTATTAAAAATGTATTACGTTCTTATACTTAGACCCATTTCAATTTTTCAAGTTAATAACAATTTAAAATATATACTAGAAGATAAGTGGCTTTCAAAATTTAAACGGGAACATATATCTTATAATTCTTGATTTATAATAGATCAGTTCGACATTTTTTTGCTTTTCCCATAAATTTAGTTTTGAATTAAACACGTTCTTTTTTAATTTTCTGTGACGCTCTACACCTATCTATTCAAAAATACCCCTTCCTAATAAATTTGTATAATTTACGTTGGCTTAATTTTTGTATAGGTACCTGCCTCTGAGAATTAGTGGCTCGCAATTCCCATTGGATGTTGCGAATCTCAAAGGCAGAGAAATTTCGGACGTAGTGGTACTGGCACCTGTTACTGATGACCTGTCTGCCTCAGACAAGTCCATTGAAATTAAATCGGAAAACTATTTGGACCTCATTGAAAACAGCCACTTAAGAAAACTGCTTGAAAATACAACGTCGGAAAATTACAAAACGTATCTCCAAAGCGAAAAAAATACTACTCCGTCAAAACAATCGGTTATTCTACTCGTTACTCGGTAAGTAAATATTTGTTAACAAAATTCAATTACAACAAAAAATGTTCAGATTTTCACACTTATTTAGTGATTTATGACAGCTGTTTCGGCAATACCGTGCGTCTATCCAAAAACAAAATATAACAATTTTGCCACACATATATATAAACAGAAAGTCATAGATTTTTAATTACCTGAATAGGGTTATAAATTTAAATTTAACAACGGAGACACATTTAAATTCAATTGGTCATTAAGAAATAGATTCGAATATCTCACTTTGTTAATCTCCATAGCTTCCAACAAATGTAGTTTTTTAATTTTTGATTGACTTATACATTTCTGAATTTAAATGAATGGCATAGGTGGAATCCTAACTTTTATTTTTATACGCCCTTTTACGTTCGTTTATGCGTTTCTTAAATGTTCCACCCGTTTGTCCGATATACATTTTCGGAAAACATCCACATTTCAACTTCTAGCCTCCGGATTTGTGAGCTTTTCGCAACTTAGTTTTATTGTTTTTTAAAAAATGTCCTAGGGAGTTTTCAGTTTTAAAAGCAACTTCAAAACCAAATTTCTTCCAAGGTTCTCCTATTTATTTTATTGTTTTATAAATTTTATGTCCGGTATTTAATATGGGATAGATAGAGTGCAGAGTTATTTGAAACTGATTTTTAGTTATAATTTTATCTATCAAATATCAAAATTTTCTGTGGAAAGTGGTATATTAAATAGTGGACGAAGTGGGTTTCCCATAATTAATCCGTCTTTAGCAAAATAAAGTTGACCATTAAATTCAAAATAATTTTATTTTTAAATTTTATTTTATAAGTCTTGTTTTATGATAGGGTTGAATTGTCTTTGAGTGAGAATATTGTCTATTATGTTTATTGCGCCAATTGGTGGAATGCTAGGAAATAGATTTTGTCTTTAACCTTGTTAATTAGTTCCAAGTTTAAAGGCAATATGTTATTCTAATATTTTTATTAATTTTGTTGAGAATTTAACTGATGGTGCTGTTACAAAAGAAACTACAGACCTTATTGCCATATCCTCTTTGTGTATCAACATCTTGCATCGATGTTAGATATGTCATTAGGATCATTAGTCCAAAAATAGAAAATAGGGCTGAATATTTGAATTAATAAACATCTTAGTTTTGATGTTCCGTACAACAACCAAAACTAACAAATAGAGTCACACAAATATTTGAGGTGGTCAGAATATCTGGCGATCGCTCCGCCAATAAAAAGTAATAGCTGCATCCACAGCAATTTAACATTCTAGCGACTGCATTTTTTTTTTGAAAGATTGTGACATTGGATGATTACACTACTTACAGCGGCTTTTTAAATCTACTAGAAAAAAATGTAGCTTATTATTTTTGCTTCTTCTTTTCAGCATTGCAGCAGATCTCATTGAACACATTTTGGTTAAATTTTGTGCGTCACCAATAATATATGTATTATTATAGCGTTATGTTTTAGGATTCGATATTTTGTTTGCTGTTTAACCTGTGATTCAACTTAACATTTAAAATTCAAAATACACGGAAATGTAGCGTGTTAGGGAAATTCAACATTATGCAATTAGTAGATAAGCTCACAGATACCAAAACTGTTAGTTGACCTAACCATAGATCTTCGTTAAATTTTGCCATATATTTCCATTTATTTTGTTCTCAACTTGTCTTGTTTTATGATAGGGTTGACTTGTCTTTGAGTGAGAATATTGTCTATTATGTTTATTGCGCCAATTGGTGGAATGCTAGGAAATGGATTTTGTCTTTAACCTTGGTAATTAGTTCCAAGTTTAAAGGCAATATGTTATTCTAATATTTTTATTAATTTTGTTGAGAATTTAACTGATGGTGCTGTTACAAAAGAAACTACAGACCTTATTGCCATATCCTCTTTGTGTATCAACATCTTGCATCGATGTTAGATATGTCATTAGGATCATTAGTCCAAAAATAGAAAATAGGGCTGAATATTTGAATTAATAAACATCTTAGTTTTGATGTTCCGTACAACAACCAAAACTAACAAATAGAGTCACACAAATATTTGAGGTGGTCAGAATATCTGGCGATCGCTCCGCCAATGAAAAGTAATAGCTGCATCCACAGCAATTTAACATTCTAGCGACTGCATTTTTTTTTTGAAAGATTGTGACATTGGATGGTTACACTACTTACAGCGGCTTTTTAAATCTACTAGAAAAAAATGTAGCTTATTATTTTTGCTTCTTCTTTTCAGCATTGCAGCAGATCTCATTGAACACATTTTGGTTAAATTTTGTGCGTCACCAATAATATATGTATTATTATAGCGTTATGTTTTAGGATTCGATATTTTGTTTGCTGTTTAACCTGTGATTCAACTTAACATTTAAAATTCAAAATACACGGAAATGTAGCGTGTTAGGGAAATTCAACATTATGCAATTAGTAGATAAGCTCACAGATACCAAAACTGTTAGTTGACCTAACCATAGATCTTCGTTAAATTTTGCCATATATTTCCATTTATTTTGTTCTCAACTTGTCTTGTTTTATGATAGGGTTGACTTGTCTTTGAGTGAGAATATTGTCTATTATGTTTATTGGTGGTTTATTGAAATTGGTGGAATGCTAGGAAATAGATTTTGTCTTTAACCTTGTTAATTAGTTCCAAGTTTAAAGGCAATATGTTATTCTAATATTTTTATTAATTTTGTTGAGAATTTAACTGATGGTCCTGTTACAAAAGAAACTACAGACCTTATTGCCATATCCTCTTTGTGTAATTTAATTAAAGAATATAACTTTGGAGGTTGAGGATTCACGATTATTAGTTGGTACTTTTCCCTGTCATTAAAAATGATGAATCTGTAATTAAAGTTTAGATTGATTGATTAATTATATTATTATAAAGTTTCTGGATTCGAGGGGCATCATTATCATCAATCACAGTTTAATATTATGATTTGAACTGAGGCAACATATCTCGTTCCTCCTCCTCATGGGACGAAAAAAGTAAAGCAGTAGTCGTCCTTCCATAATTCTTCCAATGTAGTAGGTTAAAAATAAACTCACAAATGACTATCCTTCTAATAGTTACAAAGCCTTTTGAGTAAGATAAGACTTCAATTGGAATTAGCACGTAGCAAAAATTTTTATTTTTAGTGCCGGTGCCACTTCCAAGGAGAAAGAAATATTTATGTTTGATGTAGCTACTGGTACGGCAAATAAATTAAGCGGAGAGTTATCGTCAGCTTTTGTGGAGGTAGCTGAAGCAAATTCTCCCAACGAAGACCCGACAGCGACAACCGCCGAAACGGAAACACTCTCTGCAAATTTAGAACATTCGAAAAGAACAGATACCAAAACTTCAACCCCAGAATAGGTAGGTTATTACGTATATTATGTAAAGTTTTTAGTATTTATTAATGGGCAAAATTTTCATATAGGCTATATGCTAAATACTCCAATTTATAATCGCTTTAAAAACTTAATTAAATTGTTATAACAACATTTTTCGCTATATTTATTCTTCTTGATATGTTGACGTTCGCCGGTGAATTTATTCGTGCGTTTTGCAAAAGTGTACCCAAAAACTAGTCTTCAATGTAATATGATTATAAACTTTTAAAATACGAAATACATCTACTTACCAAATAAATTTAAACATTTCCAAAATTAATGTTGTATAAACTCTGTTTTATTTATAATCCAGTACTGTCTTTTTTGTGGATGGTGTTTATTCAAATGACTCAAACTACCAAACGAATCCGTGAGAAAATATGGACTTATTTATTTTTTTCAAATTTTAGGTCGACCGCAAAAATTTTAAGGAACCTGGACAAATAAAATAGGAGATTTCAGACTTTTACAACTGGTTGAATGGTGGTAGTTTGTAATTTACCAAACGTCTTTAGTCCTTTGCCATTTTATTAGTACATTCAGACGGTATTCTTAACTGCTTAATTAAAATTGCGTATACAATTTGCGTTACTGTGTTTTATATTTGTAAATACCTAGCCATAAGTATGAAATGGACGTACTATATTTATTAAATGTACTAATTTTCCATCCGTTCACCACTATTTTTTGAAATAGAGGTGACAATAATAATTGTATGCATTACGCGCAATTATATTGTCAATTGTGAATGTAGTAATATAAGTACATATTTACTTCTGTACAGTGTACGACATTTATAAATAAAGTACATATTTTTTTAGGATGATTTTGATTTAATATTATACAGGGTTTTCCGCGGTAACCGTCCACTAGAAGTTTTATGAGAAACAAAATAGATTTTCTTGTGAAACCTGGTATATAATTGGCCCTGACGTACAATTTAAAAATATTTTCGCCTATGAAATGTTAACGGTTCTACCCAAAATCGAAGGCAACATTAAAATGTTAAATGGAACATAATTATTGCATTTTGTTTTCGAATGCGAAACTTTCGCTAATTGTTCCTACACTTATGTAATATTTTATGCAGGGGACGCTGAAAAAGTACACCCTTGAAAGAAATATAATAATAGTCATTTTTTTAAATGCATACCTACATGTTTTTCAATTCCATTGACTAGGCCAACAAATTATCTACAAAATGATTATATGTGTTCCGATACCTATCTCTTATTGTTTTCTAAGAAATGAAAGATATTCTCTATTGTCATACAGCACGAATAACAATTTACGTGTTTGGCGCCCTTATAAAGATTACGCAAGGTTTTTTATTGTAACTCATTATGCAGAAAAGTATTGTCAGGTGTCAATCAATTGAAGATCCTTGACGAAGAATTACAAAAAAAGGTGTCTAGGGTATCAATGACGTCAAATTTGTAGTCTTGAAATTATTCAAAATAATCCATATTATTCTATTGAAAATTGTTCAAAATATTTGCCTCCTATTAACCGTACTAAATTCAGAAGGTATCAATAAGATTACTTTCATGCTTATCATGAAGCCTCTACGCACGTAGCGTAAAAAGGATTATGTAAATTTAATACCGTGTCCGCTCTCCATCGAGATTTTGCTCGGCGTACAGAATTTTGCGAGATATTCCTAATTTCCAAAAAGACTCAGATTTCTTTCGTAAAACAGTTTGGACTGAAGAAAACAAATTTATAAAGGAAGGTATTTTTAATAGACACAATCGACATCTTTGGGCAACAGAAAATCGACTCACATAAATAATATTGACCATTCAATTGTTCGATTCATTAAAACCAGCTCAAATAGAGAGCATGAATACTTACATTAATTTTTACATTCAATAAGGTGTTCGAACTTTTGTTACGAATACACATCAAGCACATTTGGTTGAGATTTGTGTGGGAACAATTATTGGAAGTTGTTTAAATTTTTATGTGGAATTCGAAAATACAATATGTTCCTTTTTAAATTTTAATGTTTTTCAATTTATAATTCCTACCAATAGCGTCAGTTTGTAACGCATGGTTTTGAAGAAAAAAAATGGTACGCCGCTGTCATTTTTTTAGGTGAATCTTTTCATTGACCAAAAATGTTGGTTATAGTTTATAAACGTCATTTTCAAATCACTCTTTGTTGAGAAAACCTCTAGCTGACATCTTCAAGGGAGACTTTCCTCACGCCTGATCAGAGCAATTGGATATTTTAAAGTAAAAAGAAAAAAGATTTAGTGCATGCCTTAGATTTCGTGACCAGGTATTACAAAATTATGTAAATTCACTAAACTATATTATATAAAGTAAACAGAATAGAACAGAATAGTTGATTATTTATCCTATACAATATGCTGAAATGAATAAATAAAAATAAAAATGTAAACAATAAATAATTGAACTGGATGTACATATTAATATAATTAAATTAATATACGACGACCATTTCTTATAAATATTTCTGGACCTTAAAGTATACAGACTCATTATTTACAGATCTATTTAGAAGAGTTTGATCCACATCCAATTCCAATTTGGACTTGAGTTCTGTATCGCTGACATTGTATTTTTTCTGATGGGTAATTAGAGTTGGGTCAACAGGAATAAGTTTTTTCACAATAGAAGGCAACTTCACACCTTTGGTACTGCCTTCAATCTGCTCTTTGGCGGGTTTGAAAAGAGCAGGAGGGATGATTTGCATTTTATTAGGCACATTTTCTTTATGTATTTTTGAAGAGGAAGGTGGCAAACTGGTAATGTTTGTTAGCTGTGAAGGTTTGACCTTGACATTATCATTATGTGCGGGAGTGTTTCTGATATAAATTCCAACGGGGCTCAAAATATTGGCATACTGCTTATGACTAGATTTGCTGGGGGTCAAAAGTTTCGAATTTGAAGTAACAGGTATCTTAAATATAGGTTGTTTTGGTGTTGATTTTAGAAACAAATTGCTTGAGCTTTTTGGTAATCTAGATTCAAAGTGAGTAATAGGTCTTCCAGTAGACTTGATAACTTTTTTTGGAATAGAGGAAATACTCATTTTATCTGCACTGTGAAATAATCGACTTGTTGATACTGGTTCTCCTTCTTCGGTATGCATCTTATTTTCTTCAAGAAATCTATTAATCTCATCGAGAGTATCATTAAGATCATAATCAAGTGCGCTTCCCTCAGATGTAGTTACTGAACAATTAATATTTGTAAAATCTTCTGTTTCCTCTCTTATTCTGCTCAGAGCATCTGCTTTAATGTTCATAATTTCATTATCACTATTTTCTGAACGAAATGAAACTGGGTATTGGTCAACTTCACCATTATTATCCTCCAAGCGTATCAAACTAAGGGAGTCTTCATTGTCACAAATCATACTGTTTTCCACAAGAGTTTGTTTAATGCTTTCTAAGTCAATTCCAGATCCGCTTCTTTCCAAAGGCGTAAAAAAGGAAGAAAAGTCAGATTGTGGTTTTCTGAAATCGGTAGTAAGCTGATCTTTTTCTGAACATTGATCACAGTAGTTCTTCTCCCCAATGGTTAGATCAAACCTTCATGTAAAAGAAAAAATACATTAAGCTATACCACACCTAACTGTACAACATGATCATAAATATTAAATTTCTGTGAAATTATCTAAAAAAGAATTTACTTACGGAAATGAATGTCGCCTGTCAATTTTTCGGCCTTTGCAGGACCTCGCATCTCGTTTGGCTTCTGTTATTGTGTACGGCCCAAAACAAACTTCCTCATCTGAAGATAAGTCACTCATTTTGAAGAGGTGATTTTAATTATTTGAAATCTCTTCAAACGGTTTTTCCCGTGATAGTTTTGGTCAGTTCCAAATCATTGAATAAAATTCAATTTAATAAGCATAGTACTAACAAAGCAATATTCTTGTATTTTCTTCTTTATTATCAACATCTTGCATCGATGTTAGATATGTCATTAGGATCATTAGTCCAAAAATAGAAAATAGGGCTGAATATTTGAATTAATAAACATCTTAGTTTTGATGTTCCGTACAACAACCAAAACTAACAAATAGAGTCACACAAATATTTGAGGTGGTCAGAATATCTGGCGATCGCTCCGCTAATGAAAAGTAATAGCTGCATCCACAGCAATTTAACATTTAACATTTAAGATTGTGACATTGGATGATTACGCTACTTACAGCGGCTTTTTAAATCTACTAGAAAAAAATGTAGCTTATTATTTTTGCTTCTTCTTTTCAGCATTGCAGCAGATCTCATTGAACACATTTTGGTTAAATTTTGTGCGTCACCAATAATATATGTATTATTATTATAGCGTTATGTTTTAGGATTCGATATTTTGTTTGCTGTTTAACCTGTGATTCAACTTAACATTTAAAATTCAAAAGACACGGAAATGTAGCGTGTTAGGGAAATTCAACATTATGCAATTAGTAGATAAGCTCACAGATACCAAAACTGTTAGTTGACCTAACCATAGATCTTCGTTAAATTTTGCCATATATTTCCATTTATTTTGTTCTCAACTTGTGCATATTTTTTGGTGTTATTTATAGCAGATAAACTGTTAAACATGCATGTATTTTTAACTGGCAATTTTGCAATTATAGACGCGATGCAAGCAAAATGGACTTGATTATTTTGTTGGAGTTTTATTTTTAAAAGTTATTTCGTTTATTTGTCAAAGTAAAATTTGCTGCTGATAATCTGCTATACTTTTATAGTAATTTATGCCATTAGTAAAACTGTTTTCATGCTAATTTTAAACCAAAAACAATTGATGTGCCTAAAATAAACATATTGTTTTGCCATATAATACTTGTATTGCTGTTACAATGTTACAAAAATTAAATAAAACATTACTACTAAGAAACTCGCCGTTTTTTTATTTCTTAAATTTTTGAGAAGGCAAAAGTATCTCGCTAACATCTTTGAAATTTTGCTTTCATTTTTGGCCCATTGCGACGTTTTTTTTAGATGGGGATGTTTGGGATGAAACATAAAAGGGACACAATGTTGCTATTGTGTATAATAATACTACACATATACTACATTCGCAAAATGCAGGATTCCCGTGGTTAAGCTACTGTAATATTGCCCAAGGCGCATCTAACGTCTTTCAAGATGCTGTTAATATTTCTGAGGTATTGCTGCAGCTCTTCGTCCACCCGCTATCTGACCGAGCACATCCAATTATCGTTGCTCTGCCTATTCCATTGTTTTTGGCATGACAAATCAGTTTAATTTTGCCAACTTTGCTACGGTTGGCCGTCATGTCTCAGATAAATAACAACTCTACAATATAACCTAAATATGCTACACGTCATCTTTTTGGGGCAAAGTTTTATCAGATACATAAATTATTTGCCACATCCGTACATATTTGCAAAGCTACTGTGAAGTGTAAAAAAAGCCATGACGAAAGAATATGCTTTAAAAGCATTAATTTTAGTGGGAGGGTATGGAACTAGATTGCGACCCTTAACATTAACATGCCCCAAGCCTTTAGTGGAGTTTGCCAATAAGCCTATATTGTTACACCAAATTGAGGCTTTGGTAGCAGCTGGAGTTACTGAAGTTATTTTAGCAGTATCTTATCGTGCTGAGCAAATGGAAAAGATAATTACAAGTGAAGCAAAAAAATTGGGAATTGAAGTTGTGTTTTCTCATGAAACCGAACCGCTAGGTACAGCTGGACCAATTGCTTTAGCTGCTCAGCATCTAAAGGAAAGCAATAGTCCATTTTTTGTACTGAATTCAGATATAATTTGTGACTTTCCATTTAAAGAATTATTAGATTTTCACAATTCGCATGGAAAGGAAGGTACTATTGTGGTCACAAAGGTAGAAGAGCCTTCGAAATATGGGGTTGTAGTTTATGAAAGAGATGGATGCATCAAAAATTTTGTTGAAAAACCTCAAGAATTTATTTCCAACAAAATTAATGCAGGAATTTATATTTTAAATCCAGCCATTCTAAAACGAATAGAAGTTCGTCCAACTTCTATAGAGAAGGAGGTGTTTCCTGGAATGGCTTTTGATAAACAGTTATTTGCTTTTGAACTGCAAGGATTTTGGATGGACATTGGACAGCCAAAAGATTTTTTGACTGGAACATGTTTATATCTTAAACATCTTCGAAGTACAGAGTCTAAAAAACTAAGTGAAGGACCCGCCATATTAGGTAAATTAAACAAATAAATATTAAATTGTAGTTTTATCATATAAACCAAATTACAAGATCTGAGAAAGTGTTCTCAAGTTCCATTTTTACAATCAGGTTACTGTTTCTACCTTTATAGTTTTAATTTTGAGAAATTTGTTCATACTCCAAATTAATGCATTAATATTTGCGAAAATTCTATAAAAAAACTTTAAATTCAACAGGTCAATAAAAAATACAATTTCAGTTTAAATGCTCTCAGAATTATGAAATGGGTAAATTTTTAAACAAGTATTATTTTGATTTTTACAATTCCGAGTTAAATGAGAATATGCTAGTAGAACATGTAGTAAAATGTTTTTTTAACAGGTAATGTGCTAATTGACCCTTCAGCTAAAATAGGAGTGAATTGTCGCATTGGACCAAATGTTGTCATAGGAGCTCGTGTTGTTATTGAGGATGGGGTGTGTATCAAAAGATCCACTATACTCCATGATACAATAATCCATTCTAACTCATGGTTGGAAAATTGTATCATTGGATGGAAATGTTCTATAGGTCAGTGGGTGAGAATGGAAGGTTTGACTATTTTGGGAGAAGATGTAATTGTTAAAGATGAATTATATGTGAATGGGGGACAAGTTTTACCTCACAAAAATATTGCCACTTCGGTACTTGAGCCACAAATAGTTATGTAGAATTAAACAAAATTGTTTACAAGTGAAGATGTAAAAGTATAAATTCTTGGACATTGGAAACTATTTTTTCAACTTAAAATTTCAGAGAACTGTCTGAAAAATGTTTTTTTCCAAAAGATGGCTAATTTCCACTTAATAGTTTCATTAACAGAAGACAGTTCCTCTTGTGGTTTTTAGTTTCAGAAAGAATTAAAATTATTGAAAGTGCTGAAAAAGTGCTAAAATAATGATAATTTTACCTTTTATATGTATACTAAACCCCTGAAGTCCAGCTAATTTTTTGATACATTTATAACACAACCTGTGAAAAATTTATGATTAAACTATTGTAATTTTTTGCGCCTAATTTAGTTTTGATATTCTTATATTCTTTGTCTCTGTTAAAACCCCATTAAAAAAAATTAACACAAACCCAAGGTCCAACAAATCAAAGGAAGGGTTGTGTAATCCTAATTATGTAATTTTAACTACATTCTCTATTTGTTGAATAAAAAGCAATTTTTAGTTAACTGTGAATTATTAGAATGAAATCCACATTAAGATTATAGTCATTCCAATAATGAATTATAATTTGCTACTTCTTTTACCAGTCACATACTAAACTTGATTAGTACAATGCATAAGTAATACCAACTTATCCAATCTTCTGACAAAAAGGGCAGTTTTAAATCGGATACTGATCAATAAAACCATTTCACAGTTAAAAATGTATTAATTATACATCCAGTAGTAAACCTTCACTTCCAATAAAAGAAAAAAATAAAGTGTTCAAATAAGATCAGCTACATTCATAGGCATTTCATCTATCTGCGTTGAATAATACTGTTCAATATCTCTCAAAATTCTGATATCATCAGATTTAACAAAATTGATCGCAACACCTTTACGTCCGAACCTTCCTGACCTGCCGATACGATGAATGTATAATTCCCTGTTATTTGGTAGGTCATAATTTATAACCAAGCTTACTTGTTGTACATCTATACCTCTGGCCCAAACATCAGTAGTTATCAAAACCCTACTTTGACCTGATCGAAATTCTTTCATTATATTATCTCGTTCTTTTTGAGGCATATCACCATGCATTGCGCTCACTGTAAAATTGCTTTCCCTCATTTTTTCAGTCAACCAATCGACTTTCCTTTTAGTGTTGCAAAAAATAACCGCCTGTGTTATTGTCAATGTGTCATACAAATCACATAAAGTATCAAACTTCCACTCCTCTCTTTCAACTGCCACAAAGAATTGTTTTATACCTTCCAGTGTAAGTTCATCACGTTTTACCAAAATACGGATTGGATCTGTCATGAACTTTGATGTAATTTCAAGAATCTCATGTGGCAAAGTGGCAGAAATCAAGACCACTTGTGTTGATGGTGGTAAAAATCTGTAAACATCATAAATTTGTTCCTTGAAACCTTTGTTGAGCATCTCATCTGCTTCATCCAGGACTAACATTTTTACTGATCTAGTGCGAAGAGCTCTTCTACGAATCATATCTGCAATAAAAATAAAAAAAACTATTTGACTTTGGACACTACAATTACGAACAACAAAAAATTAAAATTGCTAGTTTAGCTGTCTTACAAAATTGTTAATGAACACTATAGAACAGGGAGTCAACAATCAGCGGCCTTTGCAATTTTTCGCGAAGCCTGCCAGAGCACCAATATATACAATACCTGCCTTAGAAGAAAACTAAATTTCGAAAGTCAAAGTGAAGTTTATGCAAAACTAAAAAGCAACAAATCCATACCATAAACTCTTCCAGGTGTACCACTAACTACATGTTGTCCATAGTCAAGTTTGCGAATGTCTTCACCAAGATTTGTGCCTCCAATGCAAGCGTGGCATTGGACATTCATGAAATCTCCTAAAGCTAAAATTACTTTCTGAATCTGAACGGCTAACTCCCTGGTAGGTGAGAGGCACAATACTTGGGTCTCTCGGACGGTCAGATCAAGTGATTGCAAAATAGCAATTGAAAATGTAGCCGTTTTTCCTGTTCCAGATTGAGCTTGAGCGATAACATCGCGGCCCTTCATTATGGGTTTAATAGCTCTCTGTTGAATGGCAGACGGTTTCTCAAAACCATATGCATAAATACCCCTGGTCAGTTCTTCTCTCAAATGCATTTTAGAAAATTTATCAATAACCTCCACATCTTCACTAGTTTCAAATTCAACATTGGATAAGTCCTCAAAAGCAGGAGTATTACGGCTCCTAGTAGACATGATGGAGTCTCTGTGCCTTTCAATAAACAATATGTTCTTCAAAAAGTGGTTCAACACACAACTTTCTTATGAATCACAGAACAATAAATTTACTGAACCTCGGCATACACGATTCTTTTTTAATTAAGTTTAAAGTGTTCTGTGCTGGAACCTCGATGGTGATGGAGGAATGTCCTTGGTAGACGCTCAATAAGAAAATCAAGTCAAGAAAAACAACAAGAAGCGTTCTATGCTCTTTTTAATTAATCCAGTTGTAACCCACTGGGTTGATTGGTAAAAACCAACGAAATATATTTCTCGACAGTAATAAGCAATGGACGAATAATGTTAGTAATAATGCGCAATATTTGTTTGGGAAAATCTTTATTGTGGCTTCTCAGAATTCTAATTAAACTATTTTCTATGTTCTACCTTTGCTGTGCATAAAAACAAAAATTTTACTTGTCCAATATGATTGTTCTTTGGACATTAGGAAAAACCCTGGACGGATGACGGTGATGAGCGAGTGTTCATGGTAAACTGACTAATCAAAGCAAAAAAAAGAAAAGAAAAAAGTTTCCTTATAACTTATCATTCTCCTTCTTTTCCCAATTTATATCTCTTATCTATGCCCAAATCAGAAAAATTGCCTAAATATTTAAATAAGTGATTCAGCTAAAATTTTAATTCTTTTGGTGATCCATTTGTTGTAGATTGTTTTTATTCATAAATTAAGGATGTCAGTTGACTGGTTCGGGTATATATATGCTGGAGCAGTGGCTGCTGGTGGAATTTTAGGTTATTATAAAAAAGGTACCCTTAAAAACTGTTTTAAACATGTATTAGTTACCTCATCATGATTCAACTTTTTCGGAAAAATCCACTGTGATAATTTAAAATTAAAAAATACTGAAAAAACAGCACTGTATTAGAAAACAATTTATAAATTATTTGTTCTTGAAGGATCTGTACCTTCGCTGGCAGCAGGATTGCTGTTTGGAAGCGTGTTGACATATGGCGCTCATCAGGTTAGTCAGAATCCTCCTAATTATACTGTACAATTGATTGGAAGTTCCATTTTAACTGGTGTGATGGGGTACCGCTTTTACAACTCAGGAAAAGTCATGCCAGCAGGACTTGTGACTTTACTGTCACTGGCAATTATTGGAAAAATCGCTTTCCAATCTGTCAGCAGCATTAAAACATGAATCCATTATATATTGTACATATATAAACAGAAAGTTAACTTAGTTAAGTCAAATGGAAAACAGAATTATATCGTGCCAACTTAAATTGTGTTTTTGAATTGTTTGTTAAAATTATTAACTGATATGACCCTCAAAATATTATGGACAACTTGACACAGGATTAATAAACATTTATATTAACAAAACATATTGCTATCACTCAAAGTAAAAATGCAATCAGAAAATTTTATTTAAAACATTTTTTGATGCAGATTCAGCACAACAAAAACAGTAACTGAAAATATCAAATTTGAATAAATTTTATCATCGAAAAGTCATTTGGTATCATTAGCGCAAAATGTACAGTAAGAATAAATATTTAAATTTTAACTAACCAGGCTTACCAATTACTAATGTTAATGTCATTTTTTTTTACTTTCCAATGTCTAGTGAACAAAGAAGAAAACCTCCGTCAGATGTATGTGATAAAGTGGTTTAGACTTTTGAAGCTGTTATTTTTAATTATAATAATACAAATTCTTTGGTACCACGGTGACGTAGACGACACATCCTCTGTAACCTCTATTTACTGAACTCCTGTGTGTTTTCAAGGCCCGGTCGACACGATGCAATTTCTACATGTATTTTTCTACTCCTATCTGTAAAATACCTAATTACGCAGCGATCTAGCGTGCGGGAAGCATCACTTTACCACGTCAGTTTCGTTTCCCATATGCCAATTCTGACGGTCATGTCAGTGAATCTATTGGTGTTGTTTTGCGAAAATGTACCCAAAATCTAACGGTCGTAGAAAAAGTATAGAATGCAACACGTTCGGTAACTTTTTAAGTCACTAGTTTGTTAAACGCTCTCTTCGCTGCACTCCGCTCATGTCAAATAAACTCGTGAATCAAATGCCGTTTACCGCACTTGCTGCATACTTTAATATTCTCATGTAAATATTGCTACATGTCTAGTACCAAATTGCAAGAAATTTGACATGAAATTATCAACTATTTTTCCCGAATTTGCGCGTGTAAATCGGCGAAAAGCGTTTGTTGTTTTTATAAACTTATAGGTTTAACCTGTATGAAGAATGTAAATGGAGTCCAAAATTGCTCTTAAAAGTCTAAATAACAACTTTATGAGATATTACACAGGAAAAATCTAAGAGGAAAAAAATGTTCAAAAAGCAACTGTGGAACTTCCCTAGTAATTGCAGATGAACGTTTCGCCTTCCAAACATAAATTAATTACAAAAAAAAATAAAAATCTCTATAGAGCAAGTCAATAAAAAATTTGTTTAAAAAAACTGTCTCAATATGCAACCTAAATTAGTTCTAATTGAAAGAGAAATTGGTTTTAGAGAATACACAAACTAATTTATATTGCATTTCATTCAGAACTTAAAGCAAAAATTCTCTTCTCGTTTCTAGTGTTGGCATTATGGGTTTTTCATTATACACTTACAGTTATATTTGTCGTAAAAACATTTTTGAATAAAGTTTAGCCACTTGGCACTAACAAAGGCTAAAAAGTATCGTTTAGGGCTTCAAAAATTTAAAAAACAACCTTTAAAAACAAAATTCCACTACAACAATCAAGCCCATTTACTCAAAAAAATTGCATCGTTTCTATCATAAAAAAATTGCCGGTTAAAAAACAACAAATTTTTATCTGCTAAAAATACATGTAGAAATTGCATCGTGTTTACCGGATTTGTTTTGCAAAACGGATACAAGTTGCAAAGAATTTCCGTTAACGTATAACCCAGAGAATACAAATAAGATTGCAATGCCGTTGAATATTGTGGTCGTTAAGATCATTTAAATTTTTTCAGTTTTGAAATTGTGTTGTTTTTGATATTTGTGTATTTCAACCGTGGTTTATTGTGAGTTAAAAATGGCTGACCCTGTTGAGAGTTGCATTCAAAGCCTGAGACAGGCAAATGAAAAAATTGTTTCATGCTGGTGAGACAACAAATATTTATCTGCCTAAACTAGCGTAAAAAACAATTTTCTGTACAAAACCATGAAGTTTAAAACTAGGGAGATTGTGGTACACATTTCTTCTGGTCATATCAATATCTAAATGTCTTAAACCATAATTCAGAGGGGAAGGTTTAGAGAAAATTTCCACAACAAATCTCCAAAGCATGGTTAAATTGTAGATTAATGTCGACATTAGGAATATATATTCATTTTGTAGCGACTCAGCGTTTTCTTCTCCAGTTTTTACACATATGCCACGTTCTGTCCAGAAAGACTGGAAAATTAATTTCTTAAATGTTGAAGATGTATTCTCTAAATCACTAGAAAAAGCAGGAGTAACAAGCAAATTAAGGACTTCAAAGGAGGAATCTAATAAAGCATCAAAACATATTGGGTAAGCAAAGTAAATTTAATTTTTAAATGTGTCAGGTGATTCAATAGTTGAGCTAGAGGTTGCATATCACAGGAACTAATCTTCTCAGAAATTAAGAGTCAAACATATTAAGAAATATCATGGCAGCAATTTTGGCATGAATGTAACCTTTTTCATCAAATTTCAATCTACTTTCTGACTTTGATGAATATATTTATATTACTCAGCAGGACTTCACATGATTTTTTGAGATAGAAACTTAAAATGTGTTTTCCTCACAATCCGACTACTATTAGTTCTTGCTGGTACCCTGCAACCCCTAATAATCATTAGCCTGTAGATTAATAGTTATGTTTGTAGAAACCAAGTGGAGGATGAAATAATTTCCAATTTCAATCTGGGAGTCATATTAGAAAAATATAGAGAAAACCTTCAAAAAGAGCTTGAATTTTTGGATAAGGAAATTGAAGAAGTTAATGTTAGTTTTAGTGAGTGTTTCAAGACAATTTAAGACATTATTCTTTTTTTAAGCAATATATGTTCAATTAGTAAATATAGCTTGGATTTAATAACATTGTTATATTTTTTATGCAATAGAAGATGTAATTAAAAACAAATTAGATCATTGTTGGAAATAATAATAAAGTTGTGAATCAATAATTAAGTTAGCTTACTTATATCCAACATGGCTTCCTATATGCTGTGGTCAAGCTCTAAAAAGATACATACATAAATATACAGATTAATTTTTTACATGTATTATTGCACATTTTATACTAAAATTTGACTTTAATAAAGGCGGCTGTGCCAATTTAAATATGGCAATATAATAATTATTTTTTGCTGTCAATTTTTCATTTGCAATTTTAATTGAAAAAGTGCTAAAAGTTATGGAGGCAAATAAGATACAAAATTCAAAACTCCTTCAGCTGAGCAAAGAAGAAATAGAAATGCTACCGATGGAAGATGTATTAAACTTGATATCAGTTTATGAAGAGAAATTAGAATCAGGTAGATATATGAAATATATAACAAACACAAAAAAGACCAAAATGTGAAATCAATTTTTTTTTGCAAAACTTTGGAAATGGCAGGTGAGACATTTCCGGAAAATGTCATGTAAATATACTCATTCTGAAAAGGTAATCATTTGCATAAACAGTTCCTGTCATTTTAAAATATTTTCAGCAGTTCTACATTAGCGCTTGTTTGAAAATGTAGCACCATCTTTGATATTTGAAATATAATGCATTTATCATTTTCAGATTATTATACTTTTTCTAAATCCATAATTGCTCTAATGCTAACAACTGAAATGTTGCGATTCTTAGAAAGATAAAATTTTAGATGTTCACAAAGATGCATTCATCTGTACAAACATTTGTTCAATGTTATACAGAGGCTTGCTTTTGTAATATAGGATTATACCGCTAAACACACAAATGCATGAAGATTTTTTAATTGTACCCCCCCTACGTTTTATCAGATTTTCTTTTTTTGATTTTAAAGTATCAGCTTAATTATTATTGAACGCAAAATCAGGTAGAGTTGAAAATGATTAAGGTGCAAAAATAAATGCTCATAATATTAAATATGATATTTTGCAGTCTTAAGTTTCAGTTAGGCAACGCCTTCTTCAACACAAACTACTTAATGAAAAGCAGAAAGTTGATTTGCTTGTAACCCAACGCCAAACCTTGGATGATAGCCGAAATAAATACAAAAATTTTATAGAACAGGTAAACCCCGTTGAAAATGATTTTTTTTTTAATTTAAAAAGTTTTTCCTTTTATTATTTAGTTAGAACAGATTTAAGTATTTGACACTTTGTTCCAGGTGCTCTGCATCAAAGAAAGGAACGTTGAGTCACAACTGCGCGTTGGAAATATTGGAGTTCCAATTGCAAACAAAAAAATGGAAATGTTTATCGAGAAGTTTGAAAGCAAAAATATATAGATATAAAGTGTTTCTAAGATTTTTGTCAGACTAGTATGTCCAATATAATAATATTATAATCATTAAATAACTATTATAACTCATAAAGTCCTTGTACAAAAATGCATGTATTCCGAACAACCGAATTTATGACCACATTCAAGTGTATTCTTAACCCTGTATTTCAACAGGAACAGTTAATCAGATTTTGCATTATATACAATAATTGTTGAATTCAATAAAATAAAAACAGATATTACTGATTTATTTAGCCAACTTAATGAAAAAAAGCAATTGCAAGGTTGCAAATCATAGAATTCTAGGAAGTTGTTTACATTATAGATGTCAAGATAAATGCCACAAATATTAACATTACAAGAAAGTTTTTGCCTGAGATATTTTGATTGGCGAAATTTTCTAGTGTCCCCAAATGTAATGATTATTATCCATATTAATATATTTCATATGTCGTCAAAACACGGGGAAATACAAACTATACACGAATACTACCAATATTTCTGTTGATTTTTCAGCTAAGTACAATACTGTATTTGGATGTAAGCAAATAAAATACAAATATGTAACTCTAAGTATATATATTGTATTGTATTTAAAATTTGAATTCCTTATATTTCTTTGTAGTTTTTGAATCCTGTTGTTGTCTTTTACGTTTGCTCTGAAACAAAATAACAAAATTGTGTTAAATGAATGCTAAAAAAAAGACTATTGAAAATTTCAAAACCTACAACAATCAAGCTCATAAAATATACTTGTGAAAAGAACTGAACTGAACTCAAAATACAATCTTTTCTTTAAATTTCAAAACAACCATGTAGTTCTCACCTTTTGCTTTGCCACATGTTCTGCTAACAAGTCACTAAGGTCTTCCTTCTGCAGTTGTGACTGGTTTTCCCTCATTTGCTGTTCATAACGTATAGCCATAGCATCACTGTCCATGTCTAATTCAGATGGGTCTAATGCTAGTTCAACCATCCCTTCACGATCTCCTCCACGTCTGATATTTGGTGCTGGAGGAACTGGTACTCCAGCTGCTGACACGTCATACATATGGGTGCTTCCCATCATAGCGCTTCCAATGCGTTCGTTACGTTTTTCAGGAATAATGTGATAAAGCACTGGAGTTTCAGCTCTGAAATGGTCAATAACATTTAGTGCAACCTATACAATATAACTTCAATTGGAAATGAAAATAAGGTAAGCGAACGATGCTTCTCAGTAGCCTGTATACATTTAAAACCTGCAGTTTTTTTTAACTGTAACGAAGCATTAAACAATTTATTAATAATTATTAAAATTAATAAATCTGAATATTATGAATTTTAATTTTTGAGAAAGTTAAAAATAAAAATGTTAAGCAAACTCACCCTTCCATGTCATTTTCAATCTTCTTTTTTCTAAGCTCAATTGCTTCAGGGGTTTCCATACCAGCAGGTATACTGGCCATACCACTTGGGGTAACCAAACCTTCAGCTGGGGTCACAAGACCCGATTCATCGGGTATGCCTGGCTCTGCTTCTTCTTCTTCCTCCTCCTCTTCACTTTCTTCCTCAGATTCAGACTCAAGTTCGCCCCATAATGTCCTATCAATAGATGGATCTTCGCCAATATCCTTGAGATAGTTTACTATTAAAATTTAAATTTTTACTGTATCCACATATTACTTACATCAATGTGACTGGCGTTTGTTCCAAACACATCACCATAAAGAGGCTTTCCATTTTCATCTACAGGTGGTTTACCCCAACCACCAGCGTGATAGCCAAATGAACAACTTTCAGGAATTGGAGCATTAAGACCTGGAATTTTTAAATTGGGATAACTTGGTGGAGGACCATATCTCTGCATTGCAATTAGCCACGGGGGTGGTACCTGTAAATTAAAAATAATAACAAACGGCGAAACAACGATTAACAACAAATCGACAAAAGTTACCAAGGAACTTACTTTGTTGGCATTAGGACCAACTGGCATTCCCAAAGCAGTACGAAGCTCTTCTGAGAGGTCTCCCGGTTTTTTCTCTTTAAGCCTAGTCTCAAATTCCTTTCCTTCATAATAAAGGTCACCATGAATGGTCATCTTCGGCTTTGTTTGCCACCTGCCAAAATTAGAAAATTGCCTTTGTCATACTATACGCTCATATCAAATCCTTGTAAAGTCCTGATTAATTATTACAAGCTCACAAGAACTCAATATACTATATTTATGGCATTAGATGTCCAAAAATTATTGAAGGAACACTTACTTAAAAAAAGCATCATGTAATTTTTGGTAATCGATATCAATTTTACCAAGCTTTGGTCTTGCTCTCTCCCTCATTTTTGCCTTTAGTGTTTTTGACTCGTCTTTTTCTTGAAGTGATGCTCTCATTTCCATTATTCCAGTGCGTTTAATAAAATCTGGTAAGTTAAATGGTGGCTTTTCTATACCCCTTTTGCCTTGTAAATATTTTCTTTTAAAACACCAATGGCGAGGTACCTAAAATGTCTTGTCAATTATGTATGGGAACTTTGCTATATGAACTATATCATGTCATAATTTTTAAGTTGATTAGTTAGTTAAAGTTAATAATAACTTAATGAATTTATTAACAAGGTAAAAGTTCTCTTTTCTATTTGTTCTTCTAAACTGTGGACCAATTAACTTTAATAAATATGGACCAAGCAGATATGTATCTATCAGATTATAACTATTTTTTATTAAATTATTATTTGTTACATGTAATGACAGGTCTGCAGATATAGCAGATGAAACTAGTAGAACAACACATTGTAGTAGGGTGCAGATCATGTAGAATAAAAGTTCTTTTCATAAAAGTTATATGCCACCCATTAAATTCAAAACCAAAAAATTTTTAGAATATAAATCAAACCTGGACTGTGTTCCTATGTGCCTTTAATTGAACAAGTAGCTTGGGATCTCTTGCTGTAACGTCATGCATTTCTACCACATCAGGACGGTGAACCAATTGCTTAAGTTCTGCGACACTTAGTCTGGTTAATTTTTTTAACTTTCTTTTAGACATCTTGGATTTATCATCAATTTTTTTCTAAAATTATGTGATTCTCCAAATAGTTTCATTGCTTCCAGTATATCTTGTTCATATAGTGAGCCCAAAATATTGACAGTGTAACAAAATACTTTGCCCACGATATGATTAAGCAATGGAATTAAAGCTAATAATCAATTAGAGAAAAAATGATGCTCACATCGTCCATTTCTTCATTGTCCTCATTCATCATATCATCACCAATCATTGGCTTAGCGGCCCCTGAAAGAGAAGTGGGTATTGCTAATACTGGTGGTGGAATGTCAGCTTTTTGTTCTGACATCTTAAAGGATTGAAGAATGCTGTAGAACTGCCTATATTGTGGTGCTAACTCATGTAGACCTATGGTCTCTTGAACATACCTAAGTTTAAACAAATGTGTAATTGAATTCCTTATTTCAAATCAAAACTTACTCAATATCAGTACTTTCAGTTTCTTTGCCAATTTCATTTTCAGTATTATTTTCCTTTGCTGATTCACTTTCTTTTTCTTTTTCTCTTTGAATGTTACGCTTATTCTTCTTTCGTTTTTTCTTTTTTTTATTTCTGCTGACCTTGTCACTTTTTTCTGTATCTTTAGGAACTGCAGTTTCTTCCACCTCAGTATCTATCACCACATCCTAAACATATTTCTTGAAAATATCAATACATAAAAAAAAATTAAACTAACATTTTCTTCTTTTTCCCATAAGGGTCGACGTTCCAAATGATTTTTTCCAGACACATTTTTTGCAATCGATTCCTCAGATTCCTCTGTTCCAAGCTGCAGCGCCCTCTGAGTTTTTAAAGCTAACACATCTTCCAGAACTTGGGGCAACACAACTTCCCCTTCATTATTTTCAGGTAGTTGCTCTGGTGGCTCAACTTTTAGAGATAGTAAGGAAGGTAAATGTCTTTCCATCACAACTGGAGAGGGCTGCATCACTGAATTATCACCTTATTTAAAATAAATGAAAATTTCTTTAAAGTTATTGAGATAGTGTTTAAGATATAATTTTCCTAATGTTGCATTATATGTAGAATCTTAATTATCATATAGGTATTCTTTGTCGTCTAAAACAAATTTCAATATTCCAAAATATTAGAAACTTACCCATCTCATATGTAAGCTCCATTAAGAGAGTTTCTGATGTTTCTTGTATAGATAGAACTTCTAACGGAACATTACCGCGGGCCATATCAGGAGACTCCTAAGATTATAACATACTGACTACTATTGTGCAAAAACCTAAAACCCTACCTCATCTCCTAAAAATGGTTGATCTTCAGGCATACTTCCTGTAGTTTCCATCGGGCAATTGTATATATACAACCCAACGCAAATCTCTATGTGCTAGCAAAATAGTGATGGAATAACCTTTTTAAGACCCTAAACAAACCATCCATAAGTTTACCGATTCCACAGATAAGTGGTTTATTAATCTTAAACCACGGAATGTAGAGAAAAAACTTTTTACGCTAAGTTGGGCATACTTCGAAGATTACCACAGAATAGAATTTAAATAACCTTTCGTGGAGCTGCCGATCAATTAATTCAAAAACTTGTAATTCACATTTACGTTTCAAGCAAAATTTATTGCATTAAAAGTCAAAATAAGAGTGTTAAGAAAACTATTTGTTCGATCTATGCGTATGTAATTTGTTTCAAGGAGATTAGGTACGGCACTGCTCGAACTATAATGCCTGGAAATAAATGGCTTATCCTCGCTGCTTTTTACAGCTATCATATTTGAACGATGCTCCTAAAAAGCTGCAAGCTGCATTTATAATCAATTAGATGGCCAAGTGGAACTTTGGCACCTAATCAGACAAGCAAATCACAATTTAATTCCGAGAAGAAAGTTAACACATGAGTATATTAACAAATGAGACATTTTTTATAGCTTAGACGCATTAATGTTCGACACGAATAAAAATGCACTTACTATTATTAAAAAAAAAAAGAAACGTGTTAGTACTTTAAATACATGAACTCAACTACTATAATATGTGTAACGTGATGTGATAAAAAATAAATAAAGTTGTATTTGAACCTTTTTTAAAATTTAAATTTAAAACTAGTAATTTCTAGGACCACAGCACTATTAGTGACGTCACGTCAACATCAGATTTTGTTCTACAACTGCTCATTCAATAGTTCTTCAATATTCAGTGTTCATATTACTTTAATTTTAAGATTTATTAGTAGCTAAGTATACAACACGCTGCAAAAATAATGCAGGACATTTGAAAAGCAAAGTGAATCATATTTTTGTAATATCCAACGAGCCAGCTATTATCATTCTTTTTGCTTCTGTCGTATTTTTATTTTTACCATAGAACATAACTGGTGGAGTTGAAGTTGTCCTGGCGATATGTATCTTTCCATCGAAAAATTTCGTAGCTTGCATGTTCAAAATGTTGAAATATGTCCCTATTGCGTTTGACAATCCTTGGAGTCGTGTATCGGAAGTGTCGAAAAAGTAACTTTATTGCGAGTAGTTGAAGTGCTAGCAGGTGGATTGAATTGAGATCGTCTCGGTAACGGAATTTAAATACTGAATATTTAACGAAATGGATTGTAATACTCAACAAAAAATTAAATGCTTCCATCTGAAAGCAAACAGTCCACAAATATCATCTTGACAAAATGTTCAAAAATGTCAGAAGAAGGCTACGGAAGACATGGAGTGAATGAAAATGTTGATAGGAGCTTAAAGGAGGAGTGCCCCAAAAGTAATTATAGCCAGGGAGGTCGTCTCAAGTTCTTTAAAGGTATTTTAATTAATGAACATCACATAACCGTTTTGAACAGATTACAAGCAGATAATTTTTGATTTAGTATTGAGTTAAATATTACAAATAAAAAAATAATTTTGCTTTTAAAACGAAAATTTTCTATGGGACACAAGTTTGATTTAATAAATAATATGGGAATAAAATTTCAAAATTCATGATTATAAAGATATATCAGATAAAGTGAGTACCTACTAGTAACAGGAGGTGTAGATTCTTTGATTATATCAGAATTTGTTTGAAAATTCATTTAATCATTATTTCTCATTCGTGTGGTTAAATGTTACAATACTTTAGTATATGGTTGAAAAACTTTCTATTATTGATTGTTTTTACTGCTGACAGAGAACTGTACCATAATGATCAAGATTTAATTGATAAGACTCATCTTTTTTAGGTTTCTTAGTATTTTGTTAGTTCTTTTTTCTTGAATCTTGCTTAGGGCATTCAGTATGTTTTATGAAACTTGAAAAGTTTCATAAAATTTTACTGGTAATAATTTTTTTTGTGTCAGGTGTCTCAAATTTGACTCTCATCATCGGGATCTAAAAAACAGAAAATAGAGCGGAAAAAACGAAAACCGGATATTATTTTAAGTCTGTTAATCTCATTTTTGTATTTTTTTTTTGTTAATTTTGCTTACATAACAAGTTTCCGACCCTACCAAACTAAATAAGTTTTTATCCATTCGACGACTCTACTTTGAACAAAGGTCCGAGAGGTTGTTTTTTGCAATACTTGTTGAGATACATTTCTGATATCGTTTTTTTAATCAAGTTTTATCAGATCTTACATTTGTAATCACATAATGATCCAGTTGGCTTTACATGTGACCAATTGAAAATGTATTTCGGATTTTGAGAACTTTATACCCGATGGCGCACAGTGGATGGCCTGGATGCTGAAAAAGGGAAATAGTTGGAAAGAAACTAAAATTAAATGAAAATGAGGAAATTAATTCTGTATATTTGGGATAATTTCTTCAAAATGATAGGTTAGTTTCTGTTCTAAAATTCGAAAATCATAGAATATCAACTCAACGGTCGATGTTTCTAGAATTCCTTTACCAATTCTTATTTTTATCTTAACCTTAATCAAATAGGGAAAAAAATCTTTTCTATAAATATTTTATCAAATTAGTTTATTAATTTGATTTACAAATCTCCTCTCCTCTCCTGGGTTAGTTCGATTTATCAACAAATCGAACTTGCTGACGTTTCACCAATCATCCTGTTGGCTTCTTCAGAACTTAACTGGTTTAACAGATTTGTAAATAGTATTACAGTAGCCTGTGGAAGATTCTCTGAAAAACTAACAGATGGGTTATTCGGTATTGGCTGTTAAGTATGATATAATGATCGTTTTTTTTCAACAATTGCAAGATGGAAAATTTATCCTTGAACTGGAACGAGCTCGTGAAGGAGAAAGAGTGTCATGGGTGTCAGTACCAAGAAAGACCTTTTGGCCTCCACATGCAGCGGCATCTTCGATTCTTGCCTATCGTCAAGAGAGCAGTACATCTCTTAGTGGTGAGTAAAACAATACATTTTTTTACAAACTCTGGCTTCCGTAAGTTGAAATTATGCAATTTTACTAATGTTATTGCTATTTGGATATAATAATAAAAAGCGAGGCGTACTTTGTTGTTAATTGATCTTTTGCTGTTGATTTTACACAAATGGAATTACATTGGTATTAAAATGTACTTTTATTATATCATTTTAAATACTACGTTTTGTTTCTGGTATAAAATTAAAAGTTTGAAAGCGAATTGTTCTAGAAAATAGTCATTTTGGTTGTTTAATGTAAAAACTTTAGCAAATAATATATGAAACGCATTCATATTGTCAGTTTCAGATGATAACAGTTCAATACAGTCATCGCCATGGCAAAGGGACCACTCGTGGAAGCAAACGACTCCTGTAAAAAACAAATCGAAAGAGCTGGACTTTTTCTTTTGGCGTTCTAAGGTGGGACGAAAATTGTTCAAGGGACGGGCTATTAAAAGACGCAAACCCCATGTACCGCTCGATCCAATTGATGACAATAAAGTTTCAGTAAATAGGGAGAAAAGGAAAAAGTGTTCACTGCTTGTTATTGTTCAAAATTTGATCAATGAAAACTTTAGAACCATGTAAGTTTGTGTGCCCTGAAAACCCCTCTGATTTTGTACTTATGTATAACATTTTTAGTGCTACATGGCAGGACCTCGTAACTTGCATTTTAGTGATTTTCAGTGTATTATTTGAACAATTAGAGAACCAATAGGTTGATATTCTTCTGCTGATTTAAAGTGGTCCTCTAATTGTTCAAACTGAAAATCACTAAAATGTGAGTTACGAGGTCCTGCCGTGTAGCACTCGATTTGTTAAAAGTGCTATCATATTTGTATGTAATATGTTCATAGCACGCCTCCTCGCCCTGATGCTGTTGTTTCTCCTCGAAAGCGCTTTCTTCGTGAGGTGGAAAATGATAAAGTTCAACCAGATATAAAAAATTCAGTGGACAAATCGTATAATGGAGGGCATGGTTTTATAAGCACGGCTCAGAAAAGGAGTCGATGTAAGCCACAGAGAAGTAGTACTCCTTCACCTGCAAACACTCCACCTATGGGGGTGATTAAAAAAGAAAATTCAGTTTCTCCTCCACTACAGAACAAAAGTAATGGAATTGTGGATGGGACTGTTGTCAAGCCTACGAGGAATTGCAGTTATAGGTATTTTTTATGAACCTATGTCGCAGTATGAGTGAATGTAGGCATGATAGTACATATAGTTTTGCGTGAGAGTGTAAAAAATAAAAAAATAACCTTTAATTTTTATTGTAGATATTACTGTAAATTTATTTCTTAGTTTTTTAAACATTTTATTCTTTTATTACATTCAGCATTACATCTCTTCTGGCTGACGATCGTCATAGCAGCACAAAACATATACCAAGTCACTCACCTAGTCAGTACCTACCAACGCTTACCCATATTTCTTCTGCCTCGTCCATGGCTAGACGAAATTCACCTTCCACTGCTGAAGACCATTTGTATTCAGAAAGTGTGGACAGATTGCGTTCAATCGAACTTTCGGTAAGATATAATTAATTATAAATGATCCTTAAGTCTAATATAATTCAAAACTAAGACTAAGAATTATAAATAAAAAGATTAAAAAAGGAAGGCGTCATTGTTATAGAAACTAATCTGTAATTATTGGGTTGATAATTTTTTTTTGCTCACAGTAGAGTTTGACGTATATTTAAATTGTTAACTATACTTACAGCAAGTGGAGAAGCGGAATTGCCCGCCATATCTACCCCAACATCGCCCATGTCTTGGTGGACCTTATATGTATCCATTTCCACCCTATTATGCTCCAACTATATATAGTCGCAGTGGATATGTCATTCCGCCCCTTTATCATCATCACTCGTTGTCAACTCCTCACAACTATTTACCTCCTCATCACACCCACCATGCTCCTACAGAAGGCCCTCCCATGACTTTGGCGATTTATTGCAATAATGGTTCTTCAAGTACATGGAATAATGAACCTCCATCTGTAGCAAGTGATGTTGATTATAGAGACGATGTGTCAGGTGAGTGAGAAGGATGTAATTATTAAATCATTAACTGAACTATCATCTGTAGCTTGAAGCAAATTTCACAGCTGACAAAGTTACTCAAAAAGATTTTATTTCTTCCAAACTACAGAAGATAGCAACATGATTCTAACATTAATGGATAGAGAAAAGTATACAATTATGGTATGCATTCAATATGAGCACTGTGCGTTAGACGCCAAATGTAAAAACAGTGGCTCATTTCTTGCCACATACCAATCAGCTGGTCTTTGGTTATGGAATTCACTGCTTCATTAATTCGATATCGTAGATCTTCAACCTCAGAGATAAAAATCACAGGGAGTGAGATCTGGAAAACTGGAAGGCCACCGTCGATAAAGTTGATCTTCTGCTCCCCATCTCCCTATCCAACATCTTGGAACTTTTGAACTTTTAACTCAGTACTAATAAATTTTACACTTTTCTTTATCCATTAACGTTAGAATCATGTTTCCACATTTAGCAGTTTTCAAATAATAACTGTTTGAAATCTGCTCTTTATTTTTGAATAACCCTATATAGATTATTTTTGTGTATATGCAGATCAGTTATTAGCAAACAGCAACCCCAATTTTTTTATTTTTCTCCTAACTAATTTGTGTTTTACCTTTTTTAGATATGCCGTTAAACCTTTCGAAACACATGAAGTAAGTGCCTTTTATAGAGAAGTGTATATTTTTCTACAACACTTAGATGGGACATCTTAAAATCAAGAATGCAAATTCTGAGTGTGCCTCATGAACAATAAAATATGCAAAAATTAATGTGCTGTTAGATGAAATCTATAAACATCAGTGTGTAAATAGAAGGAGTGTAGATATTACCTATCATGTATAGATGACTGTTTTGAACAGATTTGTAAATGTATTCCTAGAATGAGCTGAAACTACTTTAACGTGTACAATTGTGAAAGCTTTTGAGGATTCAAAAAATGTATTAAACCAACTGTAAATACATTAGATTAGTGTAAATAATATATTTAACATATTTTTTATTTATTAAAGAAATTAGTAACTAAAGGCTTTAAATTTTTTTGCATTATCACAATATTAAATATATATTTAAATCCCTGTCAGTTCCTGCAAATCAGTGATTGGATTGTTTTGTGTGTTGTGTGTATCTCTAGTAGACCTATGCTCCATTGTATTAACGATGGACGAATGTTAAAACGGTCGCTCAATTCTTGCCACACACCAATCAGCTGGTCTTTGGTTATGGAATTCACTGCTTTTACATAACCCCAGAGATAAAAATCACAAGGAGTGAGATCTGGAGAACTGGAAGGCCAACAAAAGACTATTAAGATGTAACCAGTAAAAAAGTGTACATTTGTTGTACTAGCATAAAGCTAAAAAAGCAACAACAAAGTAACTCTCGCTCAAGAGGTAATAAATTTCATAAATCATTTTGCACTATTAACTCCCATAGTGGAATGGTATATTAGGCAAAAGGTGTGGTAAACCACATTTGAATCATGAGTTTAATTGGCACGAGCGGGGCAAGTTTACCAAATGTTGTTGCATACTATACTTTTTCTACGACCATCAGACAAACGTCAAAATTCAAACCGTGGGAAATATCTCCGAAAACATCCGATTGCTCCCAAAACCGTGCGGTAAAATCCTGGAAATGTTCGATCTGGCTCGGATCCGTGGGAAACGAAACTGACGTGGTCAAGTGACGCTTCCCGCACGCTAGATCGGTGTATAGTTAGGTATTTTTTTCTACTCCCGTCTGTAAAATGCCTAATTACCCACCGATCTAGCCTGCGGGAACCAAAACAACAACAAGATTCACTGACAGGACCACAAATTGACAAACGTCAAAACTCAAGCCGTGCGTAATATATCCGGAAACATCCGATTAATCCCAAACCCCTGGGTAATATCCCGGAAATGTCCGAAGTGACTTGCCACATGTAACTGACGGCGTAAAATTACAATTTTTGCACAATACATCGGTGTACAATTGGGTATTTTAGAAAAGGGAGTAAAAAATGTATTGTCATTTATGAAACTTGTTGCACAATATAGGCACTACTCAAAATTCAAGCCATGGATTATAAACTGCGAAAACATCCGACCATGGGCATTAACTCAGAAATATCTTGAGTATTTCGCAGCCGTAGGTAACGAAACTGATGTAAAATGATATTTTCCGCAATTACACACTTAACGAACTCTTTACCTATGGCTGCTAGTGGCTAGCAGGATATTACCCACGAGTTTGGGAATAATCGGATGTTTTCGGAGATGTTTGTTTTGTATTGCATTTGCATTATTCAACACGTTTGGTAAATGACATTTGAGTAATGAGTTTTATTTTTGCACTAGCGCAGCGAGTGCTTTATAAACGAGTTTATTCAACGTGTATCCAACATAATATACTAATGTCAGCTAGTCTATTAATCGCACGCAATTGTAAGATACTCAGAATTAGTTCCTTAATATGGTCAAAACGCCTGATAAGAGTTTCTTGATATTTCATAATTTGGAACGAAAACGCGATTTAGACAAAATTTTCGTGTAAAAAGTTTTGTATCTATCAGTAAAAATAGGCCCACCACTCCTCAGAGAGCATAATTAATAATAATATGCACGAGAAACAGTGTTACTTTTATAAATTACATTGTCGGGTGTTTACATTATATAAATCCTTGATATACAATTTAGAAAAATAAATATTAAATTTTATGATATGTTTGTTCGCTGTTCCAGCTGAAAATGAAGATATATATAAATTTTTTAAAAAGGCAAAAGGAATTGAACCATTTAAATAAATATTTCAACACGGAAATTTATTCCGCATCTAATTTTACATTCTACTTCGATGTAGATATTATTGAAGAGAACTATGTGTACCGAATAACGTACATATGTAACACTTGATGTTAGGCACTTGCGTTTATCGTTTTAATTATAAAAGTCATTGACGTCTAAATACTTATTGAGTCTTCAGCATCCGCCAACCCACCAGCCACTTTTCTCAAAAACCGTTTTAAGTACAAAGCACAAAAGTAGAGGGGTGGCATACCTCTCCATCAAGGTTTTTGCTGCAGGTACCGGCTTAGGCGGTATCCGACTCTGACTTTTCATACTCCATCCTCAGGTTAGATAAAGAACGCACGTAATTCCATCCGTCTTTTTTAAACGCTGTTACTTCTTCTCACGGGAACTTAACAATTTCTTCGCGGTATTCTGGTATTCGTGTCTGATGTGATGCCAGTTGTAAGTAGGTATGAACAAGTGTCGAACTTTCATGGAAAACGGAATGTGTGTTGTGTACTCATCTCATTTTCTGGTTAATTATTGCTCCCGCTAAGTTGCAGAGACCTGAAACCGATGTAATATGAACAAGTGTTGCTAGTGAGTAAGAAACCAGGTAAGAGTATGTCTCGCTTTCATAATTTTAAGAATATTATGCTGGCACAGGATAGTTTTATAATCGCTTTTTAATTATCTAAACAATAAATTGATATGAATATGTATATTATGTTCTGATTATTAACAAAATTTATTATTAATTAAGAGCTATTATCTTGTTTATACAACTCTAATATAAATATATAATTAAATTTTAATCAATATACGTTAGCGTTTGGAATAACGAACATTTAACAGGTAGTGTTAAAATACCACATTTCTTAAGGTAATAATTTATTAAGTGTAACTAGTGCAAAAAGCATATACAAAACGTTAGTTCATATAAATTATATTGTTAGTTATTACGGTTGTTTGTAATTTAAAAAAAATAAAATAAAAAAAAAAAATTTTGTTTTAATCTAACCATACACAAGTATCTGCAAATAATTTTTGCTAACATCTGTATGCTTCAAATTTGAGATCAATTCTTTCGAATAATGCAGTAGTGGGGTCACCTTATTATTAAAATCATATCGCGTGAATGGCTCCACAACAAATTTCTGAAAACTTATTCACGGATACTAAATTTTTAAAATTAAAAATGGTTAAAATAATAACAATTATTGTTAATCCCTTGGAGGAAGACAGAATTAATGGTGACTTATCATCTTTGTATAAATCTACATATTGACAGAATTGAGTCGGTGGGGAATTAAGTTTATTGACAATTAACTTTTCAAAATTTAAATGATATCTTTTCAATATATTAATAATATAAAAGGAAGGTTTATAGTTGACTTTACATACACTTTAATTTATATGTAATTATTATTTGGTATTAATGTTAAGAATAATTTTTGTTTGTTTAGAGTAGAGGTAACTAACAATATACCGGCTGATCTAATTTAAGTGTTCGTTATTGGTAACTTTGTTATGAGTAGAGATGCAAAGTCGGTAAATTAGCAAACTAGTAGCATTTTTTCAACTGATTACGATGGTGAAAACAGAAAGACAGTTGGATGTAGGATTAGGAAAAAATGAGGAAATTGTATTTTTTTCAAATAGAATGCTCTCTATATGTTTTACTCTATCGTTCTTAAATCACCAACAGAACAAAAAAAAGTCATATATGCAATATTAGCCTGAAATTGAAAATAACGGAATTATCAGCCCATTTCTGTTTTAGACTAGGCGGCTATGAATGGTTGCGAAATAAAACTTAATTTTACTTTTATTACTTTATTTGAGTGGAAGAAACAATATTAAATACTCCTTTTTTTAGCAAAAACTTTTTCATTATTTCTCAAGATTAGATAAAAGCGCAGAAAAAATTGTTCAAAGAAGACAGTGCAAAATAATGACAGCCCTGTCAAATAGAAAACTAGTTGTCGAAAAAATTAGTTGTTAATTATTAGTATTGTTATATCAATAGTTATGAAATATTTAAGTTAATTTCACTGTATCACTTATTCAAAAATGGTTTATTTGGCATGAAGTCAATCGTCTGTAAATCTATATCCACAGCGCGTTCTACTAGATGAACCATTTTTGTCTGCGTCTTTATCGAATTTTTGGAAATAGTGAATCCATGTTTGCAAATAGAAGGAGACGAAAAAATGTTTTTGTTCGTGTTCTTGTTCGTGTTATTGTGAAGCATTCGTGACAATTCCATTCAAGACATAGTCCAAGATTCTAATCTATCCTTTAATACTGTACATTTTTTTGTCATTGGTATATTAAACATAAATAATTTTCGGTTTATTTTGTGGACTGACGAATCAAAATTTTCAATTTCTGGACCCTATAATCTAAAAAATCATGATTATTGGTCAAGAGAAAATTTATTGCTAGTACACCCCCTAGATCCATAAGTTCGTTTCAGCCGTTTAGTGCCGTATAATTGGTTCTCGCATTGTTGGTTCATATTTTTTACGAAGGCACGCCGACCAGTGACCGGTACATTGCAATTATTACTGAAATTCTGTAGTAGTAGGCAGAAACTCCTTTTTCAACAAGTTAGCGCACCAGCTCCATATCAATATCAATTTTTGGCAATCATTTTCAATAGTTTTGACCTCCTAGGTCGTTATATATATTTGATTTCTATTTGACGAAATTTATATGACAAGATACCAATGCGTTGACGCTTTAAAGGCTGCAATAAGAAAAAAATTAAACCAGATAGAACAATACTAAAGGCAATTCGCTCAATAGAAAAACGTGCTCAAAAATGTATTCAAGTAGGAGGTGCTGTTTTAGAACACCTTAAAATAACTTTGATAGGTAATGATAAATTAATTACTTTTTTTGTTTTTTTTTTCTATTTTTTGTTTCCAAGTTTCTTGCGCGCAAATAAAACAATTAAAGGAAATGAAGTTTTATTTCGCAACCACTAGTCTAAGAGAAAAATGTGCTGATAATATTGCGTGTAACCTTTTTTGTTCTGTTGGTAATTTTCGAACGTCAGAGTGAAAAATATACAGGGTGTTCCATTTAAAAAGAGTACGTTTTCCCCATTTTTTTTCCTAAACTACATTCAATTGTTTTTCTGTTTTCGCTATCGTAATCAATGGCAAAAATGCTACTAGTTTGCTAATTTTACCGACTTTTTATATCTACTTATAACAAAGTTACCAATGATGAATGCTTAATTTAGACCAGTCTGTATATTGATTTACTACTTACAAATCTTCTTCTCAAGAATTGTAAATGATATTACAGTAGCCTGTGGAAGTTTCTTTGAAAAATATATTGATTTAATCTATAAGTAAATACATTATTATGTTAATTATAATTAGTAAGCAGAGACTGAGTAAGCATATTTATTTTTAATCACATATTTTATAAATACTATACAATTTGAGATCGTCTTTCGTTTGTATTTTCAGACATTCGCTCATATTAAGATGTAGATTAAAAATCCCAGCAGTTTACCCGAAATGGCATCGCCGTCACCGGAGCTTTCAAAGGATGATCGTCATTATCAGTCCAGCAAAACTAGTGATGATCTTGTCAGCAGTACATATACACGCGCCTGTTGTCGCGAGGTAATTTCTTTCTTTAAACAGTTTCAATTAAGCTCTGAAGAAGCCAATAAGATGATTCGCCAAACGTTAGCAAGTTCAACTCAACAACAACCAGTACAGTACAGTAGCCTGTGGAAGTTTCTTTGAAAAAAAATCAAATAATTTAAACTCTTATTGTTATATTACTTTTTAAACAATTTAAATAGCTGTATGTTTTCTGCCGGCGGTCGTAAAATAATTATTTTTTAATATAATAATAATAAATTTGACCCAGCAACAAACTCAAGCTTTTTTGAATGGCAAGTTTTATTCTCAGAGTGAAAATGAAACCGATGATATCAACGAACATACTTCTCAGCTAAGAAAGTTGGACAAAGATGGGATTGAAGTGTCGCCAATACCACCCGCCCTGCCTCCTCGACCGAGGACTAGGAGCGATAACGTTTTGGATACTAGATATAGACCCCCTCGTGAGTACTATTCATACACAATCAATCGAAATAAAAATTTTCTGGATACTCGGTCAGATAAAACTTTTTTATAGGTACGTTATACTGCATATAAAGGAAGTTAGTTTAAAAAATAATTTACTTCATGTAGAATATTATTTAAAAGACAGACAACGGACAAAGATTACATTATGGTTTGTTAAATTACAAAGTAAAATTAAAGTAAACTCAGACCAACATGGAGCTCTTAATGTAGTGCGACCTGGTGTTCGGCCGACATCTGCCTTTTATATATTTGTTTTTTAATAGTATATTATGCAAGTGTGGTAAACGGCATTTAATTGACTTAAAGTTCATCAAATGCGTTAGTTCGTTAGTTATGGAACATTTGTGCACAACAACACGAATACATTCATTGATATGACCGTCAAAATTGGCAAACTACAATAGTATATTATGCAACAAGTGCCGTAAACGGCATTTGACTCACGAGTTTATTTGACACGAGCGGAGCGTATTTTAATAAACGAGTGAGTTAAAAAGTTTACCGAACGTGTTGCATACTATACTTTTTCTACGACCGTTAGTTTTTGCGTACATTTTCGCAAAACAAGAATACATTCACTGACATGACTGTCAGAATTGACAAACATCAAAATTCAAAGCGTGGGAAATATCTCCGAAAATATCCGATTGCTTCCAAATCCGTGCGGTTAAAATCCCGGAAATGCCCGAAGTGGCTCGGATTCGTGGGAAACGGAACTGACGTGGTAAAGTGATGCTTTTCGCACGCTAGATCGGTGCATAATTAGGTATTTTACAGACGGGAGTAGAAAAAATTCTAAATATATCTTTGAAGATAAAAAAGTTTTATTTGACTGAATACCCAGGAAAATTTTATTTACTGTTTACACACAATGTACAGAGTAGGTCAAATTGGACACTCTATCTTAAAAACCTAATGATGTTTCGAGATTATATTTGAAAAAATCTCAGTAACTTTTTTGCTATGTAAAATTTGTGTTTTTATGAAATCATTTCCGATGTAATTTTTTACGCAGAATTTATTATTTTATTATTAAGAATGCCATTTTCAAAACTAATAGTAATAGTAACAGTTTGCTACAAAAATTATTGAAAAGATCTTAATATATTGCTCAAGTCATATTCGAAATACTCAGTTTTTACCACTTTGGACAAGTAAGCTTCAGATGGCTTCATAATACAGAAAAACAAATCTACTAGTACTAAAATTGCGATTTTCGCTCTTAATAGCGTTGAGTATTAATTTGGCCTTTGCAATTTGTACCACGAGCAATATTCCTTATTATCCACCTCTCAGTTGCCTTCTAATGAATCTAAAATATGCAAATTGATTCTTATGTTATTTTTGTCTAAAAAGTTACAATTAAATGAAACGATAGACATATATTTTTTAATTGTGCTATGGTCTTGTTTCAAGCTTTTAAAAGTACATAATTACCATTTAATTTGTGTTTTATATAGGTTCGTGACCTAATACCATTAATTATAGACAAAACTGGTTAATAGTTCCGAAACAAATATCTTTTATAAACCAGCGATTTTTCTGATATACAAAATTATCCCAAATTAATCCAAAATATCAGTTATTAAGCGTGTAAATATGTTTTATATCCCGACATTTTTATGCAAATGTCTATATGGAACTTTCATTACTAACTTATTTTAGAAAAGAAGTGACACACGCTGCTTAATCCGCTATGACCGGGAAGTTAATCTGAGCAAATCAGTTGTAACAACTATGAAGAGAAGGAAAAAAAATAATAGTTGGAAATTTTGGTACTACACTGTTAATAGGAACCCAAATACAGATCCAAAGAATTCCTCCCGGTCCTTTTGGTTCATAAAACCCATCCTAAAGGTAAACCGTAACTTCGACGAGAAAATGTAAGGCTTTTTATGTTCAACACTGAATCTGCTTAAAACTGATATATAGTGTCTTAGCGTACCTCCCACCCTATGTTCATAAATACGTTACGAAATAAACACAGTTTTCAAGAGGTCTTTCTGGTAGTACATCTCGTCCAACGAGAATTTTTTCGTTTTCCTTATGAAGTTTTTGTCGTTAAGCACGGAAAGGGAAATTGTTGTCGCAAACCATGACGCCAAATTTTGTGGGAGTAATTAGGTTGGACCCACGTGCATCACGCATAGTATTGTTCACTGCAGATCTAGATGTGGCTATATTGTACTGGAAAAAAAATGTGGAAAGCGATGCAGTTGTGTGAAATTTGGTATGCGCTGTAGAACAATGCGCCAGCTAATTTTTTTCTATGTATATTTTCTAAGATGTGGAAGTTTATGTAGAATATAAAAAGTTACATAACATTTTCTCGTTTAAATTACGATTACGAGCAGAAATCTATAATTGGGTTCATTCTGGGAGCTCAGTACCAATATTTCAAAAGTTAACTTTTTTCATCGAAAACGTCTTAATTTGTACACTAAGTAGTTTTGGTTAGTTATTACTTTGCTAAAATTATATTTTTTAGTTAGTTAATTCTTCTAAACTCTAATAATATGCGAAAAGTGCAATTTCTTTAATAAAATTCAGTTGCAACAAATTTAAAACCCCTTGATTTCTTGATTATATGCTACTGAATAATCATCAAAATTACATTTTTCATAAGCAAGATCAAGATCTGACATATTGAGTGTTGTCAGTAACATGTTCCTACACGTCATACCTTAAAATATTACGTTTTTCACGCCACCGATTTTTTTAGTTCAAAAAGTTTTTCTTGTTTTTATTTTAAATTTTCACTAATATTTGCCTACAGAAATATTGGGCTATCGAACTGATGAGTATGGCATATAATTTCCCATAAATTTAGTTAAATTAATTTCTCAAATACAAAGCCTTGCTCTAAAATGTTTTTTCAAGTATCTCTCTGAACACCGGAAAGGTCCACAGTGTGTCCCACAAAACTTAAATATGTTTTTCTTTTGAAGGGAACTTTGATATCATATATATTGCTTTTCCAGCTCACTTTTAAAAACAAACACAACAAACATCGTACATTATATTATATACTATGTGATTTAGTAATTTACCTGATCGACAGTGTTTGTCATAAGGGAACGTCCATTAACAATTTAAAATTCATATCGGTGTTGGTACTTTCGGTACCGTTTAAGGTAATTCTTATCGATTTTCCATTTCAAAGTCAACTCAGAAATCTTATTCTTATGGATATTCCACGAAATGTCATTGATTTTATTGGCAGGTCTATTACATGTGATAAATAAAACTCTCGCCTACATAAAAGCTAGAATAAACTATTTTATTATGAAGTGGTATAAATTTAAATAGATTAAATGAAAATGCAGAATGAGACACATTATAACTGGTTAACTTTATGAAATTGAATGAAAAATTGAACGCAAAATATTAGATGGAATTTAATTCGATCTCGACTAAAATGTTGCCTTTGGGGGTTCGACGGATATAATAAGAATGACGAGACGAGAAAAGAGCTCCGACATAGACATAAAATGCGACCGAATATCGACCATTCACGTGACGTTACCATAGTGATGTTTCCAGACCAGAGCCGAATTCTGAAAAATTGTTTGCTTGTGCACTTAACTTACTTGCTGTTTTCCAAGTAAAATAATATTTGTATTGCGGAACCATTTTTGAATATTACACTTTGATTTAAATAAATAGGAAACAGTAGAGACAATCTGATGAAAAGCAGAGAAAGTAAAGAAGAAATTAATAATTGCAAAAAAAAAAATACACAAAGAAGAAAACTCTCGATATATTTACAAGGAATCTTTTTAGTAATGGTTTAACTATAAAATGGTAAAATTGATAAATTTTCTCTAAAATGACGTTAATAAAAACAAAATGAACAAGTCAGGATTTTTTTTACTTTCCTCTGTTTTAATTTTATCCTTGATATTTCGACCTATTATTTCAATATTAATTGTATTCATTAATTATAGAAAATTGAAAAATATGTGAGTCATGCGCATATTTGAAACTGTGCTCACAATTTTAGTTTTGTTTCAGGTTATAGGAAGACAGCATAACTAGTTCAATGGTATATAAAGAATCTATTTAAATGTCATGTACCCCTATTGCATTGAAATACATATGTTTCTGACTTTTCATAATTTGTCGAAATATTTGTCATGGTGATCGAAGACAGAAAATTTTCAGGCATGCTAGTTGGTATCCAATTTAGTATGTGTTAAAACTTCAAGTTTGATTTGTTATGGACCAGAGTTTATTCAATGATGAGATTGTTTTCTGGTTCTGGTTGTCCACTTGATATGTCAAATTGTACGAGGCATTGTTTAGTTTAATCATGAATAGGAAAAATATCTGTCCATATTTATCGATGTATTATTTTTTACAAATACCAAATATCAATACCAATTTCGATAATCAAAAATTGCAAATAATTCAGAACTTTTTTGATAACTTTGAGGGTCAGATATCTTTTGAGAAAGTGTAGTAGAAATAAATAAAGCCCAACCCTGTAACACCCGTCCCTCTAGATCACCGCCTTTCCAGTATTAGAGCAAAAAGCAATTTCCAGTATATTTGCGACATGCCGTATTTGTTTATATCATTTTGGAAACTATTTTGCATAGTATGAAATATCCATCGCGAATTGTGTTGTATATTGTTTTATGTAAGGGTGACATTTTTTAAATTCTAAAGTGTGTTTAAAAAAAATCATGCACGGATACCCTGTAATGCAGGTGGTTCAATATCACATACCACCTGCTCTGCCTCATTGCATGCAAGTCCTACCACATACATCAGGTAATAATAATCATTCTATTATTAAGCGTACATTTTAGACCGCTGTGGAGAAATTCACGCCACAGTTTATGTTAAACATATTTTTTGTTGTGTTTTTGTTACAATCTTTATTTATGAAAAAAACAGAGCAGTCACAAGTTAGATTTTTTGTATTAGGTTGACTACACATTTCTCAGATTTAATTTTAAAATTTATTTAGTTTTTATACCAGAAATTATTCTTTATTTTAAATAGAACAGCCTATATGTGATCCAATTTTAGAATTCTGCTTAAAATTCTTAAATTTAAATGTTTATACAATTAACTTTCTACAAATTCAACCGGCTTTGGGATATTTTAACTTGTATCATGAAAATGATTGGCATGGGATGCAGCAAAATTGATAATTTCTAGCAGTCAGAGGTCTTAAACTTTTAACTTCAAAGATTTATCGAGCAAGGTTCGATGAGCAGCAAATGCAAGATTAATATATTTTCAAGAATATCCAAAAAAATGATTGAAAAACATCATAAAATTTTTTTCAAATAGAACCCTTCTAATTTCTTTGTTACAATCTTATAAGTTTTTGTTAATTATATTTAATAATTAAAAATAAATTTATAAAATTATAAATATCTATCATCGATCTTAATCCTAGATTACAACTTTACCGTTATTCTGAATTGCTGGAAAATAAAATCGATGCTTCCCAAAATTTAGGAAAGTTAGAAAAATCGTAATTCACAAATAACAGACTGATACACCAGAAATTTAAAAAAATCAGTTAATTTCTTAGTCAATTGATTAAGTGTTTGAAATACAACACGAACTTCAACCATTTACATGTTGTAAAACGTCTCAGGAAGATTTTTTTGAAGGTGTGTTTAAAACACTGCGTATGTAATTTAATTAATCGATTTCACTATGAATATAATTCAACGTTTCTATTGCAGCAACCGCTGGAGGAGGAGTAAAAAAATACGTGTTCTGTTGTTGTGCCTGCGGTGGACTGGCCACGATTTTGGGGGCATTGTTTTTGACTGTATATTTTCTGCTTAGGATGTACACTACTACTTTGGGATACTTTGAAACGATACCGACGTTTGTTCCTGCTACAATGGTAAGACATATTCGTATGGAGGAGGACAACATTATTTCATTTTCATCTTTTAACATGGCCATGGACTACTTTTAGAATTTTTAGTGGCTAAATAATAATTTTTATTAACCAACCAAAACAATAATGCATGTTATGCATATTATGTACTAAGTCAAATTGTTACGGAAATGTATTTATTAAGTTTTTGTATATATATTTTATTAATAAAATGTCGTATTTTTTTAGTTGATACTGACTGGTTTATGCGTAATAAGTCTAGCAAGAAGGAAGAATAGACATAGTTATTTGGTGAGTATCCAATTGCACAAATCATTCGCTATCAATAAAGAAGTTTGTGCCCTCACCATTTTGAGTGTTGGAAATGTTTTTGTTCCGAAATGTATATATGAGTTTTTATCTATGATCTCAAATATATTTTCCCCTCCTACGTTTTTACGGGATGTCCAAAGATCATTACTACTACACTAAAAAATTGAATTACAAAGCTGTATCGAGCTGCACAAGCTTATTTGTTTATATTATATTAAAAATAAAATAAAAATTTTGTTTTTAATGATAATTCATTGATTTTTTTTAAAGATTACATATTAGCCAGAAGCTAACAAGGGAAGGTCAAAAATCACTTCTGCAAGATTGGAGTCAAAACTCTAAAGGGCGTTATCCTATTTGCCTTACCTCAGAGTTAGTCTAAATGATTAATTTTAAAGTCTTGACTTAAGTGCGCCTTGAAACCATATCAAATTTCAAAATTTTTAACTAAATACAAAAATTAACAGGACCTGGATTTTTAAATGCATGACCTAATGATCAGTACAAAAACTGGCGCCGTTTTTAATGCACGTCTTCAAGAAATAAGTAAAATTCAAACACATTTTTTATCAAATTTTGCTATGGTTAATATATGTTGGGTACATTGGTAAAATATGTCTGGTCTTTTATACAGCAAGGTCAACGTATTTATAAACCACATTTTGGAGGTATTTTCAAGTGTTCTTAAATCATATCAATTAAATTCTGGTTAATATTTTATTTTGAAAAATTAGAGCTAAATTTTCGTGCTTTCCAGATCAAGGCGTGTGGTTTATGCTGCTTAGTGTGCGCATTGACTTGCGTGTTGGTAACAATAACTACAACCGTCATCCACATAAACAGGTTGCAAACTCTTCGCGAATGTGTATATACCCAAAAGACTAGAACCTGTACATGTTACTCAGTGTTATTGGAAGCTCAGTCAAATGCGGACGATGGTAAATATACAACAAACTAATACAAGAACGAATTTTTCACATAATATTAATTTCGATCTTTAGGTATGCGATACGTATTTGATTCTACTCCCGACTGTGAGGTGATTCACGGAGCGTTATATTCTTGCCTTAGAGCTATATTTGGACTTTCTGTTAGTGGAATTTTAGTGTGCATCTTTTCATGTATGCTAGTTTATCAGTTACTGAGGTAAGAGTTGCACTCTATTAACTATTCAGGTATTAAAAACTATAAAACCATATTTGTACTTAGAATGATTGTTTCTAGCACAACCAAAACTAATCAAAACTATAAACCATGTAATTTTTTTCTCGTTTTTTAGCCACTTATTAAAGTGCGTGGCATTATGCATTTTTAAGATTACCCTTTCTATTTATTTATTTATAAGTAATAATATAACCAAAGACTCGATATAGTTTTTGAAACCAACATCGAAAAATGACCCTGCGGCATTCAGTAATTAACATAGCGTCTGAAGAACATATTTTGGACATTTTATCTAACACTTTTCTCAGCTATTTGAACTGGAATTCATTTCGATTATTGGTTGAGATTACTTCTAAACCAAAACAGAAAAACCGGATGAAAAGTTTTACTGTTCATTTATCATTCGTTTGTTGTATCTAAAAATAATTTACACCGGCCACGACAATATCAAAAAATGTGTTTTATTGGAGCGTTGTTTTTAGATGCTGATTTTCAAAAAAATATTTATGCATTTGTAAAAACTGATATATAACAGGAGGGGTCTTTTTTCTCTCGGCAAAGTGCACTGACGACTTCAAGAAGCGCTATATAATTGATTTCCTTTCAGTCATGAAAAAAAGAAAATGTATTGGGAACAATTGGAACTAAGATGTCGTTCAATGTATCAACAACAAACTCTAGCACCTAACACACACAGTACCGCAGGAGAGCCTCCAGTACCAATGCCTGTTTATTGCACGTGCTGTGAAGACTGTCGCTATCCACCGATCCTAGTTCAGCCGCAAGTTTATTCGAGGGACGCAAATCATCCAAATGACAGGTATCTATAGGTTATTTGCTGTATTGAACTACTGTCTTCCGCTCTGATTAATACGAGGGCTGCCTTATATATTTCGGGATTTTCTTAAACTAGTCCTGAAATCTGGCGACTAACGTTTTTATAGAGAAGTTTGACATTTTGAGGTTAAGTTTATTCAGTTGGGGAAAGAGTGTTGTTTGTGTTTTTTCGATAAATTTAAAAAATTGTGACGGTTAAAAATGGAACTTAATCGGGAGCATTTTGGTGCAATAATTTTTTACAACTTTAGACGTGGACTAACTCAACAACAACGCATCGATGAACTTAATCCGACTTTTGGAGTTAAAGCACCAGCTAAGACTACTGTTTATCGCTGGTTTTCTGACTTCAGGCGTGGTCGTAGTTTTCTTAAGGATGAATTTCGTGATGGTTCGGTGGTTGTCCAAGAAAACATTGATGCAGTGCGAAAATTGATTTTGCAAGATCGTCATGTCACTCTACATTTGCCCGCTAAAAGAACATCTACGTTTTATAAAATCACAAAAAAAATACTTAAAAGGATTTAAAAAAAAGATGGAATTATGTCGAAAACCATAAAAAATTCTCAATAAGATAATAATAAACAAAAAGTGATTTTAATTACAGACAAAATTACTTTGAAATTTAAAAATGTTCAAAACAATTAGAACTCAAATTGTTTATTTGTGTCAGTGAATAGCACGGGGTTCCTACCGTCACTCATTGTTAAAATCTAAACATGAACCATTTGGTAATGCAGGTTTTAGTAAATGATTTATTATATATTTATTTATCAGATGACTTCCTATTTTATCCGTTTCAGGTTCTGGAGTTCTGGTAGAGCAGGCAACTTTTATTCTCCAAATCCTGAAACCGACCCTTCACTTAATCAGGAAATGAACAGATGCAGACCAGGTTGGAGTTGGAGGCGTTTTCCTTGGAACAGAACGAGTGCCGAACAGGCCAGCCCTCCTAGGTAAATATGCTTGTTTTAATGTCAAAAACAATTACTTACCGCTAATAACTCTTCTAAATGTGTTGAAATAACGGTATATTCGAAAATAAGAAATATCAATAAGTATGAAATTTTCATTCAATACCTTTTATTTGACTCTTATTCATATTTATTTCATAGTTAATAGTGGTCTTTCGAAGACGAAACGGATTTAAATCTTGGTAGAAAATGAAGAGGGACCAATTTGTAAGTCGTTTTTAATGCAGAAAAAATAAAACTATTTTTAAAATGTTGGTTTTGTATGATTATAAAAAGAAAAAAAAAAGGAAAAGATCGAATTAAATCTTTCGAATGTAGGAGAGCCTTTTTACAAAACATTTATTAACGAATACAAAATGATTTTAGCGCCAAATCAGCGTCAGGTGTTATTTAGACTTGTCTGGGGCTTCCTCTGCTGCCTCCTTAACTTTCAAGAATACGTGGAACGTTTTTTCTAAAAAGGAGGCGATTTTCTTTGATTTCCGCCCTTTTATCAAGAAGAGCTTCTCCCTTCAGAAAAAACCTAAAATTAGAACCATGATTATTGCAAAAACCACAACATTTATTTGATATGTATTTGTTTCTTCTTTCACTGGTTCCATGGGAATTATTCTTTCTGCTAAGTTCCTAAGAAAGAATAATTTTTGAAAGACTGAGAATGTCCAGGACCTTTATTGCGTTCCAAGGAATTGTTTTGTTGAAAATTGGGTATTTGAAATTGAATTTTTGTGTTGCTTAGATTCCCGTAAAGGTTTTCTAAATTTTCTAGTTAATTCCTGAATTAGACAATCTAAATTTCTCCTACCTGCATAACCAATTGGTTAACTCTGATCGATTTCCTACCGTTATCTCTGCTTTCTCTACTATTTTATCTACGACACAATCGAAGATATTTAGTTCCGTATCTCCCAGTCTGACATAGGAATTTATTAATCTTTCGCATTTTTTCCGTCCTACAGTTTTAGTTTATATTCTAGTTACCTGAGCTTCCTTGTTATGTTATTGTTTTGACTTTTGTTTGTTTTTCGTTCCCTAACTTTAAAATTAAATTGAATTGCTTTTCGAGATTTTCGTTTTTGAAATCGCTGATCAATTGATTGATTGATTAGTTTCCCAAACCTAATAGTGTGCAGTGCGAGTCTTAAACTATCCCTTCAAGTAAACTTTTTCGGTGACAGTTACGGTATTGTATTTTTTCGTTTGCATCGATCGTCATTCTGCTTCCCTTGATGAACGTTCTGTGTGTTGAAGGATTTGAAAATCCAAGTAGTGAACTGTCCATAAAGTTTCGAATTTTCAATGATTATCGATTTCACAGAAACTCCCAAAAGATTCTGGTTAATTAAATCCTACTGACTGCACCACTTAAATGTTAATACAAAAAGCGAAATAATATTACAGGCGAATATATAATACTTTCTGCGCGAAGTCAGCGAGGTGTTATAACTAGGTATAGGTATATAACTAACGTTAATATTTTCGTGAAACTAAGAAATCAATACTTTAAAAACCATAGGTATGCTTATGTATAGAAAGAAGAAAAAGTATTCCCACAAAAAATATATAATTTTTTTAAATTCTTTTTTCTGCTCCTATTACAGGAAGCTTCGTCTTCAGAGCTAACTAACCAAACAAGGTTCTGTTCACGCCTAAAAAACTCGTGATTAATTGTCGTTTATAGCTTAAACTGGTTGCATACTACTGTTAAAGTTCCAGAATATATGTCTTAGGTTTTTATCAGTTGCGACATATATAAATAAATAAGTTGTAGTTGAAAGAAATTGAGTTACAGTATAACTGTAAAGATCCAAACCTTGACCTTGACTTGAGAGTGATTTTCGCGAGACTTTAAATTTTGGCGGAAAATTTGTAGCATATCAAAAATATTTATTTAAACCAAATATTAATTGATAGAAAATGTGGTTAAAAGGAATAAAAATTAAAAGTTGCGTAGTTAAATTCTCTAATCTGTGTATAATTTAAAGCCGTTTCTTTACTTCTGCCTTGCGCCCTGTACATATTCTGTGATATTTTGAGATTAGCGGGAATCCTGATTTAGATCATTTCAATTTTAGGGACAACTCTCTGACATATCAAGGAGGAGGGAGTGCCGATAGCCAATACGGTTTTAGTAGCAGAGCAGGAGATAATTGCTCGCAAAACGATCAACTGTCCGCTTCTACTAGATCATACGGCGTGTTGGATGAGAGATCCCCTAGTGGGGGTGTGTATTTCTGGGGCCCACCACCGCCCTATTCCAACCCCAACTCTCCTGTTGGAAGACAAATTCATCAATACAACTCAAGGTATAGTTTCCTAGCTCTTCCAAAAATACGTAAAAATTAACGAGCAACGAGGCCCAAATTAAAAGCTTTATGCCTCTATACCATGGGAATTGGTTTGAATTTCATTATAGCACTCGACTTCAAATTTTCGAAAATAATTTTATATAGGAGGAGTCATATTAAAAATTCTGGCGAACTAAGAGGATTTAAAAAAAAATATACTAAAAGATAGTTTTTTTTTTACTGAAAAATGTATACAGAATGTCCCCAACTTGACGTAATCGGCTGGAAACTATAATTTTTAAAGGATAAATAAAGTTACACAATTTAAAATTTTTATTCCTCTTATTCAACTTAGTTCAGTTTTATGGTTTGCTGGAACACCAAAGACTTAAAGTTTATCGTTTAGATAAATACAAGAAGTGTAATATCACATTCGACGAATATTTGAGGCTAGAGAGTATTAGTTGGGTCCACTGTTGCATTGATTGTTATTCAGCATTTGAGTCCAAATTGAATTCGTCATTCTTATATTTCATCGTGGATTGGAATTTTACACAAAATTCTGAACTTTTGTCAAGATCTAACTATAAAAATTAGTACGTTTAAAAAAGAAATGAAGGAGCAAAAAACCAACAGTTTTTTGTAGTTTTTTGAGAAAAAATCTTGCTGCAATTCAAAAATTTTGCAGTTCTTGATCACACGATGTCTTAGATAAATTAAAGATTTACATTTTTAGCTGCTTCCAGTATGATCTTATGAAAGTCTATATGGAGGTAGAGGAGAAAGGAAGTGTTTTTAAATATATTATCTAATAATATACTATACCATAATATACTAAATATAGAGTTTTCTAAACTCAATGGCCCATTATAAGTATATAGAAACTGGAAAGAAATATGCGCTTAAAAATTGGGTTGCGGTCAATTGCGGGAAATTGGTCAAAAAACATCTGACACAAACATCTTTCAACCATTTTAGGTAGAAGGGTGAAATTTTGGTAATGGTTTGACTACTCTATCGTCACGAATCTCAAATTATCACATACATCGTGTTTACAAAATGATGCACATTTTAAATGGAAGATCTGTATTTTATGTGGCAATAAGAAGTGTCTTTCATTTTTCATGTAAAGGGATTATAGCAACAAAAAACCAGAATAATACAATTTATGCAAATATAATCTTTTTAGTAGTAAGATAATTTTAAACAATGTATCAAGAAATGTTAATAAGTTTATGTCCTTATTTTTTAAAAGTAGTGTTCCTAGTATCGTCTGTATTAATATTTATATTTTTTACGTTACCAATTGATAAATATTTTAAATTAAAAAATCATCAATGATGATGGGTTTAGCTTTGCTGGGGACAAGCCAAAATTTGTAATCTTTTAATTGTATTGTTTTGGTTTAAGTTCATCTCGCTTCTAACATTAAAATGATGAACAAAGAATTTGTATTTATTTGTCTGATGTCAAGCATTTACAAAATAAAAATGGTTTCATATTCGCCTAAATCTCGTTATCCTGCCTGCCGAAACGATAAAAAATGGGTATGTATGTTGTAAATCAACTATGCATCAATCTTTTTATTGCCATAATAAAATACATAAAAATACATTTCTCGCATAATTTTAGATTTTTAACTGAAATGGTTAAGGAGTAGGTATATTTTATTATATATATATATATATATATATATATATATATATATATATATATATATATATATATATATATATATATATGTCGGTCTAGAACGTTCTACGCCGTTTTCCGACACCTAACCTCCACTCTTCTCTATTTAACCATAGCGGGTCTGGTAATTCTCTTTCTATTAGTTCCTTTTCTATTCCCTCCTTCCAACTTTTTCTAGGCCTTCCCCTTTTATTTTTCCCTTGCGGTGTCCACAATAGTATTTGTTTCGGGATTCGGTTTTCGGGCATGCGCTGTACGTGTCCAAACCATATAAGTTGTTTTGTTTTTATGTCGTCTACTATTGTATGTTTTATTCCCATGATCTCTCTTATCTTTTTATTTGTTAATTTTTCTTTTTTTGATCTTCCAGCCGATCTCCTCCAGAAGTCCATTTCGGTTGCTAGTAACATATTTTCTGTTTTGTTCTTTAGCTGCCATACCTCACTTCCGTATGTGATGATACTTTTTATTATTGTATTATATATGGTTTTTTTATTAGTTTTGGATATACTTTGGTCCCACAAGATCCCATTCAGCATGGCTATTGCTTTTCTTCCTTGTATTATTCTTTCTTTTATTCCCTCATCTAGTCTTCCGTCCTGCGTTATTTTTAGTCCTAGATATTTATACTCCTGGCAGTCTTTTATTAGACTTCCGTCTTCCAATGTTATATTTCCAGATGTTCCTCCTACAGTCATACTTTCAGTTTTTGTGATGTTAACTTCTAATCCCCATTTTCCATACTCTTCTACTAACTTTCGTGCCATATATTCTAGATCATCATGATCTTGTGCTAAGAGTATTTGATCATCCGCAAAGAAAAGGGTATATAATGTTGTTTCATTTAATAGTGGGATTCCCATTCCTCTGCATTTGTTCATCCATTTTTGTAAGGCTTGTTGTAGGTATATTTTGAATAATACAGGAGACAGGCAGCATCCTTGTTTGAGGCCCTTTGTAATTGGTATGGGCTCAGAAAAAGTGTCCTGTATTTTGACTTTAGCTGTTATATCTTTATATAGATTTTTGACCGCTTTTATCGCATTTGAATTAATGTTCGTTTTTTCTAAAGCCTCCCATAGTTTCTCTAGAGGTATGCTGTCATAAGCCTTTTGAAGGTCTATGTAGAGGAGATGTACCTCCTGATCTTTGGCTGTTTTTTTCTCTAAAACCTGTGTTACTGTATACAAATGGTCTACTGTTGATCTCCCAGCTCTAAATCCCGCTTGTTCCTCTATTTCTATCTCCTTATATTCAGCTTCAATTTTCTTTTTCAATATTTTACCATATACTCTACTTAGTGTGCTCGTTACTGCTAGTCCTCTATAGTTTGAGCAACTGTCCCTACTTCCTTTCTTAAAAATAGTTGTGATATAAGAGCCTTTCCAGTCACTTGGTATATCAGCCCCGTCTATGCACATCTGAAACAATTTTGTTAGATGGCGATATAAATTCTCCGTCCCGTATTTTATTAGTTCTCCTGGTATTTCTCCTGGACCAGCGGACTTTCGGTTTTTTAGGTTTTTACATATTTCTTTAACTTCTTTCGTCGTTATTCTTAACGGAGATGCTATTATTGTTACTTGTGATATTTCATTATTTGTTTTAAATTCTGTTCGGTTTTCTGTAAGTAATGTTTTGAAATGTGTTTCCCATTTGTCCATTGTTATTGTTGATATTATGTCCTTCTTTTGGTTTTGCCTTAATTGATTTATTAATCGCCAGCTCTCCGTACTTTTTGTGCCACCTAGATATGTATTTATTTTGGAGCAGTTTCTTTCCCAGGATTTATTTTTCTTCTCAGTTATCTTTCTTCGAACGCGAGCTTGAGCTTTCTTATATTCCGTTTTGTCGCCGTCATTTTTTTTGTTTAGGTATTTCTGATATTTCTCTCTTTTCTCTTTTATGTCGTTTTCTATATCTGGGTCCCACCAATACGGTTTTTTAGTTTTTGTAGTCTCATATGTTCCTAATGCTTCATATGCAGCCGAGTGGATGCACGTTTTGATATATTCATGATATTCTTCAGGAATTTGGAATCTCGTTTCTGTTAACTTCTGATCTAGACGTTTCCTATATAGTTCCCTTGTACCTACATGGTCGAGCCCATCTAAATTATATCTTTTTGTAGTTGTTTGTATTTTCGGCTTTTCTACTTCGTGTTTGTCTCTTTTTGTGTTATGTACAATTGTGCTTCTGAGTAAGTGATGGTCGCTACCACATGTGACTCCCCTAAGGACCCTGACATCTTGTACGGTCAATTTCGTTTCTTGTCTCATAATTGTGTGATCAATAATTGATTTTAGGTTTCTTGTAGATTGTGTCCACGTGTATTTATGAATGTCCCGATGTTGGTAGAATCCATTCATTATTTTATGATCATTTTGTTCACATAAAGTTATCAATCGATTTCCGTTATCATTTTTTGTCTCTTCTCCATATGGCCCTACTACTTGGCTGTCTCTATTTTTGCCCACTCTGCAGTTCAAGTCTCCAAGTATAATAATTTCTCTCGTTTTCCCTACTTTTGTTATTTCCTGGTTTAGGTCCTCGAAGAATTGGTCTTTTGTATTCACTAGAGAGTCGTCATTTACTCCATACACACCATATATAGTTAAATTCATCTTAATCATTCGTTCACTGATAGCTTCCCAAGAGTGTATGTACCTCCTCAGCTTTCTTTTTATCAGTATGGATATTCCTTGTTGTGCTCTCCGGTCTTTCGTAACTCCACTATAGAAGTGATCGTAATATCCCATGCTTTCCGATCCTTGTCCCTTTCTCTTCGTCTCTGTAATTACCGCAATATCTAATTTAAGAGTTTTTATTTCTGAGATTACTTCATTCATTTTCCGGGTTAGTCCTTGAACATTCCATGTCCCATAGTTCATTGTCCTTTTTCGTTGCTTAAGTCTTTTTTGGTTTTTCCGTCCGATTCCGAGGCTTTGGTTAGGTTTTTTAGCATTTTACAGGTTTTTAAGGGTGATAGGGAGCTGGCCTATCGCCCCAACCCTCCTCCTTTATCCGGGCTTGGGACCGGCAGTGGTCTCTTTAGAGTTACTCAATCCACCCCTTAGAGACCCCAGGCGGAGTTGGTATATTTTATTTATTTATTTAATTATTTTTCTGATAGATGCTTTTTGCTAAATTTTCTAACAAATAATTTCCAAAATCTAAATATGTAATAATATACAGAGCATCCCATTAAAATGAAGTTGGCGTTAAGATAAAAAAAAAATGATGTCCATATACTTCTCATAGGCCATCGAGTTTAGTAACATGTTTAAATATATTTTCGGAAGAAAAAAACAAGCTAATTGAGATATTATAAATTATAGCCAAATTTTGTTCTATGAATAAAAACATAAAATTAGCTCAGAAATAAATAATGTAAGAAAGGCTTTTCGATTCTACGAGATGTGTTCAAAAATTAACCGTTGTAATTGGGTGGATCTTCGATATATTTTTTTTATGTTGGAACACATGTCGCCAGTTCGCACTTTTATTTATTTTTTTGTCATACAGTAGAAGCGTTATACGTATTTTCTGTATTCGGCGATGTTCTACTGCAAAAAAAAAGATACAAAGAATTTGCATAAATTTTTTTGTGAAAAATGGAATACGGGGCTGCAAAACACCTGAAATGTTGACAACAGCATATGGTGAATCTACGCGAGGAAGAAGTGAAACAAAAATCTTCGAATCACTATTAGGCATGTGGATGAAGTGAAAGAAATTTTGGTTAGTTGGAAGTCCGAAACTGCTTCATATCTGTTAAACGACGTCACTGATGATATGCTCATAACTGGTGATGTGACGTCGTACCAATGTAAGATTCCAGAATCGCCAAGACTGAAAAAAGCACGTCAAGTTTGATTAAATGTCAAGGTTTTGCTTACTGTTTTCTTTGAATATCGTGGCGTAGTATGCCTGGAAGTTATGTGCCATATTTGCCATATTTGCAAGAAACAATACGAAGAAAACGACAGGAATTGTGGGAAAACAATTCAGGATTTTGCATCACGATAATGCACCTGTTTATTCATCGTTGCTAACTGTTTGGGCAAAAACAAAACCAGAATCATGCCTCAGCCACTATATTCGCCGGATATAGCCCCCTGCGACTGTTTCCAAAACTCTAGAAACCCATGGAAACAATTGAGGAGACAAAGAAAAACCGCTGGAAGAACTCATGGGTTTACCAGAAATTGCTTACTAGAAGTGCTTCGACGATTGGAAAAAAAACTAAAATTCTTGCATGTAATCAATTCTTTTACCAACGAAAAATCCGAGAGTCTATAGAAATCCATAAGCAACCTAACAATCTTAACCGCGACTCAGGTCTTTATCTGTCATTAATATCCGAGACTGTATTTATGCCCCTCATTTAGCTCCGCCCCCTCAAGCCATATATAAGCAGGTACAGAGTAAAATGCGAGCCAGTTTCAGTCAAGCTCTGAAGAAGCCAACAGAATGATTGGCGAAACGTTAGCAAGTTTTATAAAAAGTATTACAGCAGCCTGTGGAAGTTCCTTTGAACAATCCAGTTTTTGGAGAAACTTGCTTTTATTCCAGAAATCAAACGATTTAGGTATAGCGAGAGAATTATTAGTTTTGACCAATAATAATTTCGATATCAAGAAATTCTGTTCGATTCTTGTTCCAGTGTCGTAGTAATAAAAAATCAATTGAAGCTTTTTTTTTCGGCAAAATAGAGAAAATAATTATTTTCTCGAAAACCGCTGAAGATAAATACGTTTCGTTAAAAATATTTTAGATCGATAGAGAATCGTCGATTACGGAACTAACCAAATTTTCAGAACGATCCTTTGACATTCTGTAGACTGAAAACGTTCTGGATACTCGTTTGGTTCTTTAAAAACGTTAAAGCTGCCATATTTTTTGTGTTTTTGTTTTCATACGGGATGCACCCAATATCGTCTTCTTTACATACTATTTAAGTGTGAGAGACCTAAGGTACCATAAACGGTGAAACACTCCGTATATTTTAATTATTTTATTAGGCATTTTGTTAGCGTTTCAAAAACATATGCAAAATTTTCAAAATCATCCTTTATCTAAAAATCCAGGACAGCAATGACATTTCTGTTTGTCTCATCTCAAGCCGCAACACTCTAGCTTAACACACTGTACAGGGTGTTTTAAAAATAAGGTTTTGAAGGGAAGTTCTGCAAACGCAAGTTAGCGACTTTTATTTTGGCGTTTCAGGTAATAAATCGACCCAAGTAGTCAATTTTTTTTTGACCATTTCAGGTGTCCCAGTCAACATCACCACCGTCATCGTCATCCGCATACGGACGAAGTTATTTGCTGCACCAACGAGACTCGCAATTCGAGACTTCCGGAAGTGCGCAACAATAAACACAATTACGAAAACACGGGCGAGACGGAAACGTGCCAAAGAAATTACAACAGCGAGAACACGGACACGTCCAGTTCGGCGGACAAGGCGACCCACACGCTGCCGGTTCGCAAAATGAAGAAACGTTCGGGAATCGCGTTCTTCAAAGTGTCACCGGAACTCGGAACCAACCAAGCCGATACGTTCGGTCAACGCCCGAACGACGCCGAAAACGACTACCACGAACCGAACGTTCCCGATTCGCGTCGCGAAAATCAAGAGTGCCGCTATCTGCCCCGACTGCAGGGGGTCGAAAACGCGGCGTTTCAGAAACACGAGAAGAACCCGCAAAAGCCGGAAACGTCCGAATCGGAAGTGTATTTCGCGGACGTCAGCAGCTGCTGCAACATCTCCGTGCGGAACGACGAACAGGATTCGAACTTGTACGACGAGGCGATCGAAAATCGCAAACCCGTGTTGATGTATTTGCAAAAACCGGCTCCCAGTAAAGACGACGCCATGGAACCGGCGGGCAACGCGAAAAGTAGAAGTCATCGCCCGTCGAACAGTCCGGAAGAGGTCGACTTTGGCACCGATCCGCATTTACTGTTGCTGCCGAAGGATTTATCGCAAAACAGTCTCTGCGGTAGCGTTCAAACGCCGGTGACCGACACGACCGACGACGTGGCGTCGCCCGACGACAGCTGCGGGAATTATTTTCAAGATTTGCAAAACGAGCAACTCTCCAAACATCGGGAATTCGTAGGTAGGAATAATTTTCGAGCGCTCGACGCTCAGTACGAGACTATACCGGAGCCCAGCAGTTTCTGCGGCGCACGCGGTTGCAATAATCCCAATTAGTATTCCCAATGTTGCGCGATAAAGACAACGAACGTGAAAAACATATAGCTACTTGAGATATAGAGGCCCTAACTATTCTGATAAAACGGCTCGCAACCGAATAAACTTTCGATCACGACCGGCGACTCTTGTCATTTTCTAGTGATTTTCATTCCATAGCGGATACGTTTGTCAATCTCCAAATCGTTCTTGTGTGCATGTCATGTTAGAAAGAAAGCCGGAACTGGTTTGTGATCGATAATAACATTAGACTGAACTTGATAAGGCCCTAACTTAATCTTAAATAATAGAAGAAGAAAAGCCGATTGACTCTTTTTTTGTTAGCTGTTACGTAGGAATTACACACATACCAGTTACGCTGATGAAAGGGTGACTTCGAATCCTATCATATTTATTTATTCTCATAAATTAATTTGTAAACTTTAACAAGAACTTTCCTATTCTTCCACATGTCTACTTACATTAAACAACGCAACAATTTTCACACACATTCCTGTTATGCTGAACTTTAATGAAAGCGTGGCTTTGCATCCTATCATGTTTAGGAGTGTATTTAATTTGGTGTGTATATTTATTCTCATAAATTAAGTTGTATAGTTCAATAAGAACGTATCTAGTTCCATTAAACAACACAACATTTTTTTCCAAAAATCCCTAGTTCTTTGGTCCTGTTATTTCTCGTGGACGCACATTAGAGTAAATTTGGTAAGCCGCTAACTTAATCTTTAATAATAGAGCCTCTAGAAAAAAAAAGATTTTTTTGTTTTTGTCTGTTTGTCCGTTCTCCGTTCTCGTCTTTTGGTTTTTCCTGAATAACTTTCGAACGTTGGAGCTACAAAATTGATATTTGCCTTCTTTTGTAAGTTTCCACGAGGCACATAAGCTTATCCCTGATCGGACGCCCGTATCCATCTTTTTTTTTGCCAATTTCGACTGTTTTTTCGACATTGCTATGAAACACGATAAGTGTCCGAAATTTGAAGCAATCGACTTCATATTTGGCACACATATGCAGCTTTGCCCCGTGACGGAACCTATTGAAAATGGGGGGGCTGGGGGGTCGGGAAGTATTCCAGAAAAATAAAAAATCGCGTGTGAATCAGAAGAAGCAGTAGATACGGCTCTGTAAACTTTTGTTCGTGACAATTTTTCAAAAATATATAGGGCGCGCCGCAAATTCAAAAAAAAACTGAAAAATGGGTCCCCATATTATTGAAAATTTTCAGTAATTTCAAATCTGTATTTTAAATGTACTCCGAATTCGCAACTACCGACTTCAGACTTGGGGTAGAAGTAGAAGTCTGGACCCGTATTTAGACTATATATTTTTTTAATTTTTGAATTTGTTTTTTGTGGTTATTTTGGCATTCAGAAGAACAGCTATAACTTTTGTTTTACGCATTTTTTCCATTATATACAAGGTGGCTTAGTTACAGACAAAAATCTAAAAGATCGTGAAAATTGTTCTTTTAGAGAGTAAATTATTTACCGTAAATCAAAATTCGTACAAACAATAATCGTAAACTGTGTCGAGAGAGAGTTTAAGGTTTCGTCTATAATGAAAAATATTTGTAAATCTATGTTATATGTTCAATAGTACAATCTTTATTTATGCCAATAACTTTATCTAAAAGAAAGTTGAGGCGCCGGCTGTCCAAGCAAATTCTCCGTTTCAATAGAAATAAATGCAGCAACTTCTAGTTCCCACTTTGATTGCGATAATAATAAATAAAACGTCAATGCATTAAAAGTTTAGTTGTCTTCCTTGGCCGAGGAAACCTCAAGTATTCACTAATTCCACCTTAGCGTGCGAAAATTATGTACATTGCGGAAGATGGCAAGATCTAAAATATCAAAGCCGCCTGTTACCGTATCTACGTTCTCTATATCATTTAGTAGCTATATGGTAAAAGAAGGGGGTGATCAGTGCAAAAAAATATAAATAGAGATAATTGGTTAATATAATTTATTAAAACATGAATGTGATCTTAGATTGTATTTTGATGTAAGATATTTAATTTTTTATGTAAGTTTTGTATTAGTAAATTACAGTTTCGAATTCTAATGTGGTTTTATTTTATTTGTCCCAATAGTATTGTTATATCGGCAAGGGCCAAAGTTACTTTTCATTTCTATTCTTACCTATTCAAATGTCTTAGAACTAAGTTCACATTTTTTATTCTCCGTCAGATGGCGGTACTAAATTCTGACTTCTTGTTTGTATGTCAGTTAAAAATTGAAGATTATGGTTTCTCGGAAAGAAGGAGGTAAAATCCAAAAATACCATATTGAAGAGTTTAAAAAAACGATGAAACTTTAATTCTTATCAACAGATTTCTAGATTTTGACAGTAAACTTCGAAGATTCTTATAAATCACCAGGTATATTCGAAACTAACACAAATGTGGGTAACGTAAAAAAAGAATTTCCATCCAGCTATAGATTTTTTTTTTAATAAGTATCGTGCGACTTTAAATATGACCTATAAATTGGTAGCGATCCTGTGTAGGGTGTGATTCACTCGGGTTCTTGACAAAACTTTTAATACTAGATAATAATACTCCGAGGAGTTTCCAAATTTTCGTACCTTCCTACAGTCATCCCAATTTTGCACGATAAAAGTGTTATCGAACTGCAAATCTATTAAAAAATTGTTCAAAATCATAAGACAGGATGGGATAAAATCATATGGCATATTTTTGTCATCCTTTATTTTTATTAAAAACTGCTTATAGGAAATAATGTACATTTGTTTGATTCTTTGGTGGTGGCGCAATATGACTCCTAGTGTAAACCAAATATGTAGTTAATTACCTAGACAAATTGATTGATTTCCAACGGATTGTGAGATAAAATTTACGAGAATTATTAACATAAAATTTGATTTCAATCTGTTAATATTCAAGTTGTTCATTAGGCGAGTATCAAAGAATTCTTTAAAATTCCTAACAACAGTTTCTTATGTAGAAAATATTTTTAAATATCTATATATGAAACATCTTCAATAAATAATACAAATTTTAGATAAAACAATTTTCGACTAAATGCAACGATCGGTACGCAATTAATAAAATAAATCGTAAGTAATATGTGTAGCTTCTAACAATAACGTCTTTTTAAAAAAAATTTATACAACTTAATATATTTTTATTATATTAGTATATTTCATTATTTATATATTACTATATATTATTATTATTATGCCGCGTTTAGCAAAAAATGAAGTGTTTTTACATGTATTAAGCAGGACGATACATTTCAGTCCTTATTCACCTAATAAATATGAACTAGAACATTCCACACTATTTCTGATCAAAAATATTCTTTTGTACATTTTTGCAATTAATTATAACTTGTAACTTAGTGTCTATAGTTATATCATTTATATTTGATAAGAATTTCTTTCATTAATTAATTTTGATGCTGATGATGTGTTATATAGTATTTTGTATTAAAAAAATATATATTTCTTACAAAATTGTTTTTGTAAAATATTTTCTAGAAGTGGGAAATGCACATTTAGCCATCTTTCCACAAATAACGGTATTTATATAACATTCTGTAAAGTGACGTCTACTAACTAGATGGTCGTCATCCAATACTTGAAATATTACATATATAATGCAATATATATATATATATATATATATATATATATATATATATATATATATATATATATATATATATATATATATATATATATATATATATATATATATATATATATATATATATATATATATATATATATATATATATATATATATATATACATATATATATATATATATATATATATATATATATATATATATATATATATATATATATATATATATATTATAATATTACATACTATAAATATTTCGGAAACTTTAGTTTTGTTACACAAATTATTGTTCTGATAAACCCTGAAACCCTAACACAACTAGGCCCTTAGTTACTAATACTACCTGTAATATCAATTAAGTCACATTTATGTGCACTGTCGTGATCATATTTTATTCACTGTATAGGTCAGCTGCTACTAATACCCTTCCTGAAATATAGAAAACATGAACAAGAGATAATCATTGCATTTTAATATACGGGGTTTAAGTAGTGTCAAATTTGAATTTTAGTATTAGTGCGGCAAGTTGTCAAATTCTAATAGTTTAACCGTTTATACAGCCAAATTGCTTTTTAATTTTCAATTTAAGAATATTTCATTTCAAACTTCTTAAATCTCAAATCATAAATTTGTTTTTAAAGCGTTTGAAATTCGAAAAAGACAACAATTATGATCCATTTGCTATTAAAAGTGCTTATTTGGCAGCACAAAGAAGATGAAAATATAGATTTGACACAAAATAAACTGATAACATTGTTCTTAAATAAATATTGAATTATTATTACGAATTCTTCTCATATTTTTCTTTTTTATTTACCTAAATTGTCAAACCAGGAGAACAATGTTCCACCCTATTATCGGGTGGCGGGTATTTGCAACAGTAGCTGGATATGACTCCAGCAGCAGCTAGTAGCAACGACAATACCGATATTCCACATACCGCACCAGATGTCATGTCGGCTAATAATGTTCCCGGTCTAGGCTGTTCGACTAGGAGAACTACTAGGCCGGCGCAGGTTAATAAGCTGAACAAACTAAGTACCAGGTATCCTACAACAGAAATAAAATGTGTTCTTTATGTTTTGTTAAACCTTACAAATGAATTGGCGAACTGTCCAAACGCATAAACAAAAATTAGAACGGCCGAAGCAAAACTAAAAAATACACTTAGATGTTTGTTATATGAAGGGTCAATTTGTTCTCTATTCTGCGTGTTTGCAGATTTTTTTCAAATACTATTTTGAACTTTTATATTTTTCGTATTTTTAACCACGTTGCTAAAGCATAACCTATAAGCGCGAGAATACAAATAAAAAACAGATTTTTGATATATTTACTAGGTTTTAGAATATATTTTTGTAATTTTGCATTAGTGGGTAGTATTTTGACACTTTTTAATTTTTAATTTCTTATTGGGTCTAGGTTCAGAAAGAGTCTCAGGTAAAATTGAAAAAAATCAACCGCCTGCACGGTGGACCTCCTCCTTGACGGTTTGGCATCACCAAGGCAATAACAGAAACTAACCAAAACCAATCAAAATTGAAAAAAATCAACTTCCTTCAACACGGTACATAATAAAAACAAGTTATTACCAACGTGCGTCACCCTGATAACAAAGCAATGGAGAAGGAAAGTATTTTCATTACTACGGATTATAAAATAGTTCCAAGTTAAAACACATAAAAAAAAGTTATGCATGTTTAATTTAATTTGTAAAAACTTAAAAGAAAAAACATGTTTTCGCCCTCGTGCATGTTACCGAAAACGATAATAAATTATCTAGTAGGATCTAAGACTTCGTTAAAAATATTCCCACCAAAACTAATCACTGCGATAAAAATATTTTACCCGATATGTAATTTCTGTTCGGCAACCAGTGCACGTTCCTTGACCGAAACCCCAACAGTCCCAATATCACGCAAGTGAACCCAGCAACAACGCCGAAGTCTAAAAAATACAGCCGTCCCATGATCGAGATCATATAAAAGCACAATCCCGTGGTGACGGAGCCGCACAAAAACATCATAAACGCTGCCACGAGCAGAGCTTGACCGGCATTCGTATTTCTGCTGCTAGTATTTCTCCAAGATTCTGGCGTGGTGCAGTACGTGGTCCCGTTATAAACCGACTTGATGGGACTCGAACAAATGGGGGTTACGACAGCAGTGTGCTTGGTGTCCTGGGGTAACTGTTTGGCGCCAAAAACGTAGCTCAGATTTCGTTGCGTTCTAGATGACGAAACCCGTGGGACTAACGGTCGCTTGGAATTTGAAATCGGGGAAACTATTCCAGGACTCGGACACGCTCTGCGCGATGTCTTTGGACTAAGATATTGTTGCTCCACCGAGGCGTTACGTCGTGGATTTTGAACAAATTCGTATCTATCAGATTGACGACCAGTAGTATTGTCGTTTGATGATGGCGGGGCGTTTTGTATGTATTCGTATCGGTTTTGGTTTCTCAACGGAGACTTCGGCACCGGAGAGGTCGAGATATACTCGTATCTTCCGCCTCCCTTCGGAAGCAGCGAATTTAACTCATTAAGGGGTATTAAAGCATAACGGTTATTTTTGCTGCGCACTTGCGGTTCATCCTGAGCGTTTATAACTGCGTACCTGTGAATCATCCCTGACGACAACTTGACGTCATCGTACAAAGATCTCGCGAGTTTAGTTTCCTCGACTTGGGGTGGAACCGCGTATCTTTCTTTAGGTACCGTTTTTGGTCTAATTTGCTGTTGGCGAGGCGAACAGTACCCGGATCCCTGTGGAGTTTGAGTTACGACTAACTTCTTGCTTTTTATAAGGCCGTTGTCGTCCACAACCACTTCTTCATAGAATTCTTGTTCTTCGACGTTTTTCCCATAATTTAACAGCCTTTCTTCCTCCACCAACAAGTCGTCGACGACTACGACACTCGTTTGAGCGCCCACGGGCGACTGCCTGAAGTTTCTTTGCGAGTTTACCGGCCCCTTTTGATGGTAGAATTCGCTCTCTTGGCAAAATGCCGCGTTTGAATACGATTTCTGCAATGCCATGACACGTCACATGCTTTAAACACTAAACCAGTCAAGTTTTGCGGGAGGAATGATCGCGCCACAGAAGTTCAGCAATGTTTCACCGCGTGTCTACGTAAATGTTCGTGTAATTGTCTTCCAAGCAAGTTGTTCCCAACCGACTTCGCTGTTCGTTTGGCACAACTGGTAGTTACGAGTTACGAGCATAACGGTTAGGGGCCTGTGATACAGCTGCAAATAGCTCCGCCATGTGTGTATTTAGAGGGTAGATTACAGAGGCGTAACCATAAATTAGTAAATTCTCGGCGTGCCTCGAAAATTTGGCGTTACATTGAAAAATACGAAGGAAAACCTTTTTATAATTGAACTGAGGTGGCTTTTACTTGATAGAAATCCATTTAACAAAATAAATAAGAACTAAAAGTTCGGATTTTCTCGAAATTATATATTTTCACATGACAATTGTTTCGACAACACCGTATCTTTAACCTATAAAGTAAAATAAAGTAAAATTGTTTATCCTATAAAGATACGGTATTGTCGAAACAATTGTCATGTGAAAATATATAATTTCATGAAAATCTGAACTTTTGCTTCTTATTTATTTTCTTTGTATAATTTTATTGTTTTAAAAAGCTTAACAGTTATAAAACGATATGGTTACTTTAGAAAGTACTAAACCGCAGAAAAGTAAAAACGTAAACCGGAGATTTAACCAACTTTAATGATAATCCTAATCCTAATTTGGTTCGTGATATTTAGTTAATAATACACTCATATATATATATATATATATATATATATATATATATATATATATATATATATATATATATATATATATATATATATATATATATATATATATATATATATATATATATATATATATATATATATATATATATATATATATATAGTTTTTCACCTATTAGGATTTTCTAAAAGAAGCAAAACATTTTAGGTAGAAAAATTGGTTAATTTTCAACTTTGGACTTCCAAAATTCCAAAAGCAAAATTTAATTTGCAAACATTTTTCAACTTTTTTGTTCCATTACCTTTGACGCCGCCACTGTGATGAACGGCACGGGTGGCTTGTCACCGCTTGACATCCGACACGCTAGGTATTACAAAAGGTGGGTATTGTTTTTAATTCTTGTCCATCTTCGGTGATCACGGTTCGGAAAAAGAGGAAAAACATGTTGAAATCATTGATTTAGTAAAAAACACATTACCTACAGCTTGTGTAACTGTACATATCATTTATTATACCTATTGGATGAATCATGGATCTGAAATACTCATTGTTTCCCGTAAAACCCACACTCAAGGAGTTGATAAAAATAAAAATAAAGATAGCTTTACTTCCATAAGACTTCATTTATAAGTGTTGGATATTGTCAGTATATTATTAATGTAAAAATATAAAATTAGTATAATTAATTAATTAATTAATAATAATAAGTAATAATGTTAGATAAATAACAAACAACAAATACGTATTAAAAGGTATCACAAGAAAGAAAATCCTTAATATTGTAATACGCGAGGCGTAGCAATTTGTCTTTAAGAGTGCATTTCAATTTTGTTTGTTTTGTTGGTTATCTGCTTCAGTTCGATAGGCGAGTTACTATAATTTTTTACAGTCAAAACAAAGGTATTATTTGCTGTAAGAGACAGTCGATGTGTAGGTATTTTTATTTTAAGATTCGGCCTTAAACTGTACTGAATATTTGAGTTTCTTGAGAGCAAATAAAGATTGGAGATACTTTTTACATAAGTGGCACAATTTAGTATGCACATACTAGGAAATGTTAATAAAGAGTGTTGTGGAAATAAAAGACTTGCTCCGCAGGTGGGGAACCTCCCCATCAAACCAAGGCGTAGTTGAGACAGGAATAGACATACGAAAAATAGTACATTTTAACAGTGAAGTAAGCAAACAGTAAGTTTTTTGAGGATGTGGTCCACCTCTTCGAACCAAGAGAGTCTCCGACGAACACTTTTCTGTTGGATTGTGCTTTCACTGAAGCGCACTAATAAACTATTATTTAAATCCTGTATTGAAAAGGCGATCATCTTAGTTTTAATTCAATTCAATATCAATTTGTTAATTTTTGCATAATGTTGCATTTGCTCAATAGTTGTCTTCATTGCAATGCTAAGTTGCTCAGACGATGCTGCATCATCCACAAAAAGGGAAAAGCAAGTATGGGGGAAAGATAAAAACACATCAGTTATAAAAACTATAAACAATAAAGGACCGAGTCAACTTCCCTGAGGTACACCACATTCACTGACCTGGAATCAGAGACGTAATCAAACCCTAAGGTATCTCGTAATTTAATCAACTGCGTACGAGCCCCAACAAAAGACATTTTTTTTAAGATCCTACGTCATCTATGGATAGCAACCTTAAATCTGTTATTAAAGCTTCTTCTCTATCAGACTCTGTGAAAAAATCTATTACGCTCATGACTCTAAAATTCATCGTCTCTACAGGCTCCCAAAGATTCACAAACCAGGATTACCCCTTCGACCTATTATCAGCACCATTGGTTCTCTCTCCTTCCTTATTAAAACCCCTTACAGGGAAAACTGACACTTTCGTACTTAGTTCCTTTCACTTCATTGAACAATTACATTAGATACACAAGATATTCTAGTTAGTTTCGACGTAGAATCCCTTTTTACCAAAGTTCCTATTTGTGAAACTCTCGACATCATTACAGATATATTAAAATCCGAGAATCTGGAACCAAACCTTTTCACCTTAATTGAAAAATGCTTGTCACTATCACCAGTCATCGTGAATATATTTATGGAAGCCTTTGAGAAAAAGCTCTCGACCCCTTCCATCTAAAACCAAAATTATGGAAATGCTACCTCGATGATACTTTTGTTATTTGGCCTCATGGTAAAGAATCCCTAGTAGATTTTCTTAGAAAATTAAACTATCTGAACCCGAGTCATTGAACCCTGAATTAAAACATCTTACCTTTGCTCTCACATTAAAGATATTAAGCGTTCCATCACAAAATACACTTCACCACAACCTTTAAAGAACAATGAAATCGAAAGCCAATCCCATACTTGCCACTGTTGTCCTTCCTTATATTTAAAATATCACTGACCACATATCAGAAGTTTTAAAGAAATATAACGTCAAAATCAGATTTACCACTTGTCCAAAATTCCATTTGAGATGCCAGGAGTTTACAGCATTCCATGCATATGCGGCAAAGAATACGTTGGAGAGACCTGACGAAAAATATCAACTAGACTCGATGAACACGAAAGAGCCTGACGACTAAGACAAATAAACTCATCAGCTGTTGTCGAACACACTCATGAAACTGGACACAAAATTTTATTCCATAAAACTAAAATTCTTGCATGTAATCAGTTCTTTTACCAACGAAAAATCCGAGAGTCCATAGAAGTCTATAAATATAACCGCAACTCAGGTCTTTACCTATCACTAATGTGGGAATCAGTCATCCGAGACGGCGTTTATGCCCATCATTTAGCTCTTCCACTCTCAAACAATATATAAGCAGATACAGAGTAAAATACGAGCCGGTTTCAGTCAAGCTCTGAAGAAGCCAACGGGGATGAATGTTTTGTAAAAAGTATTACAATAGCTTCCAAAAAATTTGTCTCAAATGCAGTGCTTTTTCGAAGATTTTTGAAAAAACGGATGAAATAATTGTTGCGCCGCATTTTTTAGAATGCTGGGCTGGGATTCGTGCAAAAAGGAACAATTAACGAGATATGTCATCGGTTCTACAATAGTGTCGACCACATGCCCAAACACCGCGCAAGGAATGCCGTCCTAACCCGCTGAATATTTCTTAGTGACAGACAACATTATATTACTAACTTTTGTACATAAATATAGACTTCAATACATGCTCTCTGCAAACCTACATCTAGCGAGATCGTATTTTTATGAGGTGAAACTATATTTTTCAAACTATTGGCTGAATCGACGAAAAAATTGTTAAAACAATTTGCAGCCGAAGCCATATTAGTAACTTTTTCCCCGTCTGTTTATTTATTTAATTATTTATTTATTGTTTATTATTTGCCACGCGGAACGCGATTTGTTTTCAGAATTCAAAAAACATTGATCATTAAACAATTTTTTATAATACAACATGAGGCCCTCCTTATGCGGGTGCAAGTAAGCGAATTTATATAAGCTTCTCAGTCTCACACCTTGCTGAATAATAATATCCCTTGTCAACCACAGCTTATCCTTAAAGGTATCCACTCTATATTTCATTAAAGAAAATGAACAATTAAATTTATTGTCAAGGCTTTCCCCTTGATTATAAACAGGTGACCAATCTATTTCGGATATTTGCATTTTAAGCGATTCAATGTTACTTTTTTTTCTAAATAGTCGTACATAAGTTTGCTCCACTCTGTCAATAATAACTTGTGGGAGGGAGACTAGTTGCATAAGATGGTCAGAAATGTCAGTATAAACCACCCTTGCATCCAACAAAATTCGCGAAAATGTTGTCAATTGTTGTTTTACTTTTATTTTCTATCCTCGTTGGATCAAAAATGGTTTTATTCAATCCAAAGGACATCGAGAGATTCTCAACTGTAAAAGCATTTCTATCGTTACTGTCACTAAAGTTCATGTTAAAGTCTTCACAAAAGAGTGCTTTATAATTCTTCAAGATATTACATGAAAAAAAGTTTAAGTAATTGATAAAAATATTCCAATCACTGTTAGGTGATCGGTAAATTACGGCAACGCGATATACTTCTTGGGAAATTTTAATCTCGCAAATTGCGTACTCGAAAATCTTACTCATTCTGGAACAAGGGATTGATTGCGTACAAAAATTGCTACGCCTTCTCCTTTATTATAATTATCAGCTGGATTTTAAGACTGTTAAACCATGTTTCAGTGACAGAGAAGACTTGAGGAAATGCAATTGAATGCAGTAAAATGTATAAGTCGTCAGTTTTCTTTTTCAAGTTCCTTGGTTTAGCAAATCGTCTTAGTTTACGAAACTCTAATAATTTTTAGTGCAAATTTTGTAAATTGAAGTATATTTGGTAAGTAATCCCTAGTTTACCCTAGGTAAAAAACATATCTGCAATTACTAATTTGGTAAGATCTATTAATAAGAGACTAACCTATAGTTACAAAGTACAGACTTTGTAAAATGAAACTCCAGAAAGCGTATTGGTAAAACTACATGACGCTCAATCTAGAATAGTTGCTGACTTCAGTAAAAATAAATAAGTCATATTTTACAAAAATGAAGTGAAATAACTGAGTTTGTTTATTCAAAATCCACTTGAAAAAGTAAACAAATTTTGGTTTTTAGATTGAAATTTAAAGCAATAAAAAGAGATACAATTAACACTAACAGGTCTGGATTCTTTAAATAAAAAGTATTTAATTAAAAATTTCGCTGTGTGCCTAACTATAAATTTAAATCCAAGAATTCGATATCCGAACATGAACATTTTGAAAATTGGGTAAAAAATTCTCTTCATCCAAATGTCCAAATAGTTGTTATAACAAGCAAACCGTATGATAAAATCAGGTCTTAAAAAAATAATATAAACCCAATATTGATTTGATTAAGATAAACAAAATCAGTTTTTAGAATAATTTATTTTCAAGCGACTTTAGTTTTTTACAGGTTTGGTGAATACAATTCAAGAATTTTTCCGTTTTAGAAAATATTGATAAAATAACAAAAGTCTTTAATCTGTGAATATAAATACAGTTTAACCAAACATGCACAAATGTATCAATTTGTATCAATTTAAACAATTAAAAGAAAGTGATTAAGCTTTGGATTTTTTTGGGTGAGTAACCAGAATTTTGACGATGTTTTAACGTACTTTAGATACGTATTCCCAGATTTTATGGTTTTGGTAAGAAATGCAACAACACAATGGTTTAATTTTTGTCCTGCTTATTGCACATGTTTCCTTTTAAATAATTTAAGACCAAAATTCTTTCGAGCATAGGAAAACAAACTGTGGTAAAGAAGTTTAATTATTTTTTATTTTACTGTTACCATTTATGGCCAGATTCTGTTATTTATTTATATTAATTTATAATAGTCAACTCTTTCATAATAGCTATAAATAGATATCATAATATGTAACGGCATAAAAAAACAGTATCTATTTTATCCAAATATTAATATGACTGTGTGTAAACACAAATAAGTTGTACGTTAAATTTGGACATTTGTCAACGACCTCTTTTTCTTCTATTCTTATATTATCGTCTAAGTTCATGAAATCTTCTATATTTCGGGGGTCTGTTGCTCCTAAATGTTTTACATGTCTCAATACCTTATCTTAAAAACTATAGGGAATGGAGCCAAAAGTCAAACAAAATTTAATTTAATAAACCTTCAACTTATTTTAATGTTGTACATATAGGGTGTTTCATTTTTCGTGGGCGGGTATCAACTTTCTTATTTTAAATGGAACGCCTAGTATATTCTATACAAAATTCTAGACATAGACATAGACAATACTTAAGTCTAACCGTTTACAATATTTTTAATTTTTTATGTGGAAAATCACGTTTACAAGACGTAAAATATCTGCCAATTTCTTCATTGGGAAGCATTTAGTGTTTCACTTGAGTAAGTTTTGTTGTAGAAAATTTGTAAAAAAATAAAAAATAAGATTAAAAATGAAATTAAAAAAATTACCAAAAGTTTTGTTTTTAATGGAAACTACCTCATATTTAGCATTCAAAATTAAGGCAATTTTAGATAAAGTTGTATATGCCTAATATTTTTACAAGTGCTAGAAAGCTGCATGCGTATTATGTTTACCACAGGAGAAAAAATTGACATGTTAGAAACTGACATTTCGAACAATAAAAATATATTAGAAAATGTCCATTCAGGAGGCCCCGAAAAAAGATTTTCGACGGGGTTTACCAACACTAAGAAATATATAGAAATTTGAAGAAAGAAAAAATAGAGGTCATCATATTTTGAATAATAAAGAGCAACTTAATAATTTGTTGTATTTTGCAGAGACCCCTGAAGATTTAACCCGAAATGCATCTTTAGATCTTGATGTCAAAAGAACAACGCTTCGAACGTGCCTTTAAATAAACAACTGGAAGCCCTATAAATTCGTTCCGGTGCAGAAATTACTGCAACGGGATTACAACATCAGTTTAAATTTTTGCAACAATCTTATAGAGAGAACCTTTTCAGAAAATATAATTGCTAATATTATATGGAAAGATGAATCCATATTTACAACCTTAACTAAAATTTTTAATCGGAATAACACCAATTACTGGAAAAACAAGAATAATAAAAAACATATGGAAGTTACAATTTCATGTGAAATTTCTGTCAAAGTATGGTGCGCCATCTAGAGGTAGTCGCTTATCCTTGGTCTTATTCTGTATAAATAATGCATAGATCTTCATAAGTGCATCGGCAAGATTACGATCAGCTTTCAAATGGTAAATCATAGCGGCAGCACTTTAGCACTTGGTTTTTTTCAAACGCCATTATAGCCACGTTTATATGCATTAATATGTATCGAAATTTCTTATGAAATCCGTTATCGAGTCCTTCGTCGGCAACAAAACTTACTCAAGTAAAACAATAAATGCTTCCGAATGAAGAAATTGGCAGATATCTTAATTCTTGCAAACGTAATTTTTCTCATATAAAATTAAATATGTGAAAAACGGTTAGAGTTAAGTATAGCACATTATGCACTCAATATGTCTAGCATTAAAAAATGAGGTAGTATACCAGGTGTACCATTTAAAATAAAGTTGAGACTCGAAAAATGAAACACCCTGTATATACAAAATTAAAATCAATTAAAGGTTTGTAATCCTCATTTAACTTTTGGCTCCATCTCTTATAGTTTCTGAGATAAGGTAGTGTCCCAAAATAAACGGCCCACCCTATTCGCTAGATTCATTTGTTGCATTCATTTTTTCTAAATCCAGCTTTAATAAAACAATTCTTAATCGTCGAGGGATTAGCTTTATGCCACGATGTTTTTATGAAGTACAAAGTCTCCAACACATTCATGGTTCTTTTGGTTAAGACATGTTTTAAAATCAAGTGTCGATAATTAAATTTGACATTTTGTATGATATCTTGATCCAAGGGCTGACAAATTGAAATTGTGTTTTGCCGCAAAAAAATATTTTTCACATTTTTCAAAGACGCCTTTTTGTTTGACTCCCAAGTAGCTGGAAGATCCTAATAGCAGCTTTTCCAATCACCAACAGATCCTTTTTGTCGCTAGCCATATTTGCCCAAAACAAAATGGTTAGTCTGTTTTTAGACAACTTTTCACCCATACATACTTTGAGTGTCAGAGTTTTATCCTGCAACGCCCGGGAAAAAAGTTCACATTCATCTGCGTTGTACTCATCCTCTGGTTTGTAGACTAGCAACATAGACGAGAGTTTATCTAAAAATTGTTCAACATCAACATTATGTCTCTTGCGCCACTTTTGAAATTTTTATAAACCAAATTTGCCGCCATTTCTGTAGCTTTCACTTTCACTAGCGGCCCTGATGTTAGAGTTAGACTTCTAACTTGCACTAACCATTTGAAATATCTTTTGTCTATTTTAATACCTTCTGATATCATCCTTATTTTCAGTTCAGCTGCTTAAGTTTTCCGAATGTCAAACCTCTTTGCCAAATCAAGAACTGAAACTCTTCTTCATTTAATAAATTAACTCTTCCTTTAACACTCACAAACTCACTCCGATAATGCTGTTTGAACTAGAATATAAAACCAAAGCCAAGCTCTTAAGTAAAATTAAGAGGAATCACCTAATATAAAACGGGGAATTACCGAATTTAATGCACATTCTAATAAGCGGACCTAAAATATTGTCCGCCTATGTTAGATTTTTAGTCACATTGGGGAATAATCTAGTGATAAGAGCGTCCGCTTATCGGCTTAGCATTGGAAATGATAAGCTGAAATTCGGTTCCAGGAGAGCTTTCAATAGGCTGGTATAATAAAAAATATTTTGAAAAATGATGGTCTGATGCCGGATTGTGAGAAACGAAACGAATGCATATAAATGTATAAATATTTATTGCTTATGTTTAACAACTTGTGCATCTACAAAATATCTTAGTTTCTAAAATAAGCTGTTGGACCATAGGTGCTCATAGGTATCCCCCCAGCTTGCGTGTAAGTTTCGTTTTGTTCGTAGTCCACATCATAGTAGATACCACTTTGATTCTGAAAATGGAAAGAAAATTAAATGGAAAACGTATTCCGTATACACAATCCGAAGTTTACGTTTCATTGTAAATGAATTACCGCTATTGATGCGTTACTTCTACTTTTAGGCCGGGGCACCTGAAAATTTCTTCCCAGCAAATCAGTTTTATCTTCTTCTTCCGACGAGCTATTGCTGTCCAGCGGACACATGCCGGATGACATTCCGGCCAAATGTGCTTGCAATCGGGGTAAAGGGACTGGAGGTAAACTACCCGCGGTGCTTCCCAAACCTCTTAGTGAATTGGGTATTTGGAGAGTTCCTCCGACTGGAAGAGTTGGATAACCAAACATAGAACTTCTGTTTGGGACTAGACTTGGCTCGGGCTGCAAAATTGAGTCGTCTCATGTAAAACGAAGCCAAAACAAAAATGTACTGACACAAAAATGTTTTATTTTCCATATTGGTTATTTTCTGATAAGTGTTAACTAAAATAATAATTTCTCCGCAAAAAACATTTAATGGATAATTTAAAAAATGAATAATAATTTCGAGGATAAGTTTAAATTTAATATCTGGTCCTAAATATACGCTGATAATTATAAATATAAAATACTCTACTCGTATTTGGATATCTAGAATGCAAAAGAAAACGCTGATAGTGTTTTGGAGTATTGTGAAAAAGTTTTATTATTCATCTTTTATTCCATAAAAAAAAGATAGCTGCAGGCTAGTAGATCCTGCAAGGAATCTCACTATTTATCCTCATTGCCTTGTGAAAAAGGTAGTGTTACCCCTCGGTTCGTTATAGAACCTAAGGTGATTAAGCTGTTAATATCATAATACAGTGGAGTTCGGATATAGTCAAAAAGTCTCATAAGACAAATATAAATTTTTACTCGAACTTTTGGATACACTTTGGATCACTGGCTCACAACAGTTTGGCCTGATCTTTGCAAAAATTATGACAGTGACAATATTTTTAACGCCAATGAGTCCGGCCTTTTCTACAAACTAACTCCTGATAAGATATTGAAATTCCAAGGAGAAAGGTGTGCAGGTGTAAAATTGTCCAAGGTTCGAATAACAGTTCTGGTTATTGCAAACATATCTGGGATAGAAAAGAGAAAGCTGTTTGTTATCGGCAAATCAGTAAACCCACGATGTTTTAAAAACAAGACCCTACCAGTCAAGGACAAGTCAAAGAGCAAAGCGTGGATGACATCTGACTTATTTACCGAAGAGTTGCTCGAATGGGATACAGAACTGAAGAAAAAGCACAGAAAAATTATTCTCCTAGTAAATAATTATCAGGCACATCCCAATGTTCCGTTAAACGAAATGAAACTGGTTTTTATGCCACCCAATACCAGTTCAAAACTGCAGCCCATGGATCAAGGCATAATCCATTCCCTGAACTGTCACCAGAGGAAGATTTTGCTGATAAAGATGATAGAAGCAATTGATGATGGATGAGAGTTTTCAGTGAGCTTATTTGATGCTGTAAATTTTATTCGCGGTGCTTGGCAGGAAGTTAGCAAAAACACCATTGCAAACTGTTATAAACATGCAGGATTCTTTGAAGCAGAAGATGATTTTGACTCTGATGATGAATTGACTCTAACGGAATGGCCAAAAAAACATTCAGGAGGTCCCGAAAATACCGAGAAAAATACCGACACTCATGATGCCCTTGAAGCAGAGATTAGGAATAGGATTAAACATTTTGACTTTGAAAATTACGTTTCAATAGACGATCAAGTTATTCTAATCGAATCGTTGAGAGAAGACGAAATTATCTGTCTATCTATCGATCATGAAATGTAACATTAAAATAATGACTCATTTACGTTTTTTTAAGAAACAAATACAGAATTGAGTGAAGATGAGCTGAACGAGGAGGCTATTGAGGAAGTGACCACAATCAATGTTCCTTCAGTAAAAGACATGACGCAAAAAAAATAATAGAGATTCGCACGTTTTTGGAGTCACGAGACGTTCCTGAGAAAGTTTGGAATTCTTTTTGTTACCTTGAAACTTATATAAGTAATATTAACTTTTCTAACAGACTCTTACAAACCAAAATATCCGACTTGTTTATCCAAGAATATTTTTTTTAGATGTTGTTTACCTATTCTTGTTCACTTGTTACTTGTTTTGTACAGGATGATATTTAATTTTCACCTTTGCAACATTACGCAATACATATACATATCTAAAAAAATTCTAGTATATCATGGCATTTTTTTACCAGAATAACGTATATAATATTATATATTATGTAATAACCAATTTTGATGCAACTTTCGAGTCCACTATATCCGGACTTCATTGTATATCAGTGTCACAAATATAAGGTAAAATAGATAATACATTTACAAGAACTTAATTTTTTTATTTTAAAAGTACTATCGAAGCCGTATCGAAGTTTAATTAATTAGTTATTGCAAAATTTCGATATTTAAATTAGTGGCATATATCAAAAAAACTGATTTAAAAAAATCAGAATATCGACCAACAAATATTTTTAAAACGCTTAATACAAATCTAAAATTAAATCTTAATTAATGAATATATACCATAAACATAATATATACCATAATAAAATTCTTTCCTTTGTAAAATTGTATTGATAGCATCTTTCCTATCATGAAAAACAGTGGGGCATTTATATCTAACTCAAATAATCAAGATAACTGATAAAAGTTTCGAAAAGTGGGACTCCGATTCACACTTTGCCTACTCATAGTACTTACAGCGTAATGATTAGCTTGTGCCATGACATTGGCTACCTGAGCCCAGCGTAATCTGTCCTGTAGGGTAAATTGATATGGGGGCGTTCCAACTACAGGAGTTTTCACCGTACTATTGGCTGTGGCCATGTAACCAAAAACTGGGCTTCCTACAACTGTTTTTTGTTCTTTGTTCCACCTGCGACTAAAAATTATTAATCGGCATTATAATCAGTTCGCAAAATGTGATGTGTCAGTAACGACTATACTATATCGCAAATTACCTCCACATGACCAAGCACACCAGCGTTAGTCCAATGATTATAATAGCAACGGCACTGGCGCCGATAGCCACACCAAGGACCTCGCCGTCCAACTCACACTGCGTACCATAATAGTTTCCCGAGCAACTAAAACGAAATATGTACATACTTAAGTTGAACAATGTCGCTATCCACAAAATTCTAAATGGCCAACCAACGCTGTATACATTACTTTTTTAAAAAACTTTAATTATAAACTTTCTGGAGCATTCAATTTGTTTCATGTAATCGACACTTCTATAATGGTTATTCTGACATAGCATTTGTGGAGTATAGTTCAATAGTTCCCAGCCTTTTTTTCTCTTAGACCACGATCAAAATATTATTGGTTCCGGCATCTACATTTCGACCATATAAACGCATTTTTTGTCACGCCAAACGTAGACTCCCGTCGAGTCTCTCGGCGACCCCTGGGGGTCCATCTGGACCATTTTGTAATTTTGTAATAATGTATTTTTTTTTTTTTTTTAATTTACTAATCCATAAATGAATTCGTCTTGAGCTTTTCAATCTAATAAGGTTTTATTATTGATTGGGAGACCGTGACCGGTGACATGGTAAATAATTATTATTGTAATTAAAATTATTGAAAATTATTTTTTAAGAGAGGTATTTATTTAAGAGAGGTATTAACGTTTTTAATAGTTAATGTTGACCATTACAGAGCAAGATAATCCTATGTGGAGAAAAAAAAGTCTTTCGCTCATTGATGGGTGTAAACCTAGGGTGGCAAACTCTACCCATATCCCTCTAATTCAACACAATTTTGAAACAAAAAATTAGATGTTACGTAATACCAAAACAAAACTGTTTAAATTTTCAATTACCCAGGGTGTTTTATAAAAGGGCGGCAATACAAAAATAAATATTTTTAAATATACCACCCCATATGCAGGGTTTCCGTCTATTAGAAGTTTTATGAGATACAAAATAGAGAAACGAAATAGATATTGTTGTGGAACTTGGTAGATGGCCATAATTGGCTCTGACGTACAATTTAAAAATATTTTCAACAATGAAATTTCAATTGGAACATACAGTTTTTTTTGCATTTTCGATTTCGATATTAAAAATTGTTAAAGAATTTTTTTTTCTTGAAAAGCCCAGCTTCGAACACTTTCGAAGGGGATAGCTAATGAATAGTCAATATTGATAAAATTTTATACAGAGACGCCGAAAAAGAGCACTTTTGAAAGAAATGTAATAATAAGTCTTTTTTTGTGAAAGTGTTAATTGAATAATTCGTTTTTACTCCAAAATAACAAAATTTATCGAAGCGAGTTTTTTAAATTAAATCAATTTTTTTGCGAACAAGATTTCAGATAAGTTAGGAAAAATTAGTGGAAGCTATTCAAATTTATATGTGCAGTAGAAAACTATATGTTTCATTCGAAATTTCAATGTTGCAAGTGATTTCGGGCAGAACCGGCAACATTGCAAAAGCGAAATTATTTTTCAATTGTACGTCAGGGCCAATTATAGCCATATACCAAGTTTTACAACAATATCTATTTTGGTTCTTTTGAAACTTCTAATGGGCGGGTACCATGGGAAAATATTTTTGCATACCACAATTAATGTTTATATGACACACACCGGACACTTTTTGCCTTTTAATGGCATCTTGGAAAATTATTGAGGAAAAACTGAAAATTAAAAAGAAACATGTTAAATTAGAGCAAAAAATCTTCAGATTTTTACAATTACTTAATGATATATGACAGCTGTTTCTCTCTGAGTACAGGATTTCTCTGGTGGTATAGATACGTCGATGATGTTTTTGCTTGTTTCACTGGAACCGAAAGACAATTGCAGTCCTTTTTGAATCATATTAACTCCATATATGACCGTATAAAATTTGCCATAGATACTTAACTAGATTACTCTTTATACTTTCTGGACTTAACTATAACTAAACTACAGCACAAGATTTTTCCATTTACCATAAACCCTCACGCACGGACACAATAATACATAATAATTGAATCATTAATATACCACTTTCCACAGAAAATTTTGAAAAGAAGTAAATATTATAAAACAGTTTTTAACAATGATTACGACCCTTCTTTGAAAGATAAGATTATAACTAAAAAGCAGTTTGAAATAACTCTCGACTCTATCTATCCCATATTAAACACCGAACCCAAAATTTATAAAACAATAAAGTCCATTTGAAAACCTAGAAAGAAAATTGCGAAACATCTATTTGGTGTTAACATTGTTTTTAAAACTGAAAACACTATAGGATATTTTTTAAAAAACAATAAAACTAAATTACGAAAAACTCAAAGATCCGGAGTCTACAAGTTGAATATCGGACAAACAGATAGAACATTTAAGAAACGCATGAACGAACATAAAAGGGCGTATAAAAATAAAACTTCGCATTCCAACTATGCCATTCATTTAAATTCAGAAATACACAAGTTTGACGACAATTTTGATGTTTTACACAATCAATCAAAACGCAAAAAACTAATTTTGTTGGAAGCTATGGAAATTATCAGATGAGATATTTGAATCTATTACTTAATGACCAATTGAATTTAAATGCGTCTCCATTATTAAATTGAAATTTTGAATCTACACCGATAATTAAAAATCTATTAATACCTATATATACATATATATATATATATATATATATATATATATATATATATATATATATATATATATATATATATATATATATATATATATATATATATATATGTATATATATATATATATATATATATATATATATATATATATATATATATATATATATATATATATATATATATATATATATATATATATATATATATATATATGGCATCATCAGTCATTCAAAGACATCAACTCTAATGCCCACAGACACAAATTTAGGATAATAATTTTTGAGACCTTGACTTGTGGGTGTTTGAAATTGTATAGCTATGTGTATATATTAATTAATTAATAAATTATGGAATTAAATCGAATTTGACAAAGTTCCGTTGTGAAATTATGCTTTATAGTGAGTCACCCTATATAACTTACACGCAAACTTCCTGTCCATTTTGAAATTTGCACTCGCCACGATTACTACAGTGCTTTGGTGAACACTGCTCGCATTCTCTACCGCCTCTATATTTATTGTTTGCCCACAGATCTCTATATCCTTCTAGACATTCGCATTTAAATCCACCGAATATGTTGATGCATTTGGCGGCTTCGTGACAGTCGTGGAGTTCTTGCGAGGTACATTCGTCTAAATCTAAAATGTTAAACCAATTAGAATACGCGGGTAACGATAGGTATTATTCGGAGGTATTTCTGTGGATGAACGTACTAAGATAGCAAAATTCTTAACTTAAAATTAGGAGACTCTAGTCAACTATTACCTTGTAGACTTGATATCGACCCGGGCAGACTATCGACCCAAAGCGCACTCTTTCCAACATTGTTATTTCTTCGTTGGAGCACACCAAGCAATTGTTTTTGGATTTCGCCTTTCACTGATGTTCTCGAAGTGTCAGCATTTTCTTCAAGTTGAAGCGTGATGTTGACGAACACCCCATCTCGACCTTGGGATCGGTCCCCTTTGTAGATATTATTTACTTTCGATCCCAGATATTCGTCGCTAAATGGCGTCATGGACATAGCGGATTCCAGCTAACATATATAGCATTATAAAATACGGTACAGTACGACCAAAAATATGGTACATTTATTGCTATGACGTTATAAATATTTTACAGACCTTCCGTGGTAAAATCCATCTCAGCAGATGTTTATTCTGCATTAAGTAGGTCTTCCCTGAGATGGACCGTAACGAACATTTGTGGAAACTTGAAATTTTTATTTGAAACGTTAATGGACCGCTTTAAATTTGATTAAGCATTTTCGAATATGTTCGTATGTATTACGGAGGTATTCGAATGTAAGTTATTTATGTATCAAAGGGTAAGGGTAAGTACTTGTACTCTATGTATCTTGCAGGTAAGTTTGAAAATAATCATTTTTGTCTTGTGTGCCTATCGATTAACTACAATCTTCTTCTTGTATTTTTGGGTCTTCTACATGGTTCTTCGATTTGAAAAGATTATATTCGCGGTAGATAAAGATACAGATAAATATTTCTTAGAATCTTACTATTAAACAGTTTTTGAAGGTTACTGTTTTTTAACACCTTTAAATGTGGAGACCGTGGAATAAAGCAGATGTTCCGCTGTTAGAAGAAGGCATGGAAAACAACGCCGAATTTGAAGATGAAGTGGAGATGGTAATCGAACCTAATGACAATTTAGAGCACGAACTACCTCAGTAAATAAAAAAACGGATACATTTTTCTCCGGACGCTAAACAAATTGTTTTGAATGTTCACAATTTTATAAGAAATTCGGAAAGGGATGTAAGAGCAGCAATAAAAACAAGTGACATAAAACGTAATAAATTGTTACTTTGTACTAATTTTTATATGTACATGTTTCAAGAATTGCTCCGCGAAAACGATTGCAAACATACTTATATCCCACTTGTTAGTGTAGGTAGATAAATTCCTAGGACGGCCCTGGAATGGTTACGAGTAAGGGTCAGCTCGGCAGGGTGTTCTATAAGGGGCTGTGGTTTTGGAGTAATAAAGAATAGACAAAATAGATAAGGGCCATTTAATATGCTCACGCGCGGCATTTTCAATAACGTTTTCAACCAATAGGGCTGGTAATTTCAACAAGCATGGCCAGTGACAGTTGATCAATTAGACAGTTTTTAGTTTGAATTTGGCGAATTTACGGCAGTCTTTTTTCACAATATGACCAGATTCCGTTAAATGATCAGAGATAAGTTGCTGTTGTGTAAGTTCAGCTGGAGGAGATCGCTGTTTATCAAAAAAATGACGCAAAGTGCAGCTTTATAGTATGTAAAATATAAAGGCAAGATCATTCTCAATATCTATACGGCTAGGCCACAAGGATTTACAGACTTTCAATTACAGATTATTTAATCTAATCAAATATGTCGCCAGAGAAATTTTCTTTAAGGCAGTCAAGTGGTCAGTTACTTACCGCTTTTTCTGATTCAAAGGCAAGTTGTTCAAATTTATCGCCGTTTTTCTCCAACAAGTCATCAACCCACACCACCCTTCTATCATATATCCTATCCACTCGCAAAGACAGAACAAGGGAAATGATATTCCTACAGGGATCTCTGAGTTTTCTTCTCGCCGTGCCTGGTCTACAATGGCAACTACTGATCCCTAACTCTGTCCTACATATCTCATGTTGTGAAACGTCACACGTTGAATCGTCTCCCACAATACAAGTGTCGATCCTACAAAAGATATATACAAATATTAACACGTAACTTTAAGAGGCTCGAAAGTATTATTAACTGGTTCATAAATATGGTATATTGTAAGTCATATTAATATAGTTCATTTATGTGAATGTGACGAGTTACTGAAATATTGTAATTTTTGTAATAATGGACGATAATTCTAGAAAGGGATGCCAGTACTTTTGTATCATTACAACGTCCTTGTTTGTTATTTTAATATGACTTAAATCCATTACAAAACATTTAGGTAAAAGCATTTCTTTCTCTCTGGTAAATATGATGCAAAAAAATTATAATTTTATTTGGGTTATTGGGTTTCGTAAAACTCGATGTTAATAAATTAAATCTTTATACTTTTATGTTTTGTACTTGTACCGTGCGTTCAATTTATTTTTATAACATTTTTATTGGGTGTAACTTTTTTGTTTTTAGAGATATCAAGATATACAAAAAAACAAAATGTAGGGTTAATAGCCAAGTTTTTTTACAAGCGGCGTATAAAACAAAACACTATCAATTTTCTGATATATACATCACATTTTTTAAATATGGACCACCCTGTATATTATATATAGTATATTATATATATTATATAATAGAATATCTTATTCTGATTACAATGATGTAACACACTTTATATTTTAGTCCACTCGTTTTTGACAAATCGACATATTTTTATATAATTTCATAGAGTGCCCTGATTATTGTCCAAGTCATTATTGTTAAAATGGTTTTTCGCGAATTTAGCATCCGTGAAAAGAGTGATATGCTTCACGACACTCTTTGAAATTATATTAGAAATTCCCATTTTTGGCGATTTGTCAAAAACGAGCTGACTAAAATATAAAGTGCGTTACATAATTGTAATCGGAATAAGATCTTATATAAAACAAATATATTATAATATACAGGGTGTTCCATTAAAAATATGTGATCTAGGCTTAGATGTCAGAAAATTGATAGTGTTTTTTGTTATACGTCACTTGGAAAAAACTTAGCTTGACTAAACATTCAGGATTTTCTACAAAATATTTCTTGCGAACTCTCAAGATACAGCATTTTCCTGCATATCTTAAATATTAATACTGTTTTGGCATCGATTTAAATAACTAGTGGACTGTATTAAATTTCTCAGAGGGAATACAAACCGAGCCGCCATCTCTACAAGATTAGGCCGACTCGCTGGCTTCTGTCAAACTGTGCTGTTGCCACACTTCTTGTTGGCGACTTAACAAATACGGAAAAACATAAAAAAAACATAAGTACAACACTGCCCGCTTTTAACAGCTGTACTGGACTGACCAGAAAAAAATGTAACGGGGAGAAAAAGACGAGTGCATCGTTTAAATTGTGCTCGCTGGCTGTGTTCGATGAACTTCAAATGTTGCCAGCCAATCAGCGTTCGCCGTCTCCGAACACGCGCTTGTATTAGTTGTATCTTTTAGGAACGCGCTTTAGTCATCCTAATTTAAAAATTAAATAAAATACTACAATTTTTCTGCAATACATGTTTCCTTTATAAAATTCAGGGTGTCAGGGTGTCCCTAGAACATTCACTCCATCTAAATCCAAAAAAATCTATAGCAATGTTCTTTATCGCAACCGGTTGAAGCAAAAATATCGAATAAAAACGGAGGCAAAAAACCTTAGGCTTATGCTCGACAGTAAGCTAAGATTTAATGGTTAAAAAATCCATTGCTCACTTAAAATGGTTATATGGTTCTAAAAATATTTTAAATCAATCGTTAAAAAAGGTCCTGTGTGATTCCATAGTTTTATCTTCTTTTAACCACTGTGATGTCGTCTATGGCCCATGTCTGACAGCGGCTGCCTCAGAACGGATTCAAAAAATCCAGAAATACTCTCTAAGATTCATTTTTGGGATTAAACGCGGCAAGCCTGTTAGTCATAAACTGAAGGAAGTTCGATGGTTTAATATGAAAAATCGACGATATCTCCATAAATGTATCTTTATCAAAAATTGAAGTCTCCACGCTATCTTTTCAAAAAAATCAGCTTTAGCACGGACGTTCACAATTTAAATTTCCACTTCACACCTCTGAAATTTTTGAAAGATCCTTTACATATGACATGGACAAAACATATAATGCATTGAATCAGTCTCTTAAGTTGCTAAACAATACCTTTTCCACACACCTGCGTGAAGTATTATTATCATTAAATAGTTAAGTAATGTCTACTGTATACTATTTGTATAGTGTAAGTCCTTCTATTTGCACAGATCGTGCTAGGTATTTATTTATTTATTTATTTTTGTATGTGTATTTTTCCTGCTTAGCGTTGCTACCATGTTCTTAAGATAGGTTTAGAAACGGAGGCACAAAATATCTTATTTTGTTCATCTGAACCGTGTCCTTTTCATTGTATATTAATACGCGAATAAAAATTATTATTAATTAAAGCAAAACCTAAATTCTCCACTTGTAGAGGAAAAACTTCGAACAACTTGTACATTCAAATTCAATATTTCAAAATGCTCGGGGTGTACAAATAGTTGTAAGAACTTTTATGTTCCTATGTGCCATTCAAAGCTTTACTGCAACTCTATTAATATTGGCTACGTTTATCAAGTTAAATAGCTTCTCTTATAACTATTTTTGTTAGAAAAAACTCGTAATACTGATGAAAATAAAGCTTATTTACACCGTAGTATCTAAAGTAGCCATAGTTTTGTCAAAAATAGAATTTACCCAGAAAACTAGAACATTGTTTAGATTTGAAGCGCAGAAAGTTAGATTTTAATATATTTTAATTTTAAATTAAGCTTTTCAAAATAATTACCGAAATATGGTCGCGTGCAATCTTACAATAAAATGCAGGGTGTTCAATTTCAACAACAAGAAATTCATGTTGCCAAATTATATGAACGTCCAGGATATGACTGACCAATTTTCGTAATAAACCGCGATAATTGCCAAAATTTAGTTTAGATAAGACAAAAAAAATTAGTTATTTGCGATCCATATTTATCAACAATTTTTATTTAGATAATTAATGTATAACTTTAAAAAACTACCTAAGATAGTTGGAATAAATAGAGCATTATGTATAGAATAGAAAAGCAGACTTATATTAACAAATCCACAATTACTTTGAATTATAGAAATATATTAAGTATTCAGAGAGTTAGAATGTTGTAAAATAAAATGTAGCCCATGGGGGAAATCACGCAAAAAATGTGGGCACCGAAATTCCATTTTTGGGAAAAATTGCCCCAAAATTACACAGACATCTTTGAAATATCTAGAAATAATTAGTTTTTCAAAAATATCCAAATCTTGGGCTCACAAAAGTGAACATTTTTCCATTATTTTTTCTGACATGAGTAGTTCGGAATTCCGTTTCAATCCCATGCACTAAAATATTCCGGCAATTTACCCCTCGTGTAGACTACAGCGTCCTATGAATGCAGAAATAATTTGATGCCAGCTCAGTTCTTTAATATTTCTAATAGGTCCGCTTTGGAATACCATCTATTTGTACACTTAACCATAACATGAACTCTTACCTTACTGGCGGATGGTTTGGTCTAGAAGTGCTGTAAATAGGTCTTCGCTGAGTAGGTTTGATAAAATCTATACTGGGTCTGGGCAAATGTGATTCATTGATGCCAGTCGCAACGACCTGGTTATTGACACCGCTAGGTTTAATATGACTCGGAGTAGTCATTGTTGGTGTGCTATCGCCAAATATATTTAGGTAAGTTCTTTTTCCGTCTATCGAAACGAATCCTTCATTGCCCACTGGACTTGTGATGACATCGGTCGGTGAAGCAGAATTTAAATGTTCGATGTCAACTTAAAGAATTTGTTATTATATCACCGAAAATATGATTTATCTAGTTTACCTGGAATTATATACGGTTTGCCTTGACCTGCCGATGGACCCGGACCTTGTATAGCCGATACTGTTATATCGAAAATGTCGCCCAATCCAGTCAATTGCGGTTTCGCTACAATCGGTTGTCTGCTGAATCCTCCAGGTTTGTATTCGGTATCGTCCAAAACGATCCCGGGTCGCGGCTTATATTGAATATTTGGTACGCCAGTTTGATGAACAGTATAATTTGTTTCATTTGATACTAGAAAAAAAGCGATGACAGAGTTTGAAGACACACATTTAATTATCATTAAATACTTACCAGAAGAAGAATCTATGAATTTCGTATTAGTACTCTCTTGGCTGACGGAAGATACCATAACCAATTCCTGAGTTTTTTGAGAAGACAAATTAGTCTCTTGATCTTTAGTACTTTGTATTGAATCCATGATTGAGGGTTCAAGTAATAGGATGCTACTACTAGTAGCAGTTTCTTCGCTCGAAGTTTCTAATGTCACTGACGAATTAACCGGAGTGGGTGACATTTCTGCAACGTCTGAAGTGGTCGCGATAACTATGTTTTCTGTCACCAAAACTATAGGCGTTTCTAACACAGAAGTTCCCATGTTCAGCGTCGGCGTAACCAGTGTTACTTTGTTACTTTTATCCGGTTTCGGGTTTTTTTCTTTATTTTTTTCGAAGTATTCCGTTTCCTGGTCTATCGTTTCCCATTGCGAGGTTTTATTTTGTGTTGTTGCATTGTTGCTTTCCAATGTTCTGTTTTCCTGGTTTGTAACAGCTATAATAAGAACAATATATTAATTCCTTATTCAACTTGTGCGTGGTGCAGTATTACTTTCTTCGAGCTTGCTCTCCGTATTCTTCGTTTCGTCGTCTTGAAGTTGCGTATCCAAATCTAGAGTCAGTATATCATCTACAGGTTTGTCTGAAGTCATAGAAATCATAATATCTGATGGCATATGTGCACCTATGGGTTTGTTTTGTGGTTTTCTTGTAGTTGGGTGAATCCAGTTATGTACAGTAGGTCTATATAAAGTCGGCCTTTTGCCAGGCATAACTTTGTCTGACATTCCTGTATTGCCCAAATAAGGCCTTTTAGGTGCCTGACTGGTGAACGGTAGTTCAAACGGATATGGGGTGGGAGGCCGGGTTGAAGTTGGAGGTGGCACTGGACCTGAAAACATAATCAACTAAGTATCCAAAAATTTGTCGTACGTTTGTCGAAATTAGTTTATAAGGACATATTGTTTTGAATGGGAGCTCTTCATTTCATTTACGTTGTACAGATACATTTAAAATAAACAAAAAGTAAAATCCTCGCCGCACCTAACAGAAGCGGTGGTAAGGGCGGGGCCGGAACGTCGAAGTCGGGAGGCAACGCTGGAACGTCCGTTATTTTTGGAGGACCTCTGTTATTAATTCTACTCGGATGGGGTCGTGCCGGTCGGCCCATTCCTTGTACAGCATCCGCTTGAACATTGACGTTCCCGTTCAGGAATTTGACAAGGCCCGTGATTATGTCTTGAATATCCGGATTAGCCTACGATGATAATTATAAGTACCATTTACAGTAATTGATCAATATAAATGTCTCAATTCAGGTTATATACGAATCATTTTCGAAATAATAAAATATCAGCTGTGTTCATCAAAAACTATTTATTTGTACATAAAAATTATTGTTCAAAGTAATCCCCCCAGATATAATACACCAAAATTTTTCTATTCTGGTAAGCACTTTCTGGTATGGCCTTGAGTTTTTCCAGCGATTTTTTCTTTATCTCCTCAATCGATATAAAAACTCCTTGCTTTCATGGGTTTCTTCAGCTTTGAGAGCAGGGAAAAGTGGCAAGGAGCCATAGGTGAATATGGTGGCTGGTTTTGTTTTTGGTCAAAAAGTTAGACACAAAGAACCATGAGTGAGCAGGTGCATTATCGTGATGCAAAATCCATGAATTGTTTTCCCGCAATTCCGGACGTTTTCTTCGTATTGCTTCTCGTAAATGGCGCATAACTAGTGGTTCGACGATTTTTCAACACCATTTGTTGCTGGGATGTCAAGAACGAAGTTCGTCATCGGCATCTTCTCCGCCATCTTGGAAGAGCTTGTACCACTTATAAACCTTTTTTTTGCTCAAATTAGATTTACCATATACTATTGTCAACATTTCATGTGTTTTGCAGCATTGTATTCCGTTTTTTACACAAAATTTTATGTCAGTCCTTTGTTTCATTTTTTTTACAGCTGAAAATACCCGCGCACACAAAACACATCTAAAGCTTCTGTCTCACAAAAAAGTAAACGTGCTAACAGGTTAAAACTGTGAATATATGTTAGAGACATGTGTACCAACATAATAAAAAAATATTGAAGATCGAATGTACGTAGTCAGTCCAATCACAAAAGTCACCTTACTTTTTGAACACACCTCGTATAATATTAATACTGTGTTCTCTATATATATACAGGGTTAGTAAAAAGTACAGGAATGTTTAAATATCTTCAAAACTGCCAAAGCTGGAACGATAAAATTTAATACGTCGCGGTTTTTGAACATGCACAATTAAAAAATGCTAACGTCATACGCGTCATAATTTTGTTATTTTAAATAGAATGCCCTATTTATTTTTGTTGCTATAAATTTGGCATGTCTAATTTAATAATTTCTCATAATTTCAATTTTTTATCTATTATTCACTGAGCTACGACAACACTGCTTTTGCTGCCATGTTCAAAAACCTCCAAACTTTTGAGAATTTTTTTATTTACAAAAGTAAATCTGACAACACTGCTGTTTTTTATCTCTGTATGTCCAAAACTTCTAAGTATTGAATCTTATCGGTCCAGGACGATTTCAGTGACGAGTCACGTATTTGTGGGTCACGTCATAGAAGAGCGCTCCACTGAAGACGCAAAGAAATGCGCCAACTTTGCGCCAACCGCTCTTACTAGAGGTATTATGGTTTCTTGCTGCCATAACAAATGGAAGAATGTCACCTCTAATTGGAAACACGAATGCTTAATTGCACATTGAAGCTAGCCATCTAGGAAGTTCCCAGATACTGTTTAACCTTCAATATTTACTAGTTTACAATCAAGATCTCGAAGCTATGTTAAACATATTATTCAGAATAAAGAGGAGAAAAGGAATGGATTCTAGGGTAGCAAGAAATTATTGCTTAATTTACTTATTTTATTTATTATTGTTCTGTAGTCTACGCTCGAATGCTCAGCAGTTGATGTTATCGAATATGGACAAATTCAGTGAATTAATCAAATTTCCAAGGAGAAAATTAAGTTTTCATTATAGTCACTTAAATTTGTTGCGCATATTAAGCCATCCTGAAATTTGAAATGTGGCGGCTACCTAGTATCACATAGGCATGGGCTTGACGTTTTTATACAAGTTTCTTCTATTGACTCAAGACATGATACATGAGTTAAGATGTTTAAGTGATCGATAAAAGTGTACGATACGCATCCGAGAATACCACCTTTAGGGACGGATTTAATGTGGATTCAATTTAAACGCTTTTCATTAATAAGGGTTTGCTAAGTTGGGACAGGTAAGAATGACTTCAGCAGGTTCTGGGTACTATCGGTCCTATAAACCTTAACAAAAAAATAAAAGGTCACGTTTGAACTTGTTAACCCTCATGACCCTACTAACGTCTACCAGCAAGACTATGGAAATTTTCTTACTCTCAGCGGCTCCGAACAAGTCATTTGTTACATCAGTACCCTCACAACTAACTCAACTAAATCCTGCTTTTCGGGTAATATTTTATTAGCATTCAACAAGATTTCTTAATTGCAGTTCAGATGAATTATTTATTTTTGTTTCCAGGTGAGTGCACGTAAATTTTCTTCTTTTAATTTTTTTTTTGAACATGTCATCGTTTATTATTCATATTTACCCCAAAATATATTTAAATTTACCTTATGTACCTGTAATTTCAATGTTAGTGAGTATATATTATGTATTGTATTTATATATCGAACTTGGCAATAAATGATTTATAATTAGTATCATCCTTCTCCTACTCAGAAATGGAGATAAACTGTATTAATAATATCTGATAGGTCAATAGAATACCGTACAGCGAATTGAAAAGAAAAGCAAATTAATTTTTGATTACATTTAAGAAGATTTTTTTTTCACCACCAGGTGTTTAACGGAAACTTGTCGTGATGCATTCTGTGGACGCATATATCGTGAAATCTATTCTTACGTCTCTCGCTTTTTCTCTAGTAGAAAGCGTGGCAAATTCGTTGGTCGTCGCGGTAGGTGTGACGTGTTCCGGCCTTTCTAGTGCTCGACCCTGAAGCGCCACGTGTTCTCCTTTAACCCTCGTCGCAGGCTTGATTTTGCTTACAGGGTGACTATTGTCCTAAAATAATGTCTTTTATAATATTGTTAAAAACTTTGTCTGTAACTAACGAAATCTTAAATAAACTGGAATTGGAATCTTGTCTAATTCTGAAATGAAATTCAGATAGAACACGAAAAAATACAAAATAAATAAGAAATAAAAGTTTTCACGAAATTATATATTTTCACATAACAATTGTAACAATACAAATGTAATATTCACAAGCTATGGATATATATATATAAAAGTATAAATAAAAAACAAATCCAGACAATAGTAAACTCTATTTATCCGAAACCTAATACAGAACACGAACAATTTAAAACCATTACATACATAGGAGAACCTAGTGAAAAAGTTTCAAAACATTTGTCAAAATGTGGTTTAAAAATAGGTTTCAGAACTAACAACACAATAGGAAAATTTTTGAAAAACAATAAAACGAAATATCCAAAATCTCAATACGTGATATCTACAGGTTGAAATGCGGATCTTGTCCTAAAATGTATATTGGACAAACAGGTAGATCCTTCATGAAATGCATTAACGAACATAAAAGAGCGTTTAAAAACAATAGTCTAGATTCTAATTATGCTACACACTTAAACAAAGAAAAACATATTTTTCACGACAATTTATTTTACAAACAACCACAAAAAGTAGAAAATTAAATTTATTGGAAGCAATGAAGATTAACAAAATGAGACATTCAAATGTATTGCTTAACGATAAATTAAATTTAAATACATCTCCTTTATTGAACTTAAATTCTCACAACAAGATTAATTAATTTTAATTAATAATTTTATGGTCATTTTTCGTTATATATAGTAGCAGCTAGTTTGTAAATATTACATTTGATAAAGACACGGTGTTGTCGAAACAATTGTCAAGTGAAAATATATAATTCCGTGAAAATCTGAACTTTTAGTTCTTATTTATTTTGATAAATGGATTTTCAGCAAGTACAAGCCACCTCAGTTCAATTTACGAAAAAATAACAGAAGTAGTTTCTATAAATTTTTCCTACAGTTTTTTTTATGTCAGTTTTATACTGTCAACATTAAAAATTTTATGAAGTTTTCCAAACATCCGGTATACAATTAATTGATTGACAAGAATACAGTTTTGGATTTAAAAAATTGTGCAAAAGAATGTTGTTTATCCAAAAGCTGCCATCTGAGGTGGAAGATAAATACAAACTACAGCCCAACGTACAGAACATTGTATGTTCTCTAGGCGCGTTAAGTTAGTGAAGTTAACGTTATCAACAGATCATACCAATTCATTTTTCTACCACGTTCACTTTCCCTTGTTCTTTTGAAAAAATCCAAAGCCATTCAATGTATTTCAATTTGCAGAATTGAAAATCGTTATCAAAAAAACAAATTATGTATTTTTTTTATTTATACAATCTTTGGCAAATGTGCAATATATCAATGACGCAATATAATATAAAAAATATAATATAATTGCCAAAAATCGTATAAAAATATAATATAAACTTAACAGTTAAAAATTTAGCAAGCGTTTATAGGAAACTGCTTCTTCATGTATATTATATAAACACGTTTCACTTTTTAAAAAATAAATTTTGCACCATATCTAGCACTCCACTCTAATTATTTTTGGCGTTGTAAATAAATCATTGAACTATTCGGTCGGTATGATTGCTAATTAAGATTGGAGCGGGAAAATAGGGAAACGAAGTGTTAACAAAATATAGCTACTAGTCTGCCTATGTCGATAATAGAGGAACTTATGAAGTACCTATGAAAAAAAATTTGAGATGGTTCAAGGACAATGAGTTTGCATGCTGCATTATATGCTTATATCTTGTTAAATGTTCTCAGATAACAAATTAAGTTTGTGGAAAACGCTATTTAGAAAGAAAATGGCGCCAAGTGCAGGTTAGTGAGTGAAATGTAGTGGCATGCGCGGAAACTGCGGCAATTTTTCCCGTAGTAAGGCTGCTATATTATCTAATAGCTATATGAATATAACACATCTACCGTTGCATAGCAGCGAAAAGCAAAAGTCGTGTCATAAGATAACAGTATGCGGGTTAAATTGGGGCCACGGTATCGTGCAGAGCAGCGAAATTAAATAGTATGCCCAAGCCAGTTTGCCCAAATAGATTTTTGAATAAGTGCATGTTATAGCAGAGTAAATCTATGACTTCGGCCAAAGACTAAATTAGATTTGCTAACAGCAGTCCACAATTTAGTGGATGTGAACGATTAATGCAGCTGCTGTTTTGGGTGAACAAATAAAATAATTATAATCAAAATAATTAAATCAAATTAATAGTCTAGCTTTTGGCTACTTCAACTCAACTTGCCAATTAGATTTTTAAACTGAAAAAAAGTATATCTTGCATCACGGGAAAAATTAATTAATGAAAATAAACAAAATCAAGGAAAATGGCCGGTAACGGGACCAGTGATGCAGAACAGTCCATAATGAATTTGGGCAACAATTGAAAATAGTATATTATGTAACAAGTTTGATAAACTCCATCTTAGTCACGAGATACATACACGAGATGAATACTTTTTCTACGACCTTGAGTTTTTGGATACACTCTTGCAAAACAGCATGAATACTAGCTAATATCAAAATACCACAGCCAAAATATATTTTTTAGTTTTGATCATTTCGTGAAAAAAGTACCACTGAATTTTATGATACACCTCTACTTTTTTGACATATATTTCTTTGTATTTTATACCCATCCAGTTGTTTTAAACAAAAATTATAAAGAAAATTTGCCTAATTAAAACGCGATAAATGGTTAAATTTAACCATTTAATTATTTTTAATTAAATTTATTATATCCTGGTCAAAACTTAACTTGTAATTACCAGCGTATTCAGGTACACCGAATAATTTTTCTCAGTCTCAAGGATTAATCGGATTCCGCTTCAAAGGGTTGGATTTAATCTGAACATGAATTGGCGAGCTTTGCAAAATTGTTTAGATATAGATATAGATATAGATAGAGATTTGCTATAAAAATTATAACAAAAATTGGTCCTAGAATTCGAGGTGCATCTGAACGACCCCATACTCTTCTAAATCTTGTTTATTTTTTGCATTTCATATAAAATGATTTTTTTTAATTATAGATAGAGTTTATTTCATTTTTTTTTAATTTAATAGTTATACCAGTTGTAAAAACATCTGTTGCATTTCTTAAAAAAGTCAATTAATGATGTAACTATAGAATCTTGAAATAAGCTATAATTTTAATTTTAATTTTTTAGTAACTTCTGTAGCAGTGCACATTCAAAAAGAAAAAAATATTTTGTTGATGCAGTCAGCTATATTTTGCAAAGATCTGACTGATCTGGATTGCTAAGTGTACACGTCGGTCCCTTATTTTGTTTTTCGATTATACATTTGAATGACCTGAATCTTACCAGCATATTTTGAACAATTTTTTTCTTGCAAATGTCTAAGCTATATCTAGCACTAACACCCAACTAATTAACAGTATACTTACCGTTTCAGATGGTTTCACGGAAAGTTCTACACTCTCGGGCAATTCAACATGATTACTGTCTAAGTAATTTTTCACATTCTTGAAGTGCGACAATTTATCATCGTCTCGCGTTTTAGACATAACTTTAGAAGAATGGCATAGATCCGATTTGATTTTATCTGAGCTGAATTCGGACGATTCTTCGCACTTGCTGTGCTGGCCGGATTTGGGTGATTTCGGCGACATTTCAGAAATATCTCTTTCATTTCGTGATTTTGGGTCTACGAAAGAATCCGCGCGAGCTGAAAAAATATTAAAACAATGCAATTATCAATTAAATTAAAAAAGTCGAATGGTGATATTAGAGAACCGTCAACAACCAAAGAAACAACTACTTATAAAACAGTGACAAAACCTTGCATCGATAGTTGAGATTTTAAAACCTATTATGTACAACTAAAACAAACACCGATATAATGAAGAAAAAGAGTACAATGTTCAAGGAAAATTGGAAAGATAATCGAAACGAGTACACAAAAATTGTGAACTTTGTCCAGATGAAAATCTACATTGTTAAAGTATCAAAAGCAAAAAAAAAATTGGTCTATTTTTGTCTTTACTAGTTTTTACTAGTTAAAAAAGGGTTTCTTCACTGTGCTAAATCTACGATTTTTGGGCTTAGGTTTAAAGAATTAATTTTTTTTGTGAAACTTATCTTCAATAGTATTCTAATAACTGTTATAAATACCTTAAGAGTTATAAACAAATTAAAAATTCTATAATTTAGACGACGTTTGCAACGTTTGCAATGTCTGTCAAAATTTCTTATTCAGTTTTACAGATATGAAACTGAAAACAACATTTCGAAAATGTCTTCCATGAAAGGAGTTATGCTAAATCAAACAAACAAAAGAGTTCTTTCTGTGCAAGCTTATTAGTAATTAAATTTTTAAAAACTAAAAACAAAAAAAGGAGAAATTTTAAGCTAGCCTAGATGACAACTGCAAACAGCAAAAAACAATGAACTCATCGGAACTGTTCGGAACTGTTGTCAACTTAAAATATGCAACCCCGTTATCAAAGAATATTTTAAAAGCTATACGAGAAACTTATTTTTAATCTCTTCTTTCATTTTACTTTTAAACTTGATCAATATTTTTTGAGAGGCGAGAAACTCAGCTAATTATTCATTCACACTGTGGCTTTCCTTAATTCTCAAAAATTAAAAAAATCAGCAAAAGTCATCATTAAGCGTGAACCCTTTAGTCTTTAAAAATGTCCACACGAGGTACAGTGCTTTCCATTTTTATTTGTCAAAGCCAACTGAGTGGATTATGGAGAATAATCGGATCAACAATGATCGATCTTCTTCTCAAAAACTCGATAAAGATTTGCTGGTGAATAAGATAATATAAAAATAAAGTTAATGTCAAATTAACTGAAACAAATAGGGCAACGCTATTCTGGACGAGTCTATTAACGCTATTTAATCGAGCTAACAAACTAAATCATTTTAATCAACCTAATTGCTCCAAAGGCCAAACATAATATTTAATATATTATTTACTACGGCCAATAACTTCTCGCTACAAAGTTGAAACGTTCTAAAAAAAACGGCAAAATAAAAAATGTGCGCGTTCATCGGCAGACCTTTTCCGCCAAAACGTTATCTGCGGAGTGTGTGTTACTGTTGTAAAATTTTCATTTCTAAAGATGATCAAATGTTTTTTTTTTATATTTTTGATGGGACACTTTGAGACCTTTTGAACTCTTTTTAATGACAATGTAGATTTAGTTGATCTTGTAAAATTATCATTTTTTGAAAAGAAAGTGGTTTAGAGCTGAACCTACAAAAATAGCGAAGGATGTTCACAAAACATTTGAGCTTTAACAACATGTAGAAATTTTGGTATTAATTACAACTTCCTTGTCGATTCCTTATGATAAACCATAATCATTAAATACCATAGAATAAACGATAAAGTGTTTATTTGATGTCTGCTTATAATATGATAGGTACCAGGGTTTAGTTATATCAAAAATTTGTACAACGAACAAATGAACATTGACAAATTAAGAAAAAATGCAAAGTTGTTTTTTTTTTTAATATAAAGCACTTAGTTTTCTAACCTTTTTAAATATTATATTTATGCTTTCTTAGTTAAAGTGGCGACAACTTATATTTACAACTCTTTAATATAATGATAATCTTAGTCAAATTATAACTCTTGTTGTTGTTACATTCAGCTAAATAGGCTTCAATGTCAATGTCAATGTTATTACGGAATTGCTATTATGACAGTCTGTTATTAAAAAAGTACAGTTCAATTTGGAGATGTTTCTAGAATAAATTTCTATAAATTACTATTATTATTATTATTATTATCGCATGTCAACATTACAAATATTTAGTAACTCTGATCATATGTAAACTGATGCAAAAAAATTGTTCCAAGATTAATTTTACATCAATTGTTTTCTTTTACAGTTTACGTTGGTAATTCAATAAAAAAAAATTGAGGTTATGAAATTTACAAACCAGGTTTGAATATATAAATATATAATATAACATAAAATGATTGTCTTTGCTACAAAAAATAGAACTTCCCATGTATATCAGTAAGAGATTCAATCGATATAAGAGAATAGGTTTGGTCAATAAAGTCGTTATAACCGTTGCGTTGGTTTGAAGACTTACTTGCAAATATTATTTTTGCCTTCTTAAAACAAAAACAGTTAACGTGTGGGATAAAATGCTTTCAGAATGATACAATTTTGTGATTGTGATTCGGGTATCTATCTGCATGATTGTTGACGGTTTTGGCGCAGAATATTTTAATTAACAATTAATAATTGGTACAATGCGATCTCTGATCTTGCTTGCTCTCATTTTCCTCTCATTAAATACTTTTTTTATCACATCTCTTTGCAGGATCTAAATACGCGACCTACGTTAACGATAACAATACGAAATAGAAAGTAGACAAGTATGACACCGCATAAGCGAAACCCTCAGTTATTACAATCTCACTTTAACAATGAGGCTTAGTTTGTAAACATCGTATGATTCCTTCGTTTTATTCTTATATTATTTTTGTATTTTCTATATTGAATTGTAGGTCCTTTGTTGAGACTAGAACAAGCAGTATTTTGAAATTAATTTTTCAAATTGAACTTTGGAACATTTTTGCTTCTTATATATACCATGTTAGGTCTCTCTCTCTCTCTCTCTTTTCTTATTATTTACATTCTTAAATCTTAATCTATATTTTATATAGTTACAAAAACAAGATTTTTAATTTTTAAAAATTTTGCTTATTTTGAAAAATTTAAAAAGTCAAACTATTTTTTAACAGTTTATAATTATTTATACAATAGTATGTTATTGCACGCAAATATTGACTTTCAACGTTAGAAAGTAATTAAAAGTAAACAAAATATCAAAAACTTCCAAAAAAGAGTACAACTGTACTTTCCGTTTTCAGTTTAGGTTTTTGTTAGTTGCACCCACAATGTTCAAAATTTCTGTAATTTCACAGAATGAGAATGGGAATGAGGATACTGCAACTAATTCAAACCAGTCCAACTAGAATTAGATTTTTGTATCCTAACGGGATCACGTAGCAGACGGAACAGCGGTTAGATACAATGCTCGTTTTAATTTAAACTTTCACGTTATACAAATTAATGTTAATAGTCGTCAAATTGAGTCGACTGCACGTCGATAACAGCCGCCAACGCTCACTTTCATTTCGTGAGTCGCAAATCTAGCCGAAAAAAATTAAAATTAAAGGGACCCTGTGTGCATAAAATAACACGAGGGACCGGTTCAACCGTCGTTTCAGCCGTTAATTTATGAATTTTATTGAATTTGTCAATATTGTCAATATGTCAATATATAGGAAAAAAATCCTACAGGTCAATGTCCATTTGTTGTTTACTAAACCTCAAACGACGATTGCCAACTTCAAGATAAATAAGTAAATTTACAATAAAAGATATGTTTATTTAGTTCTAGTAATTTGCTAATTAAAATTACTATGTTGTTACGTTTTTATTATAGGAGTTGCTCAGCAAAGTTGACATAAAATACCAAAAGCAAACAAAATTTTCCTAATATATATATTTTTTCAGCTTATAAGAACCTATAAAAGGTTGATTTGCTTACCTTTTACCTGCTTTTAAGTGTGGTACTACTTATGAGTGGTAAGAGAAAACATTTTTCAATTAATTTCTAAAAGTTCCACCCAATTTAAATACTTTAATGTCGCTTTACAGCCTGTACAATGGCGAAGAAGGTATATTATAGGTATATTATATAATAATAAGTTTTAAATCTGCCACCAGCAAAACAAAACTTTCCAAGATCAACTTGTGTTTAAAATGTTTTTGTGCAGTTCGATAGTGTTTTTAATGTAGGATACACGAGTGGGTTGTGAAATCAACGAATTTAAATTCTAAGGAAGTCTTAAAACATGTGTAGGAATGTATCGCTGTTAACACACCTCGATATTACCTTTGCTCAGATTATCAATTCATCAATGTTATAGCTATAACTGCATTTAATAAATTGCTGAAACATTTTCTATTAAAATAATAAATATGGTATGGAAGGACAAAGGTTGTAGGACAACCTTTACGATAGCCGTAGAATATTCAGCATAAAAAATGATATCAAAAGTCACTAGCTTGTCGCAATTTCTAGAAATTATATCAAAAAAAATGCCGAAATTTAATTCCTCTGAATTGTTTCACACAACCATTTGAGCTGTATCCGGGTGGTCAGCAACCTCGCACAATGCAAGAATACGTCATCAAGAAAGAAAGTGACTAATATACAATGATGGGCAAATAATATGTATTGCATTAAAATTAAATTTGGAAAGTATTTTCGCTTTACTATAATTTTCAAGTTCAACATTACCACCTTTGTATTAGAATTGTTTCGAATAGAAAAAAGTATCTAGTGATCTTAATATGCTTCTTGAGCAAACTCAATGAACTTAACAGGTTTCGTTCCAGAACGTTGAAGTTAGTTGGTCACTTAAATTTTAAAAAATTGCATCAAAGGGTGGTACAGAATGTTGTAGGGGTACTTTAACTTTTTCACTAATTGCTATTTTCAATTAATGAATAACCTCAAAAGTATCGTCACAAATAATGGCTTTATTACAAATAAATAATATTTATTTCGAAATAGGTAAAGTTTACTCATACAACATCTATAGCAAAAAAAATCCAAAACACAGAATATATAACGGTTTGCTGGAAAGCAGAAGAGGCGCGCATAAAACCACAAAAGTATTATCACTCAGTGTAATATATGCGCCAAAAATTTTAGAAAAAAATGTTAGAAAACAAAAAAAAACTTGAAACTTTGACACCCACACCTCTTTGAAATCCTAGCAAAAATTTTAGTTTTTTCAATTACATTAATATAATCTATGTTTGAAAAATGCGCTAAAAGAATTACAGTATATATTTTTGACTTGGTACTCAGATTGTGAAGCAATAATTAAAGTCATGTAGCTGTCAGACATCATTTTGTTTTTGTTTTTTAATTAAACGCCCTTTGAAAAAATATGGAGAAGGATATATTTGCTATTTAAAAATCAAAGTTGGTTGTCATACCATATGGTAAAAAATAAATACAGAAATCGTAGTACATTTTTTTAAACGAATATTACAGAATATCTGCTTAGTTGATGACTCCAAAAAATGCGTGAATAATTGTTAGTTTGCTGGGGTCACAAAGTGCAAGGACACATATCTAATAACAAGGAGAATCAATAAGATTGTTAGCAGCGAGACAAGAAGACATATCTTGCACCTCCGACCCACTTCTTGGTCTAACAAACAACGAAATCCTGCATCATTTACCTTGCAAAGTTGCAGCAATCACAAACACACACAAAGTCCCATAACCCAGTTTTAGCACACTTAATTTTTCCATTGTACGTGAACGACACTACATCTATTCATTAAAAGTACACATAACAATTTTTCCGGAACTGCAGATGCTTCATGGTCGTAAAATCGGCGAAAATTTCTCCTCCGCAGAAAATAAGAAAACACAGGTTCGTAAAATTTATTTTTAAAAAAATCGAGACATAGCAGGAATTATCGATTTTTGGGCACAGCGATTATGTGGAACTATTTAAACGGTCATATTTTAGCTCTTTCGAAGCAAAAACCGCGACCGAATTAAAAGCGGTACATCGGGCAGACTAGTAAACTAACGGTACGTCGAAGAAGAAGCAAACACTACCACGAAGTTTGAATGTTGCGGCTACAGGTGGGGCTCAGCCGAAGATACTTGTAAGTCATCGACTTGTACGCGGTGCTTCAATCGTACTGCTCATGAAGGAATTCGCTCATTATTATGCGTCGTGATCCGGCGTTAAAATACGGGGGGATGCTGTAATTGGAAAATCCTTTTGGGAATATTGTTTTGGAAAGTTACTTTCGTTTTAACTGACCCACTAAAATTCACTCCCTAATCAACGTTTCCATCTTATGTTGTCTATTTTGACTCGCAAATTTATGGCGGACATCCCACACAAAGGAATTATTATTTCATTATTATTATTATTATTTATATCACTATAAAATGGAGACGCAGATCCACCAAAATTGGGTAGCAACCATGAACGGCTAAACAACGGATCTGTTTTGTTAAGATTTTGATAATATTTAGGAACCCTTGGACCCATCACTGGTAGGGAAGGCATGCAAAGGTACTGATAGCTAGAATTTTGGATGATATTGGAGTATCCAGGGCATTTCAGTTTCAGTTTAATATGCAACAACATATACTATAAAAGACAAACATAATTAATCTGGTTTTTTGTCGTTATATTTCTTTAAAACTTTTGATATGTGGTCAGTGATGTTTTAAATGTAAGGAATGACAACAGTGGCAAGTGTAGGATTGCTTGTTTGCGGTTTCATTGCAATTGGAATGTTGTGGTGAAGTGTATTTTGTGATGGAACGCTTAATATCTTTAATGTGGAAATTATTAGAGAAAAGAGCAGAGGTAAGGTGTTTTAATTCGGGGTTCAATGACTCGGGCTGAGATAGTTTTATAGCTCTGTAAATAAGAGAATTGATAACCGATGCTTTTTTAGCCGGATGGTGATATGACAATGCATTAAGGTAACGGTCTGCGTGCGTAGGTTTTTGTGTAAACACAATGACCCAGTCTTAGATCTGATTTTCTATTGATAAGAATATCTAAGAATGGGAGGTTGTTATTATTTTCTAATTCCATGGTAAAACGTATGTCAGGTAGAGCTTAAATGTCTAAGAAAATCTACTAGGGATTCTTGACTATGAGGCCAAATAATAAAAGCATCATAGCGTTTCCATAATTTTGGTTTTAGATGGAAGGTGTCGAGAGCTTTCTTCTCAAAGGCTTCCATAAATATATTCGCGATAACTGGTAATAGTGGAGAACCCATAACTGTTCCCGACGTTTGTTTAAAAATTTGGCCGTTATAAGAAAAATATGTTCCATACAAGTATTTTTCAATTAAGATGAGAAAGTTTGGTCCAGATTCTCGGATTTTAATATATCTGAAATGATGGTAAGAGTTTTGGGAATAGGAACTTTAGTAAAGAGGGATTCTAAGTGGAAACTAACCAGAATATGTTGTCTATCTAATGTAATGCTTTTTCTTTGTTAAATGAAGTGAAAGGAATTAACTACGAAACTGTAAGATTTCCATGTAAAGGGTTTTAATAAGGAAGCTAGATATTTTTCTGGACAATATGTCGGAGAACCAATAGTGCCGACAATAGGTCGAAGGGGTCAGTTTCAGTCAAGCCCTGAAGAAGCCAACAGGATGATTGACGAAACGTTAGCTAGTTCGACTAAACAAAAACCGACGCAGGAGGAAACCAGAAGTTATAAAAGATACATCTTTTATACATAAAATACTATTAAATATCTTACTTAAAGCTAGACAATTCATAAGCCGGATGTTCCTAAATCCTAAAAAAAGGAGGTATGCGCAAACCAGTGTCAGTGGACGACAAAAAACTTAACTAGTTTATTTTTTTACGAAGTACGAAAATGATTTACGAAAAATACCTTACATTGAAAAATATTGCAAAATATAACAACGGCTAGGGATTCAAAGAATAGGTATACTCCTATCAACAAACTTGCGGCAGTGCTAATACGGAATATGTCACTTCATCTCCATTGATTTGGCACCAGTGGAGTGTCAGAACTTTCAAACATCAAATCACCATCCAATCCATAGAGTACCAGAAGTGCCCTAAGTGGTTCGCCATAGTAAGGTAACAAAGCTGACGTTAAAGTGGCACTTTCCGCAAGTTTGATTCGTACATAATTATATCTTTTAGTGTAGGGAGTAAGTTTAAATTTAAATTCAGCTAATATGATATATCAAATGAATACACGTCATACTTTTTATAATACAGATACCTACTTCAGCATTTGTTTGTACATGATATAATTAGTGTCTCATCGTCGATGGTTAGACGTTTTGGGAAACGAGAGGCATTAATTGTCTGAAAATTTGACCACTTAAGTTTTTGATTCTCGTCTGTTCATCTGATATTCTGATGCATAATTAAACTCCCTTCAATACAATAACTTGTGACAGATAAAGACATGTGTCATGATATTTTTTCCTACTCTTCTTCTCTAAAATACCCAATTATACATCGATCGTGCGAAACAGTACATTAAGCAACAAGTGTGGTTATAGCATATTATGTGTGGTGCCCGGTAGTGTTTAATAAACGGGTTTAATAATAAAGATTACTATATTTTTTTTACGACCGTTAGTTTCTGGGTACATTTTTGCAAAACAAGACGAGTACATTCACTGACATGATGGTCAAAGTTGGAAAACGTCAAAATTCAAACCATTCGATTGCTCCCAAACCCGTGCGGCAATATCCTGCAAATGTTCGAAGTCAAAAGGCAAGATAAAATCCCTTAGAAGATAAAAAGATTGGATATTATTCAGAGTGTGAAAATTTTTTAAACTATAAATCGCAGATTACACTATTGTACAGGAAACTAGTTCTAGGATATTGAAAAACTTCAGCCTTAATCTCAACTTTCTAAATAGAAGAATTTAAATTGGGGTATATTTTAGCCGAAAAGTGGCAGCGGAGCGGAAAATAGAACAATATAGACGATTTCATATTTAAGTAATTAAAGTTGTCGTTGTTTCGATAGAAGTCGCAACACTTCGATTCCCATGTTTAACTGATGCATACTCAAAAAATCTACTTACAAAAACTGTATACAAATCAGCAAAACAATTAATGCTAAAACACACATAAATAATATACTTTATTTACAATGACCATTATAATTCAAGGGTGTTCTAGAAGAAAATACGATCTCGAAAAGAGGCACCAAAAAATCGTTTTTTTTTATCATTTCTGAAAGGAGTTAAGATTTCTAAATGAAATTTAGACCACAAATTTCAAAAATTTAAAAAATACTCAAATAGGTGCCTGTACAAAATGTTAAATTTTTATCAGTAATTCCTTTTATTATTTAATTAAAGTCATTTGTGATCTAAATTTCTTTAGATATCTTAAACCGTTTGAAAAATGATGACAAAAAACTTTTTTTTTGGGGCTCGTTTCACAGAAATCTATCTAACGTCATTTTTTTTTTATTCTCTATTTACCCTTTACTTGAATCAAAATTTAGTCTATCAAATAATACTTCCAAATCCTTTTTCTACACCTGTCTGTAAAATACCTAATTGCCCACCGATCTAGGATGCGGGAAGCGTCACTTTACCACGTCAGTTTCCTTTCCCATGAATCCGAGCCACTTCGGACATTTCCGGGATATTACCGCACGGATTTGGGAGTAATCGGATATTTCCGGAGATATTTCCCACGCTTTGAATTTTGACGTTTGTCAATTCTGACGGTCATGTCTAAACTAACGGTCGTAGAAAAAGTATAGTATGCAACACGTTCGGTAAACTTGCTCCGCTCGTGTCAAATAAACTCGTGAGTCAAATGCCGTTTACCGCACTTGTAGCATAATATACTATTTGTTTTCTTCTTGCGTCGTAAGTACAATTTGACAATTTTTACCCATATTGACTTTTAGTTTGAGCGGAAATAATATTGGATTTCAAATTGCATAAACTGTGTTTTTTTAGCAAGATTATTTATTATTATTATAATGAACTCTCGTTATTGATCACAGCGGTATAGATAAAATTTTCAAAATCAAAAAGAAAAGAAAAACAATTATCAAAAAATTAGGTCAAATTGTTTGATGAACTGTTTTCATAGGTCTTGTCCTATTGTCTAGCGTGTTTTTACATTTTTTTCCTGCTTTCAGAAATAAATCCAAATATTAAGCAATATTTTTGCGTATTTTTTCTTAAATGAATAATACCATACATATTCTTCTAAAATCTTCAGCTTGTGATATATTTTGTTTTGATTGATTAAATTAAAGATCGTCAGTGAAAATCTAAGTGTAATCGGTTCGGCTATCTTCGTATGAATTGATGAGATGCGAGCAAATATCCTTGCCTATGTCGATAATACAGGAACTGACGAAGCAACTATGAAAATAGGTCCATTCAACATGCACTTGCCCGAGATTTAAAATTTCGTTTTAACGAATGACGGCATTCCACCCAACATGGCCGCTGACAGACCGTCTGTAAGTTTGGACGCGGCATTTTTATGACAATATTTCCTCGAAATATGCCTAGATCTCGTTAAATGTTCTGAGAAAACGAGTTAAATATGTGAATATTGCAGTTTAGAAAGAAAATGACGCAAAGTGCAGATTAGTGGGTGAAATGTAAAGGCATGCCCAGAAAGTCATAATCTTCTCTACGAAAATATCAATTCCGGCTGGGGCGCATCAATTTTTACCGTAGTATTTTATCTAATTTATTATTATCTATTTTATCTAATAGCAATATGGTGTTATTTCCCACCTAATCTAGTTTATACCGAACTTTTTTTATAAACCATATGTATCTGTACAGTTTCTGGACATGGTGTACCATAATTCATCCGCTATAGAGCAGGAAATGATACTTAATATAAAAATCAAAGTAAGATTTGTATATTTTTTTCTAAAAATAACACTTTTTTAAAGATTTGTTGCAATTTAAATCAGCAAATTCTGTCTTTTACACTATCGAACTATGAAGTACGTTTTCGATAAAGTTCAATCTTTTTTGTTAATAATCCTTCATTCAGTCAGACACCGCATTTGCATATTATAATTACATACTACATACACTATTATACTCTCTAGGCATTTTAACTGAATTATCTAATAATAATCTATAATCTCTTGTAAGAATTTAATTAAACGTATTATTTCATTGAATACATATTTTTATTTTTAACAAAAATTTTATAAGAAGTCTCATTTTTCACAAGGTTAGGCAGAAGCTTGTGTGTATTTGAGGCCGCACTTATTGCATTTTGCAATTCTTTATTTGTTCTGGCATTCCATAACTGTATGTCAGTGTGATTTCTTAAGTTATGCGAGTGTATTTCATTGTTATTGATTATTTTGCTGTTGCTTTTAGTTTTGTTCTATTTTTTTTTAAATTTTAATTTTAATATAGTTTCACCAGGAAATATTTAAAGTGAATGATACAGTGTGCATTGTGTAATTTAAATTAAATAGCGTCCCGAGACTGCGATAAGAATACCTTAAAAAATAGTTACATCTGTATAACGCCTCAACTAAGGGAACTATTTTGTTCTTTATTCCAATCCATGAGCCCTAAATATTTTATTTTATCAACTCTTTCGAAGGTAAAATCATTTATCTTAATTTTTAAGTTATTATTTTTTTATTCTTTTGTTTAAATAAAATGTATTGTTTTTTAATTTTTATTTTTAATTTATTATTTAATAACCAGTTGTAGTATCCTTTTAAGCCAATGTTTGCTATATTTGCCAATACTTCTGAATTTTTGATGTATAGAATAAGAATGTATCATCTGCAAATGTATAATATTGCGCTTCCAATCCAGTCAAGCGCAGACTCAAGACATACAGCTTATACAAGAGGGGCCCAAGGACTGAACCCTGAGGGACCCTATAATTATTAACCATAACTCTGCTACTCCAGTCCTCTAGAGTTATGTATTGTCTGCGGTTGGTTAAGTATGTTCCAATTAGGTTTGACATAATCAATGATCGAATCTCGTGATCCTCACAAATCTCCCAACTTAATTCCCGTCCCTACTCACAGAAAATAATTCTGTTGCCTCCTCTATTAAATTTTTTAAATTACATTTTCGATCCAAAATTATAGGGTAACAGAAAGATTCAATTTTAAAAAATAAATATATATTTACCTTCTTGCGCAAGATGCATATTTCTATAGGTAGATATATAGTTTTAATTATAGGACAACACACTATTGCAAAAAAATTAAATAATAATTATTAAATATAATTAACAATTTCTTTATTCACAAAAAATAAGACTGGAATTATATACAAAACCTACATTGAAAGGGAGTCTGCATAATTAGAGTCCCTTTTTGCACAATAAAAAAGTACAAAACCTTCAGTACAGACCTAGTATAAAAAATATATTCAGGTAAAGATTATCAGCACACCCAAACTTAAAATTAGTGTTGAAAGAGAACAAAATATTCCAAAAATATAAATTTACTTAAAAATATAGCGTTTCATAGATAATAAAAAAGCAAGTAAAAATTTTTACATACACACATATATTGGTAACCAAACCTTAATCTTGGAGTAATTTTTGGCTATTAACGGCATATTTCGCGTGCAGTAGCGTTAAAAAGAAATGGATACTGAAGCGCAACGTAATAAAATAATACACAATATAAAATAACATGGGCACCAGTAACCGAATAGTATAGTATTAGTAATAATAATAATAATTCCAGCTGATCTGTGACAGAGCCCCTAATGCTTTCTCGTTATAATCGTACATGTGTAACTAAGTTTCTCTTTTTGGCTACATATGATTATATTTCATTATAAAGTTTTATCACAGTTTGCTTTTAAAATCAAATCGAATAATTTGATGTATGATTTAATTTTTTTAATTAAAATCACAAATCCAATACCATTCAATTTTGATTTCCTATGGAACAATCATTAATTATCATTAGAGATAAATTAATAAGTCAAAACCTGGTGGTTGGCTTAACTTAATCTTTGCTTCCTTATTGCTCAGTGGCATGGTTGGGTCAATATAGTGCTGTACTTTGTTAATTAACAAATTAAAATATGATCTTATAGCAGTATTCACTAAACCTTCTCTGGAAGTTTTATATTCACATACAAACTTTTTCCTAGTATGAAAACAACTATATTTTCATTAAACTTACTACTTCAATTATAACTATTGCTAAAAGTGCTGCATACAGTTCTGGTTTCACAAATTTTAGTTCGAATGGGAAACTCAAAATTATGTGTCCAGAGACTCCTCCAAAAAATATTGATGATTTAGTGCTTGCAACGCAGTTATTCTCTTTGTTGGTTGGAAAACCAACATACTCTAGAACACAATAAACAAAGAAATAAGGTAAAATAAAAAAACTAATTAAATCAATTACACACAGCTGCTTGTTATGTCCAAAATGACTTACCATAATCAAATTATAAGCATTTTCACATATGTTCGGGGCTATCATTTTAATACTAATTTTGCTATTGATGTCAAAGGAATTCCATTTTATAGCAGTGCTGTCTTCTGGCCACTCATCTTGTGAAGGTTTCCCTAATATTCTGTAAAGTATTTTATATATTAGAACTGTATTTTTATTCTATTCAACACACATACTTAAATATTTCGCCAAGTTGTTCATTTTCAGATTTACCACAGAAAAGTGGTTTAAGACTATAAAGTTCCATAATAATACATCCAACTGACCATATATCAACTGGAGTAGCATATGAAAGACCTAAAAGGACTTCTGGTGCCCTATACCACAAGGTTACTACCTAAAATCAAGTAAAATTAGCAACAAGTTTAGAATAAAATTAAATGTAAGCAAATTTCATCCAACTAAAATAATTTACCACCGATGTCAGCTTCATTTCAAATCCATAAGTCTTTGCTAATCCAAAATCAGCTAGTTTTATGTGACCATCACTGGTAACAAGTAAATTTTGAGGCTTCAAATCTCTATGGACTATTCGATTACTATGCAAAAAATCTACACCATTAAGAATTTCCTTTGCCATCCTTTTAATTAATGTAGAGTTGAATCCTCTAAAAAAAATACAAGAATAAATATTACACCAAATAAATGCACTAGTAGACAGAACACTTGCCTTGAATGTTTTTCTATATAGGAGGCCAGATCTTGCTCCAGATGTTCAAACACCAAAAACATCATTAGCTCCCTACCCATTTGCTGACCATGACAAATATCGAGGAGCTTTACAATGTTTGGATGATTATACATATTCAACTGTTTCAATAAACCTATTTCTCTTAAGGTATTCATGGGAATTCCATCATCATTTAGTGGTATACATACTTTCTTAAGTGCAACTTCATCTCCTGTTTGTTTGTTCCTAGCTTTATAAACTGTGCCATAGGCACCTGAAAGGATCGAAACAATAAAGTAACAGAATAATAATAAAGTAATAAAACAACTAAACTAAAAATAATAGGTTACTTAAAAAATTATACAACATATCTGATCGGAATAATAGAAATACAAACCCCGTCCAATTTTATTTATAGCTTCGTATGTGTTGTTCCTTTCAGGTGTTATACCTATTGCGGCTTGATTTTCACTCATTGTAATTTCCAGAAAAGTATAGAAAGGGTGTAAAGAGCAATACCGGTTACACAAAATAACATGTGTTTGTAGAACGCAAAGTCAAGGTGAATATGACGATGGAAGGTGGACTGTCTCAGCACTAATGGTAATCGTAAATTAATATATCACTTTTAATGCACACTCTTCAAAAATGGTTAGCTAAATTAATAAAAAATTAACTGAAATAGTGACCTGTTGAATCACAAGGAAAGTAAATTAGCTTGGTCGCAGGTGATGAAAAATACGCAAGCGTATAATTGGTTGCATACCCCCAGTGCGAGTACAATACCAGGTAGGTATAGAAGCTAAAACAATTTAATAAGTACATGTACATGTAAATGATTTATTTTAAAAAAAGTTTTACAAGACATACTGGTTAGCTCACATTTTGTTGTTGTTGAAAACTGTTATTTCCGGAAATATGGCGGCAAAACCCTGATTTCCGGATTTTTTTTCTGTTGATTTTAAAATGTAGAAAATATCTACTTTTTGAGATTCACCTTTTCGTCAAAAATCTCGTATAGATTTCGTTGTCCTTAAACTATCATCAACTTATGCATCATATTGGATTTTTGCTGTTTTATTACTTTTTTAATGACAGAAGGTACCTAATGACATTTTGATATTTCGTGATTTTTCTTGATGGGTTCATTGATTTTTTCCGAACTTTTCCGTTTTTTATTTGTTAGGTACATTTTGTCCTATATGAAAAAAAAAAGTAGCATTAATTTTTTAAAAATTAATTAAAAAAATAAATGAATGAATGTTTATCATATATTATTTTTAATAAATATTTTTATTTAACAATAAATTAACTATAAAAATATACGAATCGAAAAAGAATCTATTTACAATTTCCTTTTGTGATTTTAAAAAATAAAATAAACATAATAACATAAAATTTGAAAGTAGGTAAGATAATAAAAGGAACAGACCACACGAACAAATATACGGTCGTATTGTCAAATACTTTCATTTTGTACTTTTTTCCAAAATATAAACAAAAAACGAAAAAACATATAACAAACTTCACAAGAGCATAAACTGACTTTCGTTTTTTAACTCTTATTTAGCGTCATGGAATTCAAAGGAATACATCTACAATCTGTTGAATAAAGGTGAGTCTTGAAATTTTGAAATTTTTATTTGTTATTTTAAAAAACTGTTGGATAAGACACCTTTATATATATCTCTCTTAAAACCATTGTATATTTTTTTATTATTTTTGGGCTTAGCAATTTCTCTCGTACGTTCCGGATTAAAAGAAAAGACGCCCTGTATATCAATAACGCGAAAATTATATCACTTTGCTAAGCGAAATCTCTATTGTAATATTCAACCTGGGCTCCCATAGCTTTGAATAGCAATTGCCATTATGTAGTACCATTAACGAAATAGCCATCGTAATTTTTTAGATGTCGAAACTGTTTATTGGTCGTGTCCGTCCGATCGACTTTTCATTTGCCCATCGATATTGCGTTGACGATTGGATCGCGTGTGCGTCCTTCCCCTCGCCCAAGTTGCTCAGCAACGTTTTATTACAATCAAGGCGGCAGTTGGCTTTTTCTCTGAATTTTTAATGATATATACAGTGTCCATCAGTTATTTATTACTCTACGTCGATTATTGGGTTGTTTGGAACTCGCCGGAACGATTGAAAACGTGGGCTTCAGAACTGGGTCACCGTTCTGTATTATTATATTATATGTTTCGTTTTCAATATATCTGATACAAGATATATATGCTACTTATATGATGTTTGTTTTTGAGATGTAATATTCCATAAAACGTAGATGTGATTTTTTCTTAATATTGATTTAATCCAAAGAATTCTTTTATCATCAAAATACAGGAAATGGCGAAAATTTCCTGGAAACATCCGATCGCACCTAAACCCTTGCCTAAAGTACCGGAAAATTGTAGTAAACAGAAATTATTGCGACGTTTTTGCAAAAATTCGCTTACTGGAGACAATCAGGGAGCAAGAACAAAATGTAATTGGTGGAATGTTTTTTGTGCAGGTTGTTACTTAATGACACGCTTTTAAAGATATAGAAAAAAACGTCGTAGTATCAACACTATGTTTTTCTCATACTATGATATAAAGAGAACCCAGTATACAATGTTTCGTGTATTGCCCATTGCCTAAAAAACCCTATATTGCACATTTCGATACTTTTTTTTGGAAAAAATACAGAAATCAATACAGCAAATTTTGTATGATTGGAGATACCAAGGCAAATATGGCACAAGTTTTTTTAATAGAGTTGAAAAATTGCCATACATATTTCTACGCAGATGAACCCAGCACTTCTAATCCATGATTAATTGCGACTGAAGGTATTACTTCTGGTACCAAGTTCCTTGGCCACTTTTTGGTTCATAAAATAAATTGGCATGATCATATCTAAGCTTAGCTTAAGTCTGTTTTTAATTAAGGATATTCGCGATACTGTGTCAGATAATACTCTTAATCGGGTATGTCGTATTGTAAATATAATAAAAATAAGTCAAAAGAGATTTTAATATTCTATACTCCAGGTCACAATCGGTCAAGAAAATGCCAGCGTTTTTTGGAGAATGTGTGTCAACAAATTAAATAAATTAACCGACAAATTCAAAGACGTGAATTTAAATAGAACTTTAAAATTAAAGTTACAACAGTTTTTTATCAGTAAGTGTTATTATTCGATGATTTTTTGAATGATAAAGTTTACTTATTTTACTTACTTTTTACTACTAACCCTACACAACTGTTATACCCATATTTTATTATGGATTGAGATTCTACACAAAATTCTACGCAAGTTTTTTTTAAAAAACACCGTATACCATCTTATGGTTGTTAAACAAAACATTTAATGTTTAAGTGCGCAAATGATCCGGAATCAGAATTTTTTTCTTCGTACCTTGCGTTCAGTTTATCTTGATAACATTTTAATTGGCTGTAACTTTTTTGTTTTTAGAGATATCATGGTAAACAAAAGAACAAAAATTGAACTGAGGTGGCTTTTACTTGATGAAAATCCATTTATCAAAATAAATAAGAACTAAAAGTTCAGAGTTTCACGACAACACCGCGTCTTTACCAAATGTAATATTTACAAACTACCTGCTACTATATATACCGAAAAATGACCATAAAACCTTAATTAATGTTGTTGCGAGAATTTAAGTTCAATAAAGGAGAGGTATTTAAATACTTCTAATAATTTCGTGAAAATCTGAACTTTTGGTTCATATTTATTTTGAAAAGAACAAAATGTAGGGATAGTAGTCAAGTTTTTTTCCAAGTGAGGTATGAAACAATTCTCTGACATATAAGCCCACATTATGTATTTTTAAATGGAACATCCTGTATATCATGTATGTGTTTAATAGAATATCTTATTCCGATTACAATGATGTAACACACTCTATATTTTAGTCCACTCGTTTTTCACAAATCGGCAAAAATAACATATTTTTATATAATTTCATAGAGTGCCCTGACTGAGAAAAATATGTTTATATTTGACATATTAGTAAACAGCGTTGATGGTTGAATTATTGTCCAAGGCATTATTGTTAAAATGGTTTTTCGCTAATTTACCAACCGTGATAGGAGTGATATGCTTCAAATATACTTTCTGAATAATAAAAGTGGAGCTGTCAGTATATTAGACTCATCGTCAGTATGTTAGACTTTATCCAGAGCGCTGAGCTCCTTCAAAACAGATGTTTCCAAGGCTGGCAAAGAAATTTGCAGAAAACGGTAACGTACTAAACGCTAAAAAGGTATGCTGGAATCATAATGTTTTAAATGAAGAAAATAAAGCAAACATATTAGGATTCTATGAAACACATCCAGTTTCCTCTATTACTAGAATATCTGAAGAGACAAGTATTTCTCGGGGATCAATTCACTCAATTTTAAAAGAATATCAATATAATGCATTTAAATTTCGTAAAACTCAAAAACTAAATGCAGAACATTGTCAAAGGAGGATGTAGAATGGGTTGAAATAGACAAAATACGCGATAAATAAAATCCCATGGGTATCAATCAATGGGCATATTTTGATTCCGATATTTATAGATCAAAAATTAGCTGGAGATCATTATTTGCAACTCTTAGAGCACCTTTGCACTCTTTGAAATTATAATAAAAAAAATTGTCAAAAACGAGTAGAGTAAAATATAAAGCTGCGGCTGCACTTTTATTATTCAGAAAGTGTAGTTGAAGCATGTCACTCCTTTAATGGATGGTAAATTCGCGAAAAATCATTTTAACAATAATGAGTTGAACAATAATTCAACCATCAACATTACGATAATCCGGAAACGTTACTAAATGCAAGACATACAATTTGTGTGTATCAGACTTGTGGTCAGGAGAATGGTGGTCACATATAGAAGTATTTAGAACAATTAAATAATTTTATACTTTTTTGTGTCTTGTCGTTTTTAGTGTTTTTGTTCTACTTTAATTTGTAAATAATTATTGTTGTTACAGTCAGTCACGGCACTCTTTGAAATTATATAAAAATTTTCTATTTTTTCCGACTGGTCTGAAACGAGTGGACTAAAATATAAAGTGTGTTACATTATTGTAATCGGAAGAAAATATTCTATTAAACACACATATAATATCCGTGGTGTTTTGTTAAAAAAAAAAGAGATAGGCTTATATGAAAAACGATAATGTTTTGGTTTATACGTCACTTGGAAAAAAACTTGCCTACTAACCCTATATTTTATTTTTTTGTTTATCTTGATAAAAAATGTTACAGACAATTAAAATGTTCTCGAGATTAATTGAATGCACGGTACGAAGAAAAAAAATCTGATTCCGGATCACTTGCGCACTTAAACATTAAATTTTTTGTTTAACAACCATAAGATGGTATAGGGTGTTTTTAAAAAAAAACTTGCCTAGAATGTTTTTTTTTTTGTTTTTTATATTCAGATTTCTGGTGATTCCCTAACTAATTAAGTGAAGCCAATAATAAATGATATTATTATTTTAGGCAACAACTAACAAGTTGAATATTGATTGATTGGAATTTTTTTGGGTGAGAAATCTGTTTTTTTTATAGTTCTAAAGTACGCTAGGATATGTGCGATCAATGTCATCGATCATTACGCGCCTAATTGTTTTTCTCAAATTCTGTTATTATGTTATACAAGAAGTTTGATTTGGCACCAGTAAACAAGTTGGTCAACGTTTTTCCTAATATGATAACAAAATTTGCAAGCAAACTAAATTTTTCTACGGCCATTTTTTT